TGCTGAGTTAAATTTTAGATAAGTTACAGAGAGTAAAAAAAAAAAAAATTCTACAAAAATTTTTTCTTGATGAAATCAAAACCATCTAGACCCCTTAAACTCCTTAATGCTGCTCACTGTATATACAAGGTGTTCGGTAAAGACCACCCTTAAGACATATTTTAAGAATCCTTGCCAAAAGTGAAGTCATAAATACGTACATTTGTGGTTTCTGAATTAACATTTAAGCGAAGAAGAAACCAAAAATCTTTTGAAATATAATGAATCAGTACTGAAGGAAACTTGACTTAAAGCATGAAAACCCATTTGATTGCCTGATGAAACAGTACTGGAATTGAAAAATGATTCTGAGAAGCATACCCGAATTTCTCTAAACAATCAAGCTGATCTTTATGTCAAACATCCCACTTTTTTCATTAGTGATACGACAGATTTCGACAGTATTTTTTGTACATTAATGAATACATTAATTTACTAACCCTAATGTGTACACATTTTAATTTCATTTTTGACAAGGGTCCTGAAAATATACATTATGGTTGGTGATTATTGGATACTCTGCCTATACTTACGTTAATCATGTTTATAAGATGACACATTATTTGTAACTAAGAGCATATAAGATGTAATGTACTTTATGATTTCACCTTCAGAAATGCCAATGTTTATCTTTATTTTCCAGCTTATAAAAGACCGAAACTAGAGATCTTAACAAACTAATAATAGTTACTCAAAATGCGAGCAGGGATGATGCTTACGTAAAGGCACTACCTAGTTGGTCATTCTATGTCAAGTAGCCACTGGGTTCTATACCCAGTGGCTGCTTGAAGCATACCCAGTATTAGATAGATGCGTACCAGCTTGTTTGGGAATTAAAAGTGGCTTGCGCGCAGTACTGACCACATTGCCATCATCATGCTCTTGGTCGTGAAACTGTAGAACCTTAACTTCCATGAGCTCATTGGTTCATTTCGTGTTTCTGCAGAATTGCTTTAAAAAAAATAAAATCCTTCATTTATATTACAAAGAATTTGATTGTCTGTAATCTCATAAATTGGATAAATAGTTTCTGGGAAATGGGTGGAATAAAAAACATGATTTTCTCGAAATTGTCATAGAAATTTGAAATTCGTATGTTCTGCAATGTCACAAATCAGATTTGGTTCCATTAACTTTCCCAAAAATTCTAATTTCAGTTCGTTATTTTAACACATTACATTAAACAAAATAAGCTTTTAGTAAATGAATAGAATAAAACTATTGAAAAGCTTATGATGGTACCTTCCTCTATGCCTAAAGTCAGTTATAACTAATAATTTATATTGCTAACTAAAACTCTGACAGATCTGTTTTCAAGACTCAAATGAGTGTTAAAGAAAATGTTCTTAGGTAAGATTATAATTTATTTATGTCAATGACATTTTTTCCCATGGCGGTGTGTGGCCTTAGGGATAGTTATTAATGTTTCTGTCAATTCATAGTAAGAACGTAGTTTTCGTGGGAGAGAACTGGGAGGCGTAACCATGGATCGTCCCTTCATTCATAAGAAAGAGAAATTGAGTCATTCTTTAATGAAAAATTATACCGTCTATGCTAATTTTTATTGTAATGCCTTTGACCTTGATTAATTTGCACAAAGTTCATTGAAAAAAATATGAGCAACTCAGGATATAACAGAAATATCTGCAATCTCTGAAAAAAAATAGTAAACAATTGATTAAACTTAGTTGACACGTGCTAGTTTTTTTTGTTGTTTTTTTAAAATTTGTTTCATCTGATGTATCAAAATGTAAGCAAATATATTAATCTTAAAAAAAATTATAACATCAGGAGGTTCAACCCCTGCTCGGTTCGCTCACAGACCTCCGTGTCTGCTTCTCATTCATCAATTTTCTTTCTCCATTAAAATCTTACCCTTTTTTAAAAAAAAAAAAAAAAAAAAAAAAAAAAAAAAAAAAAAAAATTTAAGTAAACATACAATTATTATTACAATTTTATACTATTACAATTTTACCTGAGAAAATTTTGTTTCTATGTCTATCGTCACGAAATGAACGATTTTTTCCTGGATATGTAAATAATCATCTCTGTGCTTGTAAAAAGAAATATTAGGGGGACCAGAAAGTAATGTCGTTTCGGAGCATTTGATATTTGTTATCAAGATTTTATTTTTAACCAATAATGTATTCACCCTCGTTATCAACAACCTTTTAATGCCGGATCAGAAATTAATCGAAACGGATCGAAAAAAAAAATGAATTGGTTTTTAAGACTAATGAATATTTAATGCGCCTAAGCAACATTACTGTCCGGTCCCCCTAATATTTAAACTATGGAAAATGCAAAACTATTTAATTGCAGACAATATATATTTATATATAAACGACAACTTTATATCATGGAGTTCAAATTAGAAACGGTTTTATCTTCCTTGAATCTTTTATATTTTTTTAAAGAGATCGATATAAATGTTAAGATTTACACCTGGTAATTATCAAATCTCCTTCTCTTAACTTTTTTATTTTCTATATTCAAATTTTTGTTACTTTTGAGATCAAGTCAATCACGATCTTATAAAATGAAGATCTCGCGAGAGATAATAAATTTTACAGCTGCAATAAGTATTTAGTCCCTATTTAAAACGAAAGTTGAAAGATAAAAAAATCATGAAAAGGAAAACAAATGTGAAATAATTTTCGAACAAATTTGAAACTTTAAAAAAAAAAAAAATCGCTTTAAGTTTATAAATAAAGAAATGGCCCTTTCAGCATGTAGTTACATTTCGGTGGACTGTGGATCGACCCGCATGGTATTGTTTTACTTTAAGTTCGATAATACTTGAAATTACAGACAGTTGATAATACTTGGAATAATAATCGGTTATTATTATTTTTTTTATAGATTTTGACTTTTTTTTCCTCCATCTAACTCCTTTTACATTTACCTACACACCTTCATAATTTAAAGTCCTACAAAACAAAATGTAATAAAGCAAAAAAAAAAAAAAAAAAAAAAAAAAAAAAAAAAAAAAAAAAAAAAGAGAGAAAAAGAGGGAGAAAAAAAATCGAAAAAAAAAAGTACTTAATATTACAGTATTTTTCGAACAAATTGCAATTTCGGAGGAAACCCTTTCCGCCCGTGCCAAATTTCAATTTAGAAGAAGCATCTCTGCAGCATGAAGAGCGGCAGTAACGTTATTTTTGTTAACAGTATACAAGTTTAACAGTAAATAATCCTCTAGCTAATTATGTAATGGTAATTTTTTTATCCCATTCTATTCTTCTTTTAGTATTTGGGCAGTTAAACAAAATGAAACGTTAAGCTAAGTTGAACACCCAAACGGCAGCACCTTTTGCATCTTTTTTCTTTTAATTTATAAAGACAAAAAAAAAAATTTGCAGTACGATTTGCAGATTGTTTTTACTATAATAGTAAATAAAAAAAGAATCTAAATTGAGAAATGCTGATTAAGCACGGAAGAAAAAATATTATTTTCTTTAACCCACTGTACGTAAAAAGTCGTGTTTTAACATGCAGTCTTCTCCGCATAGCAAACCCTGCTTTTCCCTATTATTAGGAGAACATAGTACATTAGAGAAGATAGTACTGGTGAGAAACATTTTTCCAATTCTGCTCAGTTGCTAAAACTCCAATGGGTTAAAGAATAAATATCTTAAACTTCATAAATATAAAATACTAATAACTATTATACTATAACTATATAATTGTACTTCATTTTGAAGTTTAACTGAATTAAACTGAGGCTTTTGAGAGCTTTTATGAGACTTTAGGGAGAATATATCCATAACTGAGAACGATCTAAATATATAAAATGTCTTCTATGTCTCTAGGAAGTTGTAGCCCAGTTAAACAGTGATGTCAAAACATTCAATGTTTAAAGAATAATATATTTAACTATAAGTTTACATAAAACCTCATTTACGAAATTCTTATTATTCGTTAAAAGCTATGTTTTGTTTTGTAACATACATGGACTCTGGGGTAAGATAGTGGTATTCAAATGGTGTTCTGCGGAACCTTTGAGTTTCGTGAAAGAGCAAAAGAGGTTCCATGAACTATTACTTTTTCTAACCAGTGATGAGTTTTGAAACCTCTGATTATATTTTAGATACAATCTATAATTCATAAGTAAGTTAATGTTTTGGTTGCCTTTATGAAATTATTTCAAATGATATGTCAATGGAATAAAAATGGTATTTTTTTAAGAAGAAAAAATAATATTTCTAATAACAATATGTTGAAATAATTATGAAAAGAGCAAGCGGTTATAAAATATTGCATTAGTCTTTCCTATCACGCTTTTCAAATAAAAATAAAATAATTAAATTCTTTAAAAAAGAAATATCCCTTTTCACTATTTTCAACATTTATAGCAATTCTATTAAGTTTTCATCTCGAAGTAAACCATAATTTGGCTTATTTTATTCACTTTCAGCTAATGTATACACATCAAAAGCAAATTCCTAAGTAGACTAGATATAAGGTTGCAAATTTAACTGTTTGACATAAAACTTTATTTTAAGATTACTAATGATTAAACGATAAAAAATCTTCGTTCCTCTAATTAAATTTTTAAAAAGCAGTCTTTTATGTGTTATAGCGTTCACTATTACCTTAATTAAATTTAATTATAAAGTCGGGGTTCTTTATGGGCTCTACGTAATCTCTAAACTCTACGTAAACTCTACGAAAGTTGAAACTCTACGTAATCAACTTTCTTCTGCTTTCGGCAGAAAGAAAATTGATTACGTAGAGTTTAGTAGCCAAAGAAAATTAGGGACCGCTGAGGTAAGCATTATAGTTAAAAAAATGTAAAGAAAGTTGAAAATGATTCTTCGACTTCAAAATCGTAACAATACCTGGAAAAAACTTAAACGGAGTGAGACTATTTTTCCACACCCCTAATTTATAGCGCCATCTAGGCTTCGCAATTATTTAGTGGGATTAAAAAAATATATTAAATTCTTGTGTCTCAAATCAAGACAACTCAACTTTTCGATTCTATTATTGATGTTGATTCCGAAAAAAGTTCTGCTCGAAGAAAATCGCATTTATTTACTTATTTTTCTAAATTACGCTATTTTTCATTAGAAATTGTTGTGATACAAAATGAAACTGAAGAGATATAAATATATTTCACACTACCTGATTAAAATGATCACACTTTTGTTATAAATAAAATTTTTTTGAAGGTATAAATAATTGAATGTTAGAATCGAATTTTTACCGTCATTGCTTTCTACCACTTAATGTGCTGTTTCAGTTAATCAATATTATAATTAATAACTTTAAGCTTATTCCATAAGATGCATGCTTCCTTAATTATATGCACGTTTTATGAATTTTCATACTTGAAACATTGTGTGAATTTATTATCACAGTTTATGCTTATCCCTGTGGCAGAATTTTTTCTGGTTTTCTGCCACAAACTTTCCTAGCACTAATATCTTTTCTGCAAGATACTTTTAATAATAATAATTGCTAATTTAAAGTAACAGATTAGTTTAAATTATTAGTTTTTTTCTTCTTCATAAATGAGAATAGAAAAATCACGAGTATTTCTTTCCCTTCTGATACGCCCTAAAGGAATCTTTGGAATATAATTCTGCAGAAAATTGCTAAAAATCTTTCAAAAAATTCTGTAGAAATAAAGAAAACCAAAGTTTTTACTTCCCAAATGAAAAAATTTTCTGCAACAACTCTTAACATACTGTGATAATGTCGCCATGATTCTGCCACGGGAATGCTTATACACAATTCAATCATGATATTGGCTAAACTTATCACTTTTTAATTATGTAAATCACACTTTGATTATCTATATATACTAATACCGGTGAGCATTTACTGATACGGAAATCTTCCTATATCTCAGCTTTGTGTATATATCTGTACACTATACATCAGAATTTGATTATACATATATCTGTTATCTTTAAATATATATCTGTTTGATTATGTTTATGATTATTTGTTAGTGTCTATCGTAGTTTGGATGTTCATATTATTCTCTATAAGTCTATAGAGTTTTTTGTTTATGTTAATTAATAAACTTTAAAATCTACAGGGAAAGTTTCATATCTAGGTTGAAAATGAATGAAACTTGTATAAAATTTCCAATTGTGTGGGAATTTTTTTTTGTTTCTGTAAAATCTAATTATTTTGACTATGCAGGGAAATATTGTAAAACTTATTTTGGAATTGCTACATTTAATTAATGCATTTAAATTAGTAATTGGTAATCATTCTTTTACGTATCTGTTCTTGACTATCACTAAAAAATGATTAAATTCAAATGATATTTTATAATACATCAATAAAACTATTATTTTGTTTAGCATTGTTTAAAATTTTTTTTTCTATTTCCAAAATAATTTTATAGAAGACTCTCTTTGATATAAAAAATATTGCAGTTAAGTGGTGTCTGTATTCTCCATAGTCGGAACTAATGTAACTGATGCTTCATTAAATGATGTTGGTGGATCTGAAGATTCACAGTCATCTTCATCAGTACAAGATTCCATAATTTCAGAAATTACCTCTGATTCATAAGTCATCAAATTTTTATCTCATTGTGAATGCTCCATAAAGTCAAAACCAGGCTTGAAATTCTGTTTTGAAATGGTGTTAGTATTCTCTTTAGTCGGAACTAATATAAAACTTTGTTTTCTGACACCATTAATGATACAGTCTTTGGGAACGTTTTTCCTGGGAAATGATATTCAAATTTAAAGCATTTCTGTTGGATATTAGAATGTAACAACAGTAGGGCATAAGATGACTTGGAATTTTTAGTAGTATATTAAGGAAATAGTGTTAGAAAATGCTGGTATTTGTTTACATTATTGATAACGCAAATAAAAGGGAACAAAGCTGAAAAGACCTTAAAAGTAAGAAATTGTTATTCATGGGTGACGTTTAATCAAAATTATAATGTAGCAGAATTCAATGACGTAACTAGGATGTTATTGTTGGATGGGCCATGGCCTTCTAACTAATCAATATTTGTACTTTTTGTTTTTTGAAGTTAAATTTGATAAATTAGAAACTTTTGAAAGTGATGAATCAAATTTCTTGCATTGTTGGCCTCAAAGAAAATAACATAATTTAAAACTCTTTACATTTAGAATATGCCCTTATTTTCTCAATTTAATTATAAAAATAAAATCATTGTTTTATGCAAAAAAATTAGATATGATGCAAGAATTAATTTTTTCCCCATGAATTTCTATTAACATTAAACTTTCGTAAAACAGGATGATGATTGGATACTAAAAGAGCAAGATGTTGGGATTTCGCTTCAGCTATCTCTATAAGCTGCACACTGAATCTTTTATGGGATTTAATGCTGTCTGCCTGCCTGGTAATCCACCCGGAGCATTTTATCGTTCCAGTTTACCAGCTACACCAGTCTCCACTCCAATCAGAGAGAATGGACGGTTTTCAGAGCAAGCCCTGCGTGAGAGGCTATGCCGGACTCCGTCACCAAGGAAGTGCAGACTGTTCGAGTCCAGGGTTTCTGAGCCGGACATCGGTTTTAACGTCCTAAATTCTGGGCTTCAGCTGTCCTCCCCTGATGATGAAATAGATGAAGAAGCTCCCCTCGCTTTTTCACCTGCTAGACCAAGCCTGCAAAGTCGTCTGGAGAGGTTAGAGCAGGAACAAGAAACTCCTGCCAACAAACTCAGACGAAGGATTTTTGTGGGAAACATTCCAGATCGAGTATGCTGCATCATTCTAATTTTTCTTAGACTCATAATTATTGAACTATAATTCAATTAAAAAAAAATTATATGTATGTGCAATACCATGGTGACTGGTATTACATTTTGATAGGTTTTCTTATTTTTATTGGTAAACATAAATTTTTTTTTCTAAGAATTATAAAGGATGCTTTTTAATAGCCTAATATTATGCGTACAAGAAAAGGAAAGAAAATTATAAATGTTTTATTTAAATTAAAAATATAAAATAGGACGGACATTACACAGAGAGGGCATGGAGTAGGAGATCATATTTTTATTTTTAAATTCTATTTCTTCTAAAAGCAATATTGCAATTAGTTTTTAAAATTTATTTTAAAAGATGCACAAGAAATTTATTTTAAGATAATGTTAGTTCTACTTAAGAGCCAAATTTTCTTGTGATTTTTTTTTCTAATTATTTTTGGGTCTTTTTATTAATGTCTTTTTTTTACAGGGTTCATAGTTATCCTAATATTCTTCCTAATAAAAAATATTTTGTCCGTATTTGACCTTATTTTTAGTTTTTTGTGCATGCTCAATACTTCCTATTTTCTACGAATATGAATGCAGATTTTAAAAAAAATCGAATTATAGATTTGCAGAATTACAGATTCAAAAGATTTGGACATTCAATCTGAAAACTTATAATTTTAATTACTATTTCTAGTAAAAATCACAAAATTGGATAGTTTAAACTTAGGTATAGTCCAATAATTATGCTCATAGTACAGATTTCTTGTTAACCTTACTGAATAGTATTAACTGCTTTTTTTTCAAGAAATAACTAAATATTCATCTAAATTTCATACTTAAATTCTATTATTAAATTAATTCTTATTCTAATGTAGCTTCTATNGACGTCGGCTTCGGTGGTCGTATTTTTGTTTTATTTCATTTGTTTTGTATTGTACTATTACCTCTAATTGACTTCTAAATTATAAAATTCTTAATTTTTACTGTTTGTAAAATACCTTTTTATAATTTATGTTATCCAAATATTTATTTAATTTTCTTAAAAATTGGTATATATTTTAATTCTAATTAATTTCTGTAAGTTAATTTACATATACTATTTTTATTTTATACTATTTTCGGTATTAATACTTCTTCAAAATATTGTATATTACTCAGGTTAGAAAGAAAAGCAAACGTGAAGTGTACTTCTGATAATAACATTTATAAAAAAGTTCTTTTTTTTCTTTTCTTTTTTAATTGTACTTAAACAGCCTTTAGTATGTTCATCCATGTATGCTTTAGATCTAAATTTACCCAATTTTTACTAGGTTACGAAAAGAGAGTTAAAAGACTTTTTCAGCAAGTATGGAAGAGTAACTGATTGCGTTATTGTTCAAGATCACATTAAAAGAAAATCTAGAGGGTGAGGCTTAATTAAATTTTTTAGTTTATTTATTTACTTTTTGTCAAATGCCATTGGATGTGTTAATTGTTTTACATTATATCGTACTGTTTTCATATCAAACATAAATAGGCCTAATACTGTTTCTCATAGTTGTCAGTGCAATTTTATTAGTCAGAAAAAATTATCTTGTGATAGAATCCTTCATTAAGATTACTCTACCCTCGCCATCTTGGTCCTACGTTAAGTTTTTGATTTAAGTTAATTTTTATGTTTAATAGACTTTTGATGATATTGTATTATTCGACAGCACAATATTTTTAAAAAAAAAGTGAAATGTAAAATTGTCACTTTATTTAATTAGAAGAAATAGCGCTTGATAAGTTTTAGAATTTCTATTCAATTTTTCTCGAAATTTTAAAGCAATAGCATTTATTAATTTGGCTTTGAATAAATCATGTAAAACTGCATGTTTGTCAGTTTTTTGATTTTTTAAAAATTTAATTTTATAACAGTTAATTAGTTTCCATCCGAATTCTAATTTTTTAATATTTAAAACCTTTACCAATGCTGCATTACTTGGGCTCATAAAAATTTACAAAAACTGAGAATAAAGACGTGATTTTGATAATTTTTCATCCAGGTGGAAAAATGTTGTCAAATTGGCGATTTTTTAAAAAAAATTAATAATGTGTCTGTTTTTATTCTAATATTATGGGTGATATTCTCTCATTTTGTTTGGGGGGGGGAGGGGTTGGAAGCTCAAATAATTTCCTTTTTCCCATTTTTTAAATTATCATCACAATGAAAAAAATAATTAAAAATCATGAAATCCATAGTGATAATTGCCGAAAAGAAGATCAACGACAAAATCACGTGAATTTGACTTCTCAAATGCGTGTTTCATTTTGAAATTAGGTTGTTGTAATAAATAATATTGGATAAAATATATCGGATTTAAAAACTATGGTGAGATCAATAGCAATAACTGCCAAAAATTCGATAGAATTATTACCTTAAATAGTAAATACTCAATTGCACGATTCGAATTTTCCATCATATTGTTTGAAATATATCGGGCTATTTAAAATCCACTCAAAAATCAAAAACTGCCAAAAATACAATCGAAACATTACATAGATTTACGATACTATTGGTAAATTAAGCACTGTAACATTCTGCGAGAATGTCGTCGTGTCGCGGCAATTCTGCGATGGAGTTTTTCATTGATGCAAAATATAGAGGTTTTACTTTAATGGATTAATAAAAAAAATGACCAGTTGCCTTACATCATTCTTAAATAAACTTTTTTTATTTTAGTTATGGCTTTATTATATTCTCTAATCCTCAAGAAGCAGAGGAGGCTAAGAATGCTTCTCCTGAAGATCTAGAAATTTATGGACGGTGAGTTGTTATCTCATTAAATTGTTTATGTTATTAATTTGATCTGATAGTTCTTTATCTGAGAAATCCTCATGTTACTTTCTTTTTTTATTTTAGATCACTTAGAGTTTTCCCTGCTGAACAGAAAAGAACTGAAAAGTATAAGAAAGAAGCCAGGGAAATTTTATTTCAACAAGTAAAGTATTTTTTTTAATTATGAATTTAGATATATTCACTCTAAACACAAATCATGTATTCATTGTTCTAATTATCTGTGGCCTATTAAATGCAATATAACTTAAATATAAGATTGTTTAAAGTTATGTGTTGCTATTTTCCTTATTAAAATAAATTTTCGTTAACAATTTATGAGTACCTAAAAAATTTTCTTACAGTGGGTTAATTTTATCTATATGTTTTCAATGTAAGTTTAACCTCTTAATGTTTGCATAATTAAAAGGAAAGTAGTATCTAGCGCTATACATCTAGTTTAAAATAAACTGTCTCTAAGCACGTTACAAATAGTCTAGTATTGCTCTCTGGTGTATAGATTGAGAAATAAGCATGATTCCAGGTATTAGTAATAGATTGTTTTAATCTTAATGGCACTTAACTTTTGAACACTGCCGCCCAGAAAAATCACTGCATATGAAATGGAGGGCGAAACATCACCCTGTTATTTTGACGAGCGCGAGAAGGAAGGGGGAAAAAGAATTTTACTTGATTTGAAAAAGGAAAACAAAAAGTAAGCATGCTGGTGGCAACTAAGCGCATGTTTGGATGTAATGCAAAAATTTGTTATGTATAGCAAGGACTTGGCCACATAATATTTTTATTTGTAAGTAATTATACTTTTCAAAGTTTTTATATATCTTTAAAACCAAATTTTGGGAAACATATGTTTATAAGTATTTAAATTGTTAATCAAGCTAATTCGTTTTAAAATTTTCTATTTACTTTTAGTTTTGTAAATTTTTCCGGGAGGAGATTTTTTTTTTTTTATAAGAAGTCCATTTAGAAATTTAATGAAAGTCCATTCTTATCAACTTTTTTCTGAATGACTTTTTTTTGGATCTAAAATTTTAGTCTTTGAACTGACCTAAAATCAGTCTAAATTAATAGACCCTTCCCTCGAATATTCTTAACTATATTGTTTCTATGTTTTTTTTACTTCAAAAATCTATCTATTTTTATCTGTCACTTTTTAAAATTCTTAGGTATCAAACAGAAATTTTATTTCAGAAAATAATTAATTTGCTTACTTCATTGCTTGTTTTGTGTTTTATTTAGCATTCACATTTAAAACTTAAATATTGAAGCACCCTATTTAATATATTTATTTTTGCTTTATTAGAATGTGGAGAGTGATTTATCCCCCACCTATGATGAGGAAGGTGATAGACAATTCTTTAGCAGAACACCAAAGACAGATGGTTTGCAGAACATAAATGAAATGTCTGATGATATGTTGTTGTTGATATTTTCTTATTTGGACATTAGAGAAAGAACTAAATTAGAAGCTGGTCAGAAAACTATTATTGATTTTTCTTCTTCTGAATAATCTCTTATATCTGTAATAATACTTACTATAATTCTATAAAAAATAGAGTTAAGAGAAAACTTTAGGGCCTGTGTTTTTAAAAAAATAGTGTAGCAATATTTTAAAAGCATAGGTATAAAAGTATCCCGTTGTGTATAATTTTAATTTACTACTCATGGTGGCATTTACAGGGAGATTTCTGTATCATGATCCGTGACAGAGTAATTGCCTAGTCTTTGTAACTTCTCGGCAGCGGCCCACGAGAAACTAAAAAGTAACGTCACTATAAGGGCAAACATCTACATGTTTTTTTAAAAAAGAAAATTTGCAAGTTTTAAAATCTATTTGGCACCTTGGCGATTGTAGTTGGCAGGACAGATCACGATACGGAAATATCCTTGCATTTACTGTTCCAATCTTTATTATAAGATGACTATCTGTGTAGTGTCTAAAGATGTTTAACTTTTTAAATAATTTAAAATTGATTTGAAGCATCGTTATATGTGAATTGCATTCAGCCTGTTTCGCAGAATCATCTGTTAAAGTATTTTACAAAAGCATAGCTTCTTATCCCTAGGTATTTCTAATTAAATTTAATCTTGTTATATAATTAAATTTTTATTGTTTTTCAGGCTATATCCAAATAGTTAAATTTTGCTCTTACTTATTATTGTTTAAATCTTTCTTAATTTAAGATCCGGACTAGCCTTTTTAGATACAGTGTTGAAAAAAAGGTTTTAACCTATAAATTTTTTTGCTCCTGAAAGTTAGGCTTAATCTTACTAGAGCTTGGTAATGAAATTCCTTAGGCATTTATTTAGTAACTTTAAAAAAAGACTTTCGTGAAACAACATGATTTTAATTATGTAACCTAAAGTATATTGTAATAGCTGCATAATTCAATATATAAATCCATGAAATACTTAACCATTAGTATAAGGCTCTCTCAAACTTTTCCTAGTTTACGAGATTTGAAACTACCTCACAGCATTCTTGTCATATAATCTTTTACTTACATATTTTGCAGTGTTTCAAATGTGTAAGACTATAAAACAGAAACTATGAAAGTAAATGCTGAGAATATAAACATAGTTATTATGAATATTATGTTTGAAATTCACTGAAGTATTTTACTTGTAATTAATTACATACATACGTAATGAATAATACACTATTAAAGATTTGATTAACATAAGTCTTATACAGTGAAACCTCTAGGGAGCGACCACTCTTCGTTCTTCAGTAAAATGGTCGTTGATGGTGGTTTGTCGTTCTTAGAGGTTACCTCTATTGATTTTTGAAGTTGTTATCGAAGGTACATGATTTTTCACCAGCAATATTAATTTTAGTCAGTGTCATTTTCTTCGTGCGAAAATGCAATTTCTGTTGGTGTCATGAAAAGATGGATCATTGAATAAAATTTAGCGGCGATAAAAATTATTCTAACTGACATAATTATGTGTAAAAATAAATTTTCCAATTATGAATGATAAAGGAATTGAACAAAAAACAATTTTGTTTTTTGTTCAAGTTTGCATTTAATTTTATATCATTGAAATGCTGTGTGTTATTGCGATTCATAACAAGCATTGCTGACTCTTTTGATTATGCATATTTTTGATATATATTAAAAAAACTTAATATGAAAAGAGTTATTCTATATCAGACATATATTCACATTCTGGCCATCTATTAGCATAAAAATTGTGAGTTTTAGTTTAATGGATAGTTAACAACCTAACGCTGAATGCAATTTCAGCAGCAATAAAAACAAAATCGAACACCATCTTGTTTATTATGGCGTCGTGGCAAGGTTACATTGTTTCTGGTGTTGATAATTTTTATTGAGTTTTTGCTGTCTTTTCAGGTTTAACTTCCTTTCTGCTTTCTTTGCATAAGTTTTTTTGTGATAGATTTAAAGCCTTTTAAAAAAATTGTTCCTATATGCTTGCATATTGATTCTTTTCTAGTATGCAAAAAATGGAGGGGTTTATCATTATCTTTGTGGAAACGACAGGCCTGTATTAACCTACAAAATGTATTCTGTATTTGGGAAGGAAGGCGTGAGTAATCTTGTTTTCATTTTATAATCTGTATTGTATATTATTTATGTTTTGTTTTACATTGTAAATTAATAAATATTTTGTTCTTTGTGTGATATAATAGAGGTCTTCTAAAATCTTTTCATATGTCTGATTTTTAATCAGATATCTCTGATGATGCAACAAAGTTTATACACATGCTTTTATGTTTTTTTTATGTATTGTAGTTGTAGAATTCGCTGTTAAATGTATAAAACTGACTAACCTTAATAACTTTTGTCTAGTGATCGGATTGTCCTTTTCCTGAACCATAAGATCCAATCCTAACCAATCTATACAATCTTCAAGGACTTCTTAAATGTGCTAATTAGTTTGTACCAGCAATATATTAAAATCAGATGCAAAAATGTACTTTCTTTGAATAAACATGCCTTTTTTTTTCAACAGAGTGGGATTTCTGATCCCAAAAATATATGGGTAGCTGTAATAAATAAAATTGTGGTCCCAAAAGTTTAGTTTGTGAAGCAGTCGAAAGCATGAATGAATTGTCAAAGTGATTTAACTTTTTCCATATTTTGCTTCAATTTGAAAAGTTTTTAAATGGATCGTAAACTTTTTGTATGTCATAGTGGGACTGTTTATCTAAAGATAATTCCAATCAAGAAATTTTTTAATAATTATTTCATGTATTTAATTATTTTATACATTAATAGTCGAAAAATTTTAAACTCTAAGGTATACAAATTTTTTGTATCATTTAAAAGAATTTAGTTTCATATGGTAAAAACAAAATTAAAATTTTTTTAATAAGTGGTATATTAAAAGTTGTAACTGCACTATTAATTATCATATTTAAGGTCACCCCCGTTAATCGTTAAGATTGAAAACCTAGTATGTGAAAATCTGTTCATTGAATCTTTAGTTATTTATGGTGTTCTTTTTTTATATTTCCTATGCTGTACATTAAATAGATTTATTTTGACTTTAAAAGGAATTAATATGTTTCTTAAATTTTAAATCTTTGAAGCAGCTATCTGGTGAAACAATATTTTTTTGATTTTAACATGAATATTTTCATATTAATCAATTGAAGTTTCTTACATTAATTATCTATGGTTTGTAATTATTTGAAAGTTACACATTTGCTATATTGTTACACATTTGTTACAAATTTGCTAGTTACACATTTGCTATTTATACATTTGTTATTTTTCTCAATTTTTTTCAATTATATGAGTTCAAAAATAATTAAGGGAACAAAATTATGTAAAATATTGCACACTTTTAGTTTTTATTATTTGTTTCCAATTCTTCTTATTTATTCCATTTTTCTTTTAGCATTAACCAATAGCATCCTTTTATCAATTTTGAAAAAGTGTTCAGGAAGTCTTAGGAAACTAGATCTCTCCACTGCCTCCCACACACTGGACTACAAAGCTGTGGAAATTATAGGTATAATGAGAAGACTAATTAACCAAACTTTTACATTTTTATGGGTGGTCATGCAGTTTCTTTGCTATTTTGTCTTTGTTAACTTTCTGTAACGATCTTCTTCAACCTTGATTACTTTTTAACTTGAGTTAACTTTCCACATTTTGTTTAAAAAGCTGATATTTTCATAACTTTGCAATGTCAAATACACTCCTGGAAAGTCACAAAATTCAGTATTGAATAAAATTTTTCATGAAACGTCGTGATTTTAACTATTCATTAAAAAAAATTATGGAAAGTCATGGATTTAAGTTGTTGAAAAGTCTAATTTTTAAAATAGAATTTACCCCCACCCCCAATTTCCTGGTGTTCCGAATATCCGAATTTGTAACAAAATACCCACAGTCATATTTTATTAAAATATAAAATGTTCTTATCGTGTTCTTTAAAAATTAGGTTCTTTCAAAAAATGAAAGAAATAATGGCATTTCTAGAGCAAATTATCTTATGAAACTTATGTGATTTCAGAATTTTTGTTATTATTTATTATTTTTTCTTTTATCAATTAATTAATTCTAGCTGAAGCAAGCCAGTCATTGGCAAATTCTGTTTATTCCGTAATGAGAACAGTAAAATCAGGAGTATTTGTTTCTTTTCCGATGAACAAGAAAAGTATTTTTAGAATAGAATTCTGCAGAAAAAAATTTTTTTTGCTCAGCTATTATTTTTCAGCTATTTTATTGCTTCAACTCTTTCTTTACTCTGTTCTTTAAATTTAAAATCTATTAAAATGAAGATGCAGAGTATAACAGTTTTGATTATACCTATCATTTCAATTAATGTTATTATAATGCTTTTTAAAATTTATTGTTGTGTTTTTGTCGGGAGAAAATAGTAACTTCGTTAAGTCATGAAAAGTTCTTGGAATTAGTCATGAATTTGAAAATCTAAAATGTAGCAGAAGATACCCTGTAAATATTAGTTCAACATAGCATTATAAAATCTTAACCCTGACATAACAATATTTAACACTTTTCATTATTATAAAACTACTAGGGGGCTAAGCCCCTGTTTGCTGATGCTCACCAACCCCAATGATTGCTTCACAATTATTGCTGTTTCTTGACATAAAACAGTTGAAATGTATGTTCTAAAAAGAACACTTGGGCCTTCAATTCCCAAGTCCAAATACTATTAAGGTGTATAAGTGAACATAAATAATTTTTCTAAGTGATCATTTTTTGAAATAACATTTAAAATTAAAAGTTATAACAAATTTAGTGAATTCACAACTGTAATTTAATATTTATGCTTACCTAATGGACGGATGTATTTTAAATACAATTTTTGCATTCATCACTTTGGAAGCTGAAAGTTAAGTTTTAAATCATTTACTGAATCTCTTTAACCATGATTAATAAGAGTACATTAATGTAATTTGGACTAAAAATAATAATTGTAAAACGGTTAGTAAGATCAGACACTTTATCTAACTACACTACACTACACTTTAAATAACTTTATCTTAAAATGTAATGTAGAATTACATTATTCTAATAATAATAAAAACAATCCCCGAAACTCTTAATTTAGAAATTAAATAAAATCAAAAACGTAAGGATAAAAGTACAGGTAATTTTATCCTTTAAATTAAGGAAGCAAAAATATTTTTAGGAAGACAATAACTTTGACTTATGTCAATTTTATGCTATAAAAATGTATTGACATCAATGGAAAACTATGACGCTATCTTTAGATTTTTACATATTGTAAGATAACTTGATAAACTTATCTTAGCAACCAATTCTATTGAATTTTTCCATTTTAACCTTGCTCTGTTATTGTGGTGTTTGTATATTTTGAAATATTTCCTAAAAAAGGAAAAAATTTCTAAAAAAATAAATCTGGTTTTACTTAAATTATTACTTGCTTGAAAACTTGACCCAAATATTTAGGTTTTCCATACTGAAATCTAATACGATTCAATCAAGAAATTGTATCTTAGTTTGGGAAATTTATCGGCATTTTTATTTTTCAAGTTTTTTATTTAAAATTTTTTTTATTGTTGCCAAATTATAAAATAAAAAAATACACACTTTTTGAGAATAATTTGCATGCTTAGTTAGTTAATTTGCAAAGTTAGTTTTGAGTTAAATGAGTTCTATTTCTGATAATTATTGTGCAAATCAAATAGTTTTAGTGATCTTTTGGTGAGATCATCTCAGTCATATAAATTGAATTATTCAAACAAAATTTATTCAGAGTGTAATTTATTTTCATACGTGTGTTGTGAATATACAGCTCATTAAAGTCTGTTTGATCAATACTTGAAGTGGTTGTCTGTTAAACATATAACATGTTGGTTTGTTTATTACTTTGTTAAACGAATTTATGCAATTTTGAAATGTATATCAATATATATATATATGTATAAAACTTTCTTTTTTCCGTAGCTCAATGCTGCCCGAACCTAGAGCAAATAAATTTATCAGGAGTTAAAGTCACAAATGTTTCTTTGCAACAATTGGCAATAAAGTGTCCAAAATTAAAGGTAAAAATATAGTAAAATTTTTATTAAGCTTCCCTGTGTTTTAACTTTTAGTTTGAATATTTTTTTTTATTTAATTAGCAGAATTTAAATTACTTTATAAAAGAATTTAAAGAAGAAAAGCTATTTTCTCTTTCAATCACTTTGCTAAAAATTATTATTCTTTAATAAAGTGAAATTGAAAAGTTTAATTGTTGTTTACAACTGTATAATGATTAAGTAATAATTTATGGAAGTAACATTAAGATTCAAATGATAAAGCATGAAGTAGTGCAGACTTTTAACATCTTGTAACACATATGAAATTTGTCAGGAAAGGCTTGCAACTTTGAATGTACCTGTATTTTGTGGATTGCGTAGCTTTATGTTGCATTGCTAAATATTTGTTTATTTTTTAGCAAGTTCTTTTACAAAGGTGTTTCGAAGTAGGAGAGAAAGGGTAAGATACTAATAATTTATTTAAAAAACAATTGTGCTGTTTTTTGAAACCATTAAAACTAATTTTATAAAATTTTTTCTAGTATCTGGTGGCTGTTGCATTTATGTAAAAAATTAGAATTCATAGATTTGACGGGTAATACAAGAATAACTGGCCAGGTAAAGTTCATTTTGATAACATCATTTATTAAGAATTTTTCCTTCTATTTTAATTGTTAGTGCTCTAAATTATAGTTTCCAGCTTTAAAATGGTTAGGACACACTAATGGCATAAAGAATAAGATTCTTTTTTGTGAATTTTTTTCCTTCAAGACCATCAAATAAATCAAACATTATACAACTGGTGAATACATAACATTTAATAAGGAACCTTTTTATGAAAAAAGAACCTTTTTTTCCGAAATCTTAGCTCATTGTGAGTTTAAAATGTTTGTGTTTAATAGTCTTATAAATCATTATTTGAAATAGTTTACTTTACTTAATGATATACTAAATTATCTACCTAGCTAAACAAAATTTGTAAATGAACTTTCATCTTGAAAATTAAGATCGTTTAAGGATTTTCAGGTTTCTTACTATTTCTTAGTATGCAAAACAACAACCATCTTTCTATCTTATGAAGTAAAGTATTTAATATTATAAATTTTAACTTTTTAAACACTAAACTGTTTTTTGAGTTTTGCAAAAATAACTGTTGTTACTTATTCAAAATCAGTAAAAAACTTTTGATAATGAGAAAAGTAAAATTATAATAGTTTTATTATTTATCACAGTAATTTATATAATTTCCATCAGATATCATATTCAGCTGCAATCATATTCAGCTGCTAAAGAATGTTAAATAAGTATGCCTTGCTGTTTAGTTTAACATATTTTTGGTACTTTAATATTAATATCACCAAAAAGTAAAGAAAAAGTACTGAACTCAAATAAGTATGCAATTAGAGTGTAAACACTATCTGTGGAAAAGGCCATGTTTATTATAAAATCTATTGATATTACAGAGTAATAAATGTGACAAAAATTGAGACATAGTTCATAAAAAAGTTATAATGGTTAAGTTAATATGGATACCCAACTAATAATCAAGGGCATCCACAGAAATTGTTTCAACCAAGAATCAATATAGGTTGGTGGGGAGTGAAACCAAGAAAATAAATATTTTTTAAAATAGTTCAAAAGTCGGATAAAATTTCTTATTTTCTTAACGTAATTTTGCTGTCAAAAATTTTCACAAATTGATTAATTTAATGTAAGTTACTAAACTAACAATATTTAATAACATTAAAATTTTAAAACATAGAAAAATTAATAAATATCATGCTTTATTTTAATTTTTTGCATGAAATGTGTTATAAGTACAGAAAAGCCCTGTAAGTTTAAGTGTTTGTGATTTTTTTTTATTAAATAATGTTTTTCTTGTTATATTTTTCAGTGGGTGAAAAAAGTTACTTTTAGCTTTAAATTTAAAATTAAGACTTTTGCATCAAGTTTGATGTAAAAATAGATTCAATGTGACATGCAAGATGAATTTTAACTTATTGGATTTCCAGGTGGGTGCAACTGCACACTCTTAAACTCCCTTGTGGGCTGGTTTTCACAGATATTTAGATAAATTCATTTGAAAATATGTTTTATATGAACAATAAAAATATTATAGTTTCATTATAATAATTAATAATTTTTTTGTTAATTGAGATAATCCATAAAGAAAATGCTTTTGTGAAACATATGGACAGAAAAGTTTTAATTATGTAGAATGTATTATTTTTATGCTTCAAATCATAGCTTTTTGCAATTATCACTAGTGATGAACTCTTTCTCTAAAGAAAATTCTAACTAAAAAAAACTATTCAAAGAACTTTCCTTGCCATTCTTCTTTAGCAGTCTTGGTGACTATGGTTACGAGGTATAACTATTTCAAGTAGGGGAGTTCGGTCGATATTTAAGGCCAGTGTTGGCTTCAGTTTGCGACAGAAAGGAAATCAGGATTAAGAATAGTTCTCTTTAAAATGCACTGTTTCTTGTTTCCACAGCATAGACTAACCATACAAAATCCACAATTTGAGTGAAACTTACAGTGAAACTCAAAGCGAAGCTTTAAAATATATATTTCCAATTTTACTTAAAAGAATTACCTGCACTTTAAAAGGTTAACTTGGTTTTAAAGTCTTTGGGATCAGACCTATAAAAGTGTACCCAAATTATTTCTATTTACTGCAACCACTCAGTGTTTTCAAAATAATTATTTTTTAACATTAACCTTATTAAATATAATTGTATTTATTATATTATTAAATATAATATAATTATTTTTATTAAAATTGCTTCCATATTTTTAGTGTTTTCACATGGCTGGTTCTTGCCTTTCTACATGTGTGCTAAATAAGTGTTCAAGGGTAAATATCTCATATTTTTCAATGTTTAAAGCGTTGTGTCATTTGTATTCCTATTTAGTGTTCTAAGGAATAAATGAAAATCATACTTTATTTTTAAACACATGTAAATTATAATAAATTTTTGTTTATATTTAAAGTATTTGTTTTTTTATTTTGACAATAGAATTGACTCACTTTTATTTGATTTTTATTAAAAAAAAGTATTATTATACTGATTTCATTTCATTTTATACCTGCAATGTATTTTTATTTTTCTGTAGTTCAGTCCCATTGGGTTCACAAAATTAGCAACTAGATGCCGAAACCTTACAACATTGTACCTGAATGATTGTTTTCTCCTATCTGATAGAGCTCTGGAATTATTATGCCAGGTATGAATTTTATTTTTATTATTTCTCTTTTTGAAATTCTTAAAAATCTTGCAGAATAATTATACTATTTTTTTTAAAGCAAATTTATTAATTAATATTTATTATGTTAAATGAACCTCTCTTAAGTTTAAAATATTCTTGTTAATCTTTTATCATCAAGATATTTTTGTTAATGTTGTTTTTTTAAATTATTTTTTAGAGCTTAAAAAACTTGAAAACATTGTATGTGGGCGGACTTTTTCCTGATTGTAAGTGTGACAAGTTTTTTTTAAATTGTGATTTTATTCATGGTGAATATAGATTCTCATTAGTGTAATTTGTTAATTATATGTAATTAAAGTGTTACTGAAATAAAAAAAACTATATTTTTATTGTGTACATGCATATTTAGTTTAATTTTAATACCTTCTACCTCTATACATTCTACATTCATGTCTTCATTTGTTAATACTTATTGATATGATTTTTTTCTCTATTTTCTAATTCAGTGGTTCTCATTTTTTTTCTGACTACAGAAACTAAAAGGATTAACCTTTCTTTGACAAAACACTAATTTTAAAAATATAGGCATGTAATTTTTTTTTACATGCCTATATTTTTCATTTTTTTTTTCAATATATTATCAGAAAGGAAATATATTTTTTAGACAACGCTTTTTTCCATTGACATTTTGCTAGAATGATTTTATATATGTATATATTTATTATTTTCATAAAGGGATAAAAATAATTGATCTTTTTGCATATATTTAGCTGACATATGAATTTTTTTATGTGTAAAATTTAGAAAGCTATTGAGGCGTGTACTTTAATTTCCGCTCTCTCAAATATTGAACTTGGGGTGACCACCTTTTGAATACAAGGCAATCACTAATAGCTGATTTGGAATAATAGATCAAGAATTCAAATAATTCAGCTATACATTGATGCTCAATGACATCTATTGTAATCTTGGTTTGCTATGATTTCCTGGTGCATTGTATCATTTAACCATATATGTGAATTACTTTCTTGTTACACAGAAGTAAAATTGATCCTGAATTGACACATTTATGAAGAACTTAGTTTCTATTTAATGTAAAAAATATATAATTTAGAATAATTAATTTAGTATTAATTTATGTAAAAAATATATAATTAATTTAGAATTATATAATTTTCAAAAAACTTTTTTACATTTTTCTTTTTAGTAACATCAAGTGGTTTGCATCACATTGGAAGATTATCTAGTCTTGTATGTATAAGATTTATATATCCAGCAATAATAATTAATAATAATGTCTCACAAAATTTAAACTCCATATTGTTTTGAATTTCATTAACTTGTTTTTAACCTTCATTCAAAATCTTTTCTACTCCATTGGATTCTGAAGAGGATACTAGTATTTTTGTTATTGAAAGCCTGCAAATTGTATGTTTAACTGAATTCAGAATAGATAGTTAAAAAATGACTATGCATAATTTCATTTTGGTTTCAATAGGATAAAATATTTAAAATGTGCTTTAGGTTTTTTTTTTGTATTTCATATGTATTTTTATTCCTTTTTGCTGGAATTTTTTCTCCTCTAAAAAAATGCTATTTTTTTTTAACTTTTGAAGTTTTAGTAAGTGTTTAGTTTTATGTTTATGTTTGTTTTAGTTTTATGTCCGTTTTAATTAAAAATGTTGTTTAGGCGTGTTAGGGGATTTCACTTACATTCTTACTTGTATATTGTATTAAATTAGGGGTGCACAACCTTTTTGAGTGAAGGGCCACTTGCACAGCAGGTTGGCTAACGAAGGGCCGCATCTGTATTTAGACATGTTAATGACAAATGTAGCAATGTTTATTTAAACATTAGCGCTCCATTTTTTTTTATCAATTAACTTAGCAATATCAATAACTTAGTAGTGTTCCATTATTAGAATTCATTCAAAAATAAAAAAACTTATACTTTTTTTTTACAAAAAAAAACTTGCTATTTTTATTATATGAACAATAGATTTATCAAAATAAATAAACATTGAAGAAAAGAAATTTTTTTTTTTATCATATCATGCAATACGAAAATTCATTTTAGAATTAAATTCTAATAAATAAAAAAAAACTGCAATGCCCACAGAATGAAAATAGGAAAAAGTTTAGTCATATTTAAGTATTATAAATTCAAATTAAATATTTTAATTGAAGAAAATTTATAGGTTTTAAACAAAAGCCTAAAATAAAAGCAAAACTGTGATAGTTCAAAATAAAATTCAATGCTTATTTTGTAATGTACTTTGTTATTTTATTTTATTAATTATTAGATTTTTTATATCGTAAACATTTTCCTTTTTTTTATCGAAAAAGATCACTTAAGCAACAAAAAATTGAAATCTAAACTACAAACAGTGAGCAGTTTAAAAATTCACGTTTTCCGCTATTTTATGAATTTCTCAAGTTGAAATAACATTGCATTTAAATTAGGGAGGGATGTAACGAGTATTTGGCCATTCTGTGAAAAATTCAATTGGTTGAATGATCAGTCAAATATTCCGCAGAATATTTTTTAGAAATGTATTTTTCTAAGTTTTTTTTATTTTTGAATTTTTATAGATATTATTTTTTTTTCTAAATTATAATCAGACAAGTCAATTTTGTCATTTTTTCAATACTTTGAGAATTGAGAAGGATTATTTCCCATTTTTTGCTGCTTTTATTATAACCCAGCATTTTAACAGAACGTCTCATACTATTAATTTATTATCACTCTTTCCCTGTACTGTAATATAAATAACCAGTAACATAGAAAAGTGTGATTTTCAGTATTAAAGTTTTGTTTCAGGAACTAGGAAAAATTCGTTTTTTCTGTTTCTCTTTTTTTAGGCATTTTTATTATGACTCAGCATTTTTTTTAAAAATAAAGTTACAAATAAAATTTATTTTATAGCAATTTTTTTTCTTCTAAAATTATGGCAATCAGAAAAATTTAAATTGAGATTTTCGGCATAAGTTTTTCATTTTAAAAATTAAGAATGTTTTTTCTATCTTTTTTATTTTCTTTAAATAAAAAAAAAATTTTTTTTAGACATTTTCATTATAACGCAGTAATTTGTAATAGCATTTCTGATGACTTAATTCTTTTTTCTTGGCTTTTTCTGGTAATTGAAAAACTGAGATGTTCAGCTTTAAAAATTGTTTTCAAAAACGTTCTTGACTGACGTTCGTCTTGATTGACAAAAACGTTCTTTTTAGAGTTAATTTATGAATACGTTTTTCCAGGAAATATTATTCTGAGCATTAAAATTTTAGTTTCAGTGTTTAGTAGCAGTAAAGGATTTTGCTATTTGGCCCCAAGTGTACGGCGTACAGTCGATTTCTTCTTCTTTTTTTTTTTTGCCGAATATTTTGTTTTTGACCAAATCACAATTCATTACCACATTCGACCAAATCATATTCGTTGCGGAAATAAAAACAAAGGAAAAATAACTAGGATTTATGATAAAACTGTACCGAAATACCGTATCAAAAAGTGATTATTTAATTGCGCGATTAACGATCACGTGTCATAATAACGGGATCGTCAAAATCATGTGGAAAAGTATAGAAATAATTGGAACTCAGCATGAATAAAGTGTGTCAAATGCATGATTTAAAATTTGCATGTCGTAATAGAATAGTTGGAATTTTTTATAATACGTGGGAACGCATAGCAATAACTGCCGAAAAAAATTTTTGAAAAAAAAGAAAGAATTGCAAAAAAAAAAAGATAAAAAATCACTTAGTTTTAAGATGAAATCGTCACAAATAAAGTGCACGAAAAGTGATTATTTAAATTTGCGATCTGAAACTCGCGTCGTAATAAAAATTCGGTATTTTCGATATCACATAGAAAAGCGGAAATAACTGTTTAAAAAAAATCATTTATATTTTCTATAAAATCAGCTTAAAGAAAGCGCGGTAAACGTACATTTACTAAAGAATCTGTTAAAATTGATTGTGTCAAAACGTGATGACTTAAAAGTGCGATTAAAAATTGCCATTTAAAAAAAAAATTATTGTGTTTAGAAGCTCTCGCGGGCCGCACTTCAGTAGTTGAAGGGCCGCATTTGGCCTGCGGGCCGCAGGTTGTGCACCCCTATATTAAATGGTTAATTGAGAGATCATTCACTTTATTACTTTTGTACAAAAGAGTGTAATGTCATATTCATAGTGTTTTAATTTTATATTAAACAGTACTATAAATTCTTTTTATATTTTGATATCAAATTAATAAGAGTTGTACATTGCTTCATCATTGAAATTGCTCATGAAACTGTTATAACTTTCTGATTTAACAAAATAACTCAGAAATTAAAAATTATATATTTTATTTTTCTGTTGCAAAATTTGCTTTTATTATATTTAAGTAGAGGAAATTTTAGTTTTTTTAAGTTTTTGGTTTGTTCTTTTTTTTTAAAAGTAGTCTGGTATATGCATACTGTATAAAAAATGTCCCGCATTTTTTTTTTTTTCCTCCAAAATGTTGCCCTGATTTTTTCTTTGTCCCATTCCAACGTTAGCGCTGGGTTTAATTAGGTTTGAATTTTTTAAAATTTGATTTTATTCAGACCGAATAGATTCTCAAAACAATTAATTATATAGGGAAGCGTTAAAGTAGCAATGCAGTTAAAGCACCTTGTACGCCGTTTTTTCTGACAAAATTTTTTTTTGTTTTTTCTTGCACTATTGTTGCTAATTTATCTCTAAAACTTTGTAAAACTTTGTAAAAGCAAACCTGATTTATTATTTTATCTACAGAGAAGTCATGAGTAAAAATTCTCATATATTCTTGTCATAGGTACTAAAGCTTTCTTTGATGCATTGTTATTTTAAAGCTTAATTCAGTATTTTAGCATTTAGTTTGTTAGCAATTATTTGTTGTGTGGTTTCTTTAAATATGCAAATTATTTATAGGAAAACTTATCATTGTCTCATAATCATAACGTAGATGATGAAGTAATCTATGCAATTAGCAGAGGCTGTAAAAAATTAAGGTAATGTCACACTATTATTTTTGATATTTATTTTTGCATTATTATTTTTTTATTACTAACCCTATTTCATTTTCAGGTACCTGGATATTTCAGGTTGTGCAGAAATAAGTGATTATTCTTTGAGTTCTCTATCATCAAGTTATAGTCTAAGAACATTTTACATGAGTTATTTAGATCGGGTATGTGCTAAATTTGTTGCAGAAAATTTGGTATTTAATTCCATTGTTTTTAAAATGTTGATTGAATTGGGGGAGGAAAAGAAAAACTAGGTTAAAATTAAAGTAATATACTTAAAAGCTTTTTGTTGTAGATGTTTCGGCAGCATTTCAATAAATATGCATTAAATTTAGTGTTTTATTTTATACAGTGAAACCTCTCCGAAGCCTTCACTCTCTGTTTCACAGTAAAATGGTGGTTAATGGAGGTGGGCCGTTCTTAGGATTTGCCCCCATTAACTTCAAAATGTTATCGAAGGTACATGACTTTTCCCATGCAATTTTCATTTTAGTCAGTGTCATTTTGTTGCTTCAAAAATGCCACTTGTGTGGGTGTCATTAAAACCGAATTCATGAATAAAATTTAGCTTCATTGAAAATGATCCCTACTGATGTAATTATGTTTAAAAAAATTAGATGAAAATACCGGTTCTCGTCCGAGGGCCGAATTTGAGCATCATCGGGTGCAATCGGTACTTGGAAGGATGGCCACTTGGGAACACCGTGCGCCGTTGGCATACCTTTTGAGCCGTGGTGGTTCAGGTGATAGAGTGTTCACCTTCCAATGTGGTGAATCGGGTTCGAATCCCAGCGATGGCTGGTCGATTGGAATTACGAACCCGGCTCTCACCGGCCACAGTGCTGACGAGGAATATCTTTAGTGGTATAATAGAACATTGGTTAAAGTCCCCTTGACGTCAAGCTAACCATGGGAGGTTTTGGTGGTTTTCCTCTCCATGTAATGCAAATTCAGGTTAGTCAGGTTTGAGTCCTCCAGAAAGGCAAATTTCTCCCAATACTTGATCCCGTAGTTTCCTTGTTTTCTGTATTGGGTTCATAATTATAAGGCAACGGATTTGAACATTGGTAATCGTGAACCCAAAATTGGGTCGGCTGTTCAACAACGGTATAAAATAAAATTATGCATAACAGAACAATTTTAAATTAGTAAGCAATTATGTTTTTAGTTTAAGTTTACATTTGATTTTATATCATGAAAATTCTGTTAGTTTTAAAAATGAAAAGAGGTTTGTTTGTTTGAGATGCTAAGTTTTTTCTTACATACCTTTTTTTTAATGTTAATTTTCAACTCTAAAAATAAAGCATTCTGCAATATGAGTTTGTAGATTTTTTTCAGAGATCTTTAAAAAGAGCTCTCTAAATAAGTGCCACACATATATTTTGCATACATTTTAATCTATTAATTTGTTTTGTTAATATTTTTTATTTTGATATTTTTTTGTGTTTCCTTATTTGACCTTTTCCTCACATGGTGCAGAGGTCTGCCCGATCGCTGGGAAAGGTTTTGATGATCTCTTTTAAAGTTTTTCATGTATACAAAGTCTATGAAAGAAATTCCATGTTTCCCAAAAGTGGTCATAAATAGAACTAGTCTTTCCTAGAGGTTTCACTATATTTATTATTGTTTTGCCCATACTAGTGTTTAAATGGAAATTTCATCAGTAATAAAACTACAAGATTGAACCTAAAAAAGAATTATTAAACATTTAAATTTGTCTAAGTAAACAATGTTTTTTTAATTTGTGGAATAATTCTCAGAGAGAGATGTAGAAAACTTATTAGAGACATTTGTGAATTATTTTTCTTATTTTTTGAACTTCAGAATTGTTTAATACATTATTGAATGTTTAGTTTATGACATATTTATTAAGTATAATTGCAAAATCATTGTTCCAATTTTAATACTTTTTTTGACTAAATATTTTTAATGTTTTATTTTTAAGTTATGTTTAAAAAGACAATGATGTTAAAATATTAAATTTAAATTTTTTTTTTCGGTATAAATGCATTAAGAACATTATTAATATTTTAATTATTTCATATGGTTTGTAATGTTTACATTTTAACAAAATTTAGAAGCATAATGTATTAAATTCTTGTATTATTTTTTTTAATAATATTTTTTGAATCTTAAAAAAAGTTTGGTACTAATTGTTTCTAATACCTGTTGTCCCTAATAACATGCAAAGTTAAATTGAATAAATTGTAGAAAAAAAATGCAGAATTCTCCTTGATATGTTAATAATTCTGTTTTGTAGAAAGATTAATCATGATTAAAAATGTTGCACATTTTAGTAAATGCCTATATTTCTATTTCTTAGATTACTGATGAGGGGTTATCATCAATTGCTAAACAAGGAATGTTAGAAAAAATCCAGTTGAGAGGTTGTCCTAATATTGGAGACCAAGGTAATAATCATTTAAAAAAAAAAAAATGCATTATTTAAAAGCGTGACCTTCTTATAGCTTCATATTTTTTGATTCAAAAAATTAAATTTTATAAGTTTTTTTTTAAAATTTCTAAACAGCAAGCTGAAGTTTGTTTAGATTAATTCAATCTTATAAATTATATATTTATTTATTATATTCAAATGAATTCTGTTTTCTTAGGAGATTTACGGATTGCTACAAATCTCAAATTTAATTTAACACTTTTTTATGAAATGCTGAACAAAATACAAAATGTATTGTTTTATTTTTAAGTCACATCATGAAATGTGATTGCTTTTTTTTAAATATTATTAAAATTATTTTCTAATTACTTTTGTTAAAGAAAAAAAAAGAGTTTATTCAACAGTCAATCATTCAGGGAACTATCTTTAGGTTTGAATTCCTTTTTTTTGTAACTTTGTTGTTATAAAAAAAAATTGATTTGTCTTGCAATTTCGCTAAATTAGTAACAAAATTACAAACCCCAATTCCCTGATTAAGAGGGCAAAAGAGAGGGAATTCTTCTCTTTTAAATTCTGGTTTGAACCCCAGCTATTATTTTTAATTTATATATTATATAGAGACCTGCACTGACTATAGTGCTTACTTGAATTATTTGTAGTGGTAGATTGATCATGGGTCTCTCATTACTAACAATATACTCGTGGTATATATTCCTATCCTTGACATAAAAATGCAAGCTAGTTTCATTTTTATTAATATTCCCATTGTATATATTCCTATCTGCGACATTAAAATGCAAGCTAGTTTCATTACTATCAATATATCCGTGGTATATATTCCTATCCGTGACATAAAATTGCAAGCTTGTTTCATTATTATCAATATACCCGTGGTATATATTACTCTCCGTGACATAAAAATGCATGCTAGTTTCATAGAAAATTTCCATCACAAAGTGCCCAATTCTTAAGTCAGGAGTTCTTTTATTTTCTGATTTAGGTCAAAAATTATTGTTTCAAATCCACTTATTCATTAACTATAAATGGAACAAAAAGCCATCATTTCTGATTAAGTTAAGTACTGTATGAATTACGTATTTAGTTTTAAACAATGAAAATTTTCAGTGGAAGAGTGAAGGAAAATTTTCGGTTAAGATTGATTGCAAATTTTTAGTTGAAGACTGAATTTATATTTTCAATTGAAGATTGGTTTTATGTTTTCAATGAAGATAGGTTTTACGTATTCAGCCAAACAATTTTAATTAACAGCCAGACAAAACAATTTTAATATTTAAAAAAAAATTGTTCTTTATCAATTTTCAATCTATTTTTGATTGAAAATTGATAAAGAACAATTTTTTTTTTTAAATATTAAAATTGTTTTGTAAAGTAACATTATTAGCTTATTCCTTTTTTTTGAAAAAAGAAATTAGCAGTCATCAGCCCCAAATATATATTTAAATCATTGGAAGAGCCAAACTGTTAATAGTTTTATTAATTCCATATTAGTTTTAAAAATAAAGAGTCTTATTTTCATTTATGACCTCCTAAAATAATTTAACTGATTTTTGTTTGAAGATTTTTTAAAATTTCATATGTTTTCTTTTCTTTTTTTCTTCAGGTCTGTTGACTCTAGTCCTTTTATCACCTTATTTGCAACACTTAGATATAAGTGGATGTCAACATGTTACGAATGTTACTGTATCTGCCTGTTTAGACTCAGTTCAAGCACGTTCATCTGGAAAGAAACTGGAGCTTATTGCAGGAGGTGACTGACCATTATTTTATTCTAGAGTGCTAGCAATGATATAATATTAGACTGCTTAAATGAAGAATCAAATTATGATAAATAATAAAAATGTTTTATTTTAGAAATTGCTCCAAAGTAAAGAGAAATCTTCATTTTAATTATAAATATACATTATCAAATTATAAATTTTGAAAATGGCCCCACATGTGTAGCTACAGGGCTTTAAGGTGTCTACACACCGAACGCAACAGCGATGCGAAACACGATTTTCCCCCTCTGTTGCAGTGTGTCTGTTGCAAGTGATTGCATGTACCTTCACACCGCATGCGACAACAAACCTGTTTCCTGGCTAGTGTATGCGCACTTTTCTTCTGTATCTAGTTTTTGTTCCACAGCTCATTTTATCGTTATTTTTTGTATTTAAAAAATAATTTTATACGTATGAATTACTTTTTATATTTATATTATTTTTTATATTTATATTACTTTACGATTTCAGTACAAGATGCTTCATAAATTGTCGAAATAAACTTTGCGTTACATTTTTACAAATATTGTATCAATAATTTATACGAAATTATTTATTTTTTATAATTTTTGTCTTATAATTTTGTCTACTAATTTTTAATAACTAATATTTTTATGGGAAAAAAATGCATTTTTTCTGTATAAATTTTTCCGACTATAACGCGTATTTTTATTTTATTAAATAAACTAAATTGCTGGAATATTAAATAATTCAAATTAAAAAAGTTAAAGAAAATGAAAAACAGAAATTATTTTATTATCAAAAGGTCATGTTAGGAAAAAATTTTTTTTTTCTTCAGAACATTGTTGTGAACAATATTTTGAATATTACAAATATATCAAGTTTGCAACTTAACATTTTATATATACGTGATAAAAATGAATTTATTTCCATATGCAAATGCTTCAGTATAGTTTTTTCTTACATTCGCAAGTTGATAGGAATTTATGACATTAAAATTTCACTTTACGGAATTTCCGAGTGGAGCCATTTACACAACATTTTAAAATGGACACCTTTTATTATTTAGTGACCCTTTATAATATGATCATGAGATACTACTTTATGAGAAGTGCAAGAATGTGCGGGTGTTTTTCTTTTTTCATTTATGTTTTACTTTTGTATAAAATTACATTTTCCAAAGATTGTATAAAAAAAAAGGATTACATCGCGTTTTGAATATGCTACATTTCTTTTTCCTGCTGAATGGTACTGTCGCATTAAGTCAGGCATAGTCAGTCTGACAGAACCACTGGTAGCTATATTTTATAACACTCCAAATAAAAATTCCTGGAAGATTGGTTATGGTACCTCAACTATCAACAATAGACCCATGAAGCCTATGGCATAACAAAAATTTTATTAGTAATTTCTGTTCTTGAATCTGGTCCATTCACTTAATTGGCGATAAATTCCAAATACGTTCCTTAGCTTCCTTGATTTTCTAAACTCCCGAAAATTTCTCAGAGCAGTAAAATCAAATTATTATTTTTGTTTCCATGAAAATATTAAAGTAGGAAAAAAGGCGTTTTTTTCCATCATTTCTAATATACCCAATTTTATCCGATAGTGATGAACAATACCTTCCATAGAATAACCAATTTACACTAAAAAAAATACAGCTTTTTTTGTTCTATAAAAATGGTTTATTTTTTAAGCTAAAGATCGATCTGATTTCATGCAAATAAAAATTTAAGCGATTCTGTTTATGAAGTTGATTATAAAAAGAAAATTTAAGGACCCGGTTTTGAGCACCATTGCCGTATTTAAAAAATTTTATATTATCAGAATTTCGTACGAAATTTTTCAAAACTTTTCATTCAAAATTTTAGTTTTTGTAATAATTGCCCATTGATGGGNTCATAGAAAATTTCCATCACAAAGTGCCCAATTCTTAAGTCAGGAGTTCTTTTATTTTCTGATTTAGGTCAAAAATTATTGTTTCAAATCCACTTATTCATTAACTATAAATGGAACAAAAAGCCATCATTTCTGATTAAGTTAAGTACTGTATGAATTACGTATTTAGTTTTAAACAATGAAAATTTTCAGTGGAAGAGTGAAGGAAAATTTTCGGTTAAGATTGATTGCAAATTTTTAGTTGAAGACTGAATTTATATTTTCAATTGAAGATTGGTTTTATGTTTTCAATGAAGATAGGTTTTACGTATTCAGCCAAACAATTTTAATTAACAGCCAGACAAAACAATTTTAATATTTAAAAAAAAATTGTTCTTTATCAATTTTCAATCTATTTTTGATTGAAAATTGATAAAGAACAATTTTTTTTTTTAAATATTAAAATTGTTTTGTAAAGTAACATTATTAGCTTATTCCTTTTTTTTGAAAAAAAAAAAAAATTAGTAGTCATCAGCCCCAAATATATATTTAAATCATTGGAAGAGCCAAACTGTTAATAGTTTTATTAATTCCATATTAGTTTTAAAAATAAAGAGTCTTATTTTCATTTATGAGCTCCTAAAATAATTTAACTGATTTTTGTTTGAAGAGTTCTTAAAATTTCATATGTTTTCTTTTTTTCTTCAGGTCTCTTGACTCTAGTCCTTTTATCACCTTATTTGCAACACTTAGATATAAGTGGATGTCAACATGTTACGAATGTTACTGTATCTGCCTGTTTAGACTCAGTTCAAGCACGTTCATCTGGAAAGAAACTGGAGCTTATTGCAGGAGGTGATGGACCATTATTTTATTCCAGAGTTCTAGCAATGATATATTAGACTGCTGAAATGAAGAATCAAATTATGATAAATTATAAAAATGTTTTATTTTAGAAATTGCTCCAAAGTAAAGAGAAATCTTCATTTTTAATATAAATATACATTATCAAATTATAAATTTTGAAAATGGCCCCACAGGTGCGGCTACAGGGCTTAAGGCCCATAGGACACCTCTGTCCACCCAGAATGTTTATGTTACTGTGAATGACCGAAATTGATGGTTGTTGACTTCCACCAGTGAATGTTGACAATTACGTAGTCGCTTTTGGTAAATGTCCAAAATATGTACTAGGTCTAGTTAAGTTCAACTCCTAGTATACATTTGCCCAGTATGCCCTACACTGATGCTTTTTTAAGGTCAAGTGCCACTGCCCAATATACATTTAACCAGCATCGAATAAATATAATAATATCAATGAATAAATTCATATCAAATCGGATATGACAAATATTGAGAACATTCACCAAAGCGACTATGTGATTGTTGACATTCACCAGTGAAAGTCAGCATTCTCTTGGTTTTGGTCAATCACGATAACATATACATTAAAATAGTTTTCGCCAAGGAAAGTTAAGGAATCCATGTATGAGCTACTAATTGATTTAATTTACTTCCAAGGCTCTTTTTTTCGTCTTTTACATTCAAATGTGTTGACGCAAAAGAAAGTGTAATAAATAATAGGGAATTTAAATGAATTCAAAACATTAGAAACTATATAACCATTTTCGGATTCTATGCCAATTTGTTAGGCAGGCAGGTAAAGAGGTACCTTTAAAAATATATTTTATTCTGCACTCTATTCAAGGTTGTGATATTAAAAGATTACTGATTCTATTAACGGTTTTTATTTATTGAGAAAAATATTAAGTAACATAATTTAGTTTTTACATGTTGGGAAATATGTTATGCATATTTCAGCAAAATAATATTAATTATCTACTGACATAAATACAATATATCTTGTTACACTTTGCAGGTTCATTTCATTTCAAACCGACACTCTAAACTTAAATTGTGTATCTATGCTTTTGGTAGCAGAATTTACTAAGAGAATCTGCTGCACTATTTCAAAAATCCAATTTTGGTCTGTGACTACAGTTAGACCTAGATTATTATTGTTAATAATGCTACTTAAACTATGCACACAAAATTTGAAATGTAAGGTCTTAATGCATAAAAACTTAATGTTGTACATTTGCAAATACAATGCAATGTTACTAAAAAATGTCTACTAAAAAAATAGAATTGCATACAATGTTATTAAGAAATCGAATAAATCCTTGTAGTTCGTAATCATGTAAAATAAAGTTTTTTACTTTTTGTTAAGTAATTTTTAAAATTTACAATCACATTTTTATTGCATGGTATAAAATTTTTTTCAATGCTTCAAGACATCCCTTTAAAATATTGCTGTATTGTTTGAATTTATTTTCAACTTTTCAAAATCTCATGTGAAATTAAGTTTTCCATTATGTACTCTTTATTAAGGTGTCAATTAACAGCAAAATGTTGTGAGAGTAAGACAATGATTATTTTGTTTAGTGTTAAATTTCTAGATGAGGTTACACAACTTTAATTTGAATAGGTTGCTCCTCTCGAAAGAATTAGTCAGTCTTCTCCTTAAGCATTTTTCGAAGGGTGGACCGCCCTGCCTGCCTTTTGATCCCTATAAATGTGCCCTTTTTGTTTAAATAAGTTGTCATCCCTTAAAAGCACTGCCTTTTTATTCATATTCCATCTTCAAAAAATTTAATTCACAGTTTAAATAATAATTACACGCTGGAAAAATTATCTGTATTTACAGGTTTAATTTTTATTACTGTTACAAAGACTAGGATTATTCTCAACTCATCAAAAAAATTTTTTCCAGAGGGAGTATTAATAAATCTTTAATGATTTTAAATTTTAAAATTGCTTTTTAATTAAATAACTTCTTTTTTTAAAAAAAAAATACCTTTTAATGTTTTTTTTTCCGTTAGGTTCTTTAGGTTTCTTATTCTAAAACAGGTTTAAATATATTCAATATTCAAATAAATTATTAATATTTAATCACTTCAGGGCATGCATAACATTAAATATGCTTTAAAATTGTATGTAACTTCTCTCCATAGGCACTGCAATAGAACTGGAGGCTTTAGAATTAGATTCTTCACTTCTTGAAGTATCTCGTCAGAACTATTGCGTTTCTAGCTTTCGCCCTGACCGCTTGGAGTTTTACAATGGTAGGCTTCATTTTCATTATTTTCTTTTTACTATGTTTTAAAAATCATTTCTACTTTTATTTAGATGTGTAGTCACTTTTTTGTTGTATTTTATTTAATAATCTTTATATAAGATAAAAATCAAGTTAAAAAAAATTATCAAAATTGAATTTGTATGTATGTGTTGTATCTTAATGCCTATTTTTGTTTTAAAATTTATTTTCCATTAAATAATGAAGTGGTTTCTAGTTTTGTGGCACATAATAGTTTCATTCAGTATTATACATTTTGTTTATAACTAGTTTATGATAAATTTTAGGTTTCTATAAATTTTGCTCTTTCTTATTCAGGAATCGTAATATTAGGAATTATTGATGTATAAGCTTATACAATTAGTACAAGCTCCTATTTTGTGAATAAAGTAATATTTGCATATTTTCACTAAACATAATTATTACTTTGTATAAATATTACTTTATGTAACATTTAAAGTAATATTTATAGTTTTTTTTCCGTATTTTTTTTTTAATTGCTTGCTCCAACAGCTTATAACTTTAAAATTTTTTTGTATTTATTTGGAAATTGTCTGGAACTTTCATTACAATTTCTTTAGTGTAACTTTTTTTAAAACTTAAATATTCTGATTTTTATATAACTATCATAATTTTCAAAAATTGTTTTAAATAGTTTTTACAGTGTATGTCTACAATAACTGATCTTAAATTCAATCACATAAATTTATTTAACCTGCAAATTAGCATTAACTCAGAATTATAACCGTTGGTAAACAGCGGACCCAATTTTCGAGTTTACGACTACTAACGTTCAACTCTATAGCCTTGTAATTTTGAACCCAATCCAGAAGACAAGGGAACTCTCCTGGATCAATTATGGGAGAAATTTGCCTTCATGGAGGACTACTTTGGTGGAACTAACCCACATTGGCGTTACACTGAGAGGAAAATCACAAAAATCTTCCACCGTTAGTCTGATGGCAGGGGGACTAACCCGAGCCAGGTGCAGAATTCGTATTGACTGGCCATTGTTGGGATTCGAACCCAGTGCACCTCATTGGAAGTCGAATGCTCTATCCCCTGAGCCACCACGGCTCTAATTTAAAATTGGAATTGACTTAAAAAATAGTATTTATTACATGCTTTAGACAAACTTCAGATCGATGAATGTTAACCTGTTTGGGTAGTATAGGCACCATGTGCATAATGCTGAACACATTAGCACAATCATGCTATTGGTCTTAAAATTGTGAAGTCTGAACTTCCGTGACTCCCCCTGCTCTCAACAAGCTTTGTGGAAATATTTTACTGTTACGTACTTTAAAAGGAAACTGTGGCTGAGACTTCAATTGAATAAAAATAATGTTCTAATAAAGATATTTATATACAATAATTATATACCATAATTATACAATAACACTTTAAATCATGAAAATATTCCTAGTTGTATATACTAGGAATCTATTTAAGGGATTTTTTTGAAATTTTGCGAAGTTTTTCTTTATTATAATGGTTTTATTATAAAAATCAGGATTACCCCAAAATAGGGAAACTACAGAAAAGTCTATTGATTTTATCAATTCGGGAAAATCAGGGAATTTAATTGAAATACCTTAAAAGTCAGGAAAAATGAATCTGCAGGAGTTTAAAGAACCCAAAAATCATTTTTCTTTCTTTTTAAAAAAATAAATTTTGTAACAATTATTTTATAAAAATGTGCTTATTTTAATTCTAATGGCAAGTTAAAGTTTTTTTTTTAAATAGTTTTTATATGTAAGAATAAGGCAATACTGAAAAATTATAAATTTCTCTGCCACTGGTTAGAAAAATCAGGGAAATTCGTTAAGTTCGTCTGGAAAATGTTTTTGAGTGTTTGTGGCCACCGTGAAAATGTTTTTAGTTTTAAAATGTGTAAATATGTTAAAATGTTTTTGATTTTTTACTATAAAATATGATATTTGAGGGTCTTTGTTTAAGTAACAAAGAAAGTGAAAATTTTATTATTCATTTTATTGCATTTTTGTCTGTGGTTAATTAGCTGCATCAGTTAGTGGCAATAACAAGATACAAATTAAAAATCTGTCCCCATCAGAGAATGTAAAGGGATAAAATAGAAGACTCTATAAATTTATTGACTTTTTAAATTTCATTTGGTTCTAACCAAAAATTTTGAAATTTGAACTTGTTATTGCATCAAGCACTTTAATTATTGTTAAAAATATTAGACAAAAATTTTTTTTAATGTTATATAACAGTGTTTCAACTTTTTGCTTGTGATATTTTGTTTATTAGCATGATAATTTTTCTTTCCAAGTATGTCTGAATCCTCCCTCTTAATAAATCAAAATGTGTGGAATAAAGAAATATGTCCATTAAATGTAATTAAAAAATATTACAACATTAAAAAATAAAAATTATTTTTCAATCAAGTACATCTGTATAAAAGTTAATAAAATATTTATTTTCTTATCATTTCTTGTGACCAGCATTGGATGATGAAGATGAGGAACCAGCTATTCAAGAAGAACCAAGTTAGTCTCTTTTTAATTTCTAAAACTCTTTTTCATTTTCACTGATTTAATATGCTCTTGGGTTTTTTTTTTGTAAAAATTAGGTTGTATGTATTTTTTATTTCAAAGAAAATGTTTGATTTTGAAATGTTTGAGTGCTGGTGATATTTTGATTATTGAATGTGTTATGTTTTAAAAAATAAGTTCTAAAAGGTATAAAAATATATTCCAAAAGGTAGAGTCATGAAGCATAAGAATAACTACTATTAAATATGTTTGATAATTGACAATAGGTCTAAATACAACAATGATAATTTTTTTAAAAATGAAGACAAAAGTAATTATGCATTAAATAAAAAAGAATTAGTTTACAATAAACTTACATTGCGATTTTTCCAATAAAATTCATTTTCTCTTTGGAAAAAAAATCGACGTAACATGGTTTTGATAAGAAACTCTTCAACATGGGAATTCAAATTACATTAAGTGGATATATAACGGGAAGGGGACATTTTTTTTTTTTGACGTAAGAAGGTTTTGTTTTTGTATTTTTTGACATAAGAAGGTCGAACTGAAGTTTGAGCTATCAAGAGTATACTGTTATATTTATGTTTGTGTCATTGTTTATGTTAGATACATATGTTTTTGCAGGTTCTTTGCTTGAAAATAAGGAACCAGCTGATGTCAGTGAAACTCTCACAGAAGTCGATGCAAATGGAGAATGGTCAGAGATATTTGAATCACCTTTATGAGGAAAGCTTTTCACGATAATTTTTAAGATTAAAATTAAGTTTTTAATGTGTAACTACGCGTGATGAGAAAATGCATTGGAATGCAACTGTGCTCGAAAGAAAAGTTTCCCTGAATTTTTTAGCAATGCATTTATCTTTTTGTTCCTATTTGTTACAAAGATCGAACAATTTGAGAGAGTGCTCTTTAGAATTGTGATAGACTGAGATTTGAAAAAAAATTTATGAAGTTTTCTTACCATAATTTGCCGTGCTTGTTTAGCTGCAATATTTTACCTTTGTTAAATTAAAGTTCATCAGTCGAAGTTGAAATAGTGTAAATATTACTTAGACATTATTTTCTACTGTGTGTTGTTGCTGTTAGATAAATTTTTAATTTTGACTTAAGGGTTTTTATTGAGATCTCTCTTCTTTTTTTTTGTTGGTGGACTTATTCATAAACCGCTAGCCATACTTTCTGCTTATTGTTAATTTGCCAAATTTGATACCTTTTTGTAGAATATGTATATAAGATTGTGTTGTTTATTCATACAGTTAAGTTGTATGAAATAATAGCCGTCCTTTAGTTGGTTGTTTAACAAATGTTATTTATTTATTTACTTTTTAAAAAAAGTTTTATTACCTATTGAGTTTATTCACTTAATGAAATTAAAAGGAACTTGCATAGCTTTTTTTATTGTAGGAAAATATATTAATGCAGAATTACAGTATTTAAAAACAAAATTGTTATTATTACATTTTTCTCCCTTTTAATTGTTTTCTTTCTCTTGCTAAATTAATAATTAACCAGCTAAATTAATTTTGAGTATATAAAATTAGTTATAACTTGTAGTCATCTTTTTCTCCCATTAATGTTTCATACGTTTTTTTTTGTTATAGTAATTTTAATTAATGGTTCTAGATCATGAAGCAGTTATCAATAATTTGTTTCAGATAATTTATGTATATGTTAGAAACACGGTGTTTATATTTTTAGTGAAGGAAAGAAAAGGAATAATTGATTTATCCTCATGTTTTGTTTTCTATTAGCGTTTTTAATTTTTTTAGTTTTCTGTTAAATCAAAACATAAGAAAATTCAAAACAAAAATTGGTCTGGAAATTTTATATGTTCCCCACAATGCCAACAAAAATGCATTGATAACCACAACCTAAATACCTAATTTTAATTGAAATTCTTTGAAACATAAAAAACAAAGGGACCAAAAAAAAACAGGGAAGAGTATTTTTTTGGTTCATTTACACTGAAGTCGTGAAACTTAACTATAAATACAGTAGAAGATCTTTATAATGCAAACCTTGAAACGTGAGGCCTTGCCTTTTATATAATTTTGCGTTATGTATCATTGTTTCAGACACTTATAAAATTACCTACTAAATATAGTAACAATGTTAATCTGGTACAGATCAATCAAAAAAAGCTTTTTAGATTCAAACAAAAGATTGCAAAAACATAAACTTAAGTTACGGGAAGGCATATATGATTCTTCCGGTAGTTAGCGCAATTCCGCAAACCTCAAGTCTATTAATTTGTGGATTTCCGTGAATCAATAATTTAATCATTTTTTGATGCACTTAATTTGCGTCAATGCCATCGTAAATCTATGTGGTGTTTCGATCGTCATGTCCGCTATTATGGTTATGAATTTTCTCATTTTTTAAAAAGAAAAATCCCTTTATTTTTTGTATTACGACATGCAAAATTCAATTTGTGCATTTATTAGTCACTTCTTAATGCAATGACACTGTTTGTTTGATCTAATTTTTTCCAGTTATTACTACAGATAACTACATGGTTTTTTAAATCTCAATGTTTCCATTCAATATTATTAAGAAACGAGAAATTCGAATTGTGCTAAATCCAAGCAGCATTTATGGCAGTTATTGCTGTTGATTTTCGCATGAGTTTTTTTAAAAACCAGATATTATGATATGGGAAATACAAATGGCGCACCTGAGTCTACGCTATTTGATGCAATATTTCTATTGTTTTTTTTTAATCATTTAATAATAAGTCATAACTACTCACAACTACTAAGTAATAACTACTGATTTTTGAATATTGTTTTCAAATTATAATATTTTTAGTGCAATATTTTTTATTACAACACACAAATCTTAAAAAGTACATTTGATCAGCTCCTATTTGATGTGCCCGATTCATGTGATTTTGTCTTAAATACACAACGTTTTAGCATCAATCTTTTTGCAGCTACTGCCATACATTTCATGGTTTTTAAAATCTCTTTTTTTATGTGTTTACTGCTTGTAAAATGTGAAAAAGAAGGAATATTGAATTTTTTCAATAGATATATTCTTTGATATGTTCTTGAGAAAAAGATTTATTAAAGAAAAAAAAGATTTCTTTTGCTCTTCAAAATCTATGTATGTTACTTTTGTGCATAAAAATTAAGAGTATTTTATTTATCTTCTATGTACGAAAAAGGAAAAAAAACTAAGCATTAAAAAAAACTGCACATTGAGAAAAAAATTAAGATAACTTTTTCTTCCGGTCATTACATGTCTGATTGTTTTCAGAATTTTATTTTTCTAGATCAAAAGAACTAATAAACTAATATATATACACTACCGGTCAAAAGTTTGCGAAAATTTTAAAATCTACAAAGAAAAGGTCTAAATTCAAATGTTCATAGAACTGCGAAAAATCATTCAAATTGCATGAAAATTTGAGATGTTCTAAAACAAACCCTCTACTGGTAGTTACCTATGATCAAATTGCAATACTTTGTTTTTTGCGAACTGAATCCAGCTTTTTATCACGTATTGTTTTTATGGCGAAAAATTTTTTTAACTTTGAACACTTGCCAAACTTGCAAAAAAATTTTTTTTGTACTTTCTGTTAATGGAAAATGGTTATTTGAACCGTTCTATGTAAGCCCTCAAAATTTCAGATCGATTCGATTTTTTTTTGACGAAATTATAGAATTTTGAAAAACATGTGTACTTTTCTCGATTTTTGAGCATTCCACATATGCAGTCTTTTGGTCTATACATCTTCTACCAAAGAACTTTTTAATTTTAATGTTTTCTATATTTTCAAATAATTAATATTTATTATAAAACAAATACTCTTATTCATTATTGTAATTATTATTGTTTATATTTATTGTTTATATTTATTGCTTACCTGTATTAGTTTTGTTGTGATATTTTTACTTTATATTAAATTAAATTAAAAAGTTATAACAATAATTACATAAATAATTCTAAAAAAATAATAACAATAGTATAAAAAATTTGCATTTTTATTAAACTATTTTATTTACAACAGGTCAAATATTTAACATATTCTTATTCGTATTTTGTAATTAAATAAATTAACATTTAAATCTTAGATTCCTCGAACCATCCACCTTTTGCTTTTATTATAGCCTTACATATGCATAGCATTCGTTCTAATAAACCATTAATCACTTCAAGTGATATAGAGTTCCATTCCTGTTGTAAAATGTCCCATAACTGACTTCGATTCAAATATCAGAGCATCGTTTGCAAGAACAAACAAATTTTAGATGAAATGTGACATCTATGAGATATTGTTTTAATTATATTCATAATAAATTCTTTGTAATAACAATAATTACAATGAATAAGAATATTTGTTTTATAATCACTATTAACTGTTTGAAAACATAGAAAACATTAAAATTAAAAAGCTCTCTGGTAGAAGATGTACAGACCAAAAGACCGCATATGTGGAATGCTCAAAAATCGAGAAAAGTACAATCAAAATTCTATAACTTCGTCAAAAAAAAATCAAATCGATTTGAAATTTTGAGGGCTTACATAGAATGGTTCAAATAACTATTTTCTGTTAACAAAAAGTACAAAAAAATTTTTTTGCTACTTTGGCAGGAGTTCAAACTTAACAACTTATTTCACCATAGAAACAACCCATGATGAAAATCTGGATTCAGTTCGCAAAAAGCAAAGTATTGCAATTTGATCATATGTAACTAACTGTAGAGGGTTCACTTTAGAACGTATCAAATTTTTATGCAATTTGAATGATTTTTCGCAGTTCTATGAGCATTTAAATGTAGACCTTTTTTTTGCAAATTTCAAAATTTTCGCAAACTTTTGACCGGTAGTGTATATTTTGGTTTGCTTAGCTCTTGAAGTTGTAACTTTCTAAAAATAATTAAACAAATATTGTAAAAAGTTAATTGTTCTTGCTTAGCTACAGAAATTTCTTAGTTGCAATTTTCATCCGTCAAAGTTAATGCGATTTATGGACAATTGCAGTTTATAATAATGCATTATATAGAACTTCTACTGTATTCTGTACTTGTGCAATATTAGTGTTCTTTTCTCTCTCCGTCTTATGGTCAGTTTATTATCATTCCTGTCAAAATGTATTAGCTATTATTTGTTTTAATGAATAATCAGTTTTACTTTTTCTCAAATTATAAGTTCCATATTCTAATAATTAGTTATTTGCTGCAAAATAATTTTAATTTGCTTGAGTCATGCATTCAATTTTACGGTCGGACCCCGATTTATCGAATTCATAGGGACCGAAAATATTTTTCGCTAAATCAGGAAAAATTCGTAATAATGGGAGAAAAAAAATTGACTAACCTTATGGAATATCCAGACATCTCTAATAAGCAAATACACAAAATAAATAGAAATCTTATGCTTTTTATTCAGGAACTTAAATTACAGCAAATGATTACACACTGATTAATTAAAAGTTGTAAAGCATTTTGTGAGTAAGGTTTGCTTATTTTCTTGATTCTTTACTTTAAAAAGTTCGTTTTCGATGTCATGAAGAGAAGAAAATACTCATTCATTTACATCTTGCTGCATTAGGTAAGTTTTCGCTGTTTCTAAACCCTGCAAAGCATCAGAAAGAGTAACAGTTTTTACTGGAAATTCATTATCATCGACTTCTGTGTCAGAGTCGATATTGATATTCATTGTTTCCTATAAATCTTCTTCATATATTCGTTCAATTGCGAAATTCGGTAAACAGAGGTTCGACTGTAGTAACATTAAGGAAATCGTGAAAATTCTTCTGACGTATGGCAAAATTCATCAAAATTATGTTAAGTGTTTAGCTATTTACCGTCATTAAAAAAGTGAGTGAAGTTATTTAGAAACGAGATAATTTATAACACAAAATGATTAATAGCAAGGGATATTGTACTTACGAAGGAAGTAAAAACAAGGTGTATCAGAATATGTTTCATTTTGCTAAAACTGAAATTATAAATTAGAGATTTTATTGTTTTTCATATCCACCGAAAAATTAACTGATAAAACTTTATTTGAATCAATTTGTAAATTATTTATTTCGGTATACAATTGTAATTGTATTATGAGTAAATATTGGTATTTTATTTTTAATTTATTGAATGATAGATATTGATCAGTTAAAATAAGAAAGTGTGCTTTTTATTATTTAAAAAAGTTTTTTTCAATAAAAAAGTCTGATCTTTGTTAAATATGACTGAAAAATATTTTCTTGAATGGAAGTGTGTATATTTTACTAGGGAAATGTGTTTATTTAAAAACGAATTTGAAAAGGGACATGATACTTCAAGTCGAGAAAAATTCTTCATCACAATTTCTTTGTGAATTAAAGTAGTTTAAATGAAATATAATATATGAGAAACTAGAAATAACTTGAAATTAAATGACATTTTCTAGTTAAAAATGTAGATGTTGTACCATTTGCTGAAAGACATAAGTGTATGCATTGATAATTATATTCATATTTTACCACATAAAACATATTTTTAAAGAAAATATGTATTATATATATTTGTATATATTACTATAAAATTTATTGATCTATAATTAAATTTTTAATATAAAAGGAACATTCTCAATATTTTTAAGTGCTAACAACTCTTATTACAATTGTATGCATTAAATTTGAGATTAAAAATTTCATTGCTAGATTTTTTCTCTTCGCTAAATTTTAGGATAAAAATAGTTTCCTAAACAGAAATGGATTAAAAAAAATAGTTTCCTAGAAAGAACCTTTTCTTTTCAGAGCTTGCAGACTGAGAAATTTGATTGATTTAATAGTTCAATTTACAGTAAATTTGAATTATTAGTTAACACATCTATTTGTAACTAAGTGTAAAGGTATAAAATTATTAACATTTCTAATAGATGAAATGGCAGGCAGTATCTGAATATTTTTATCATTAGTTACATTTTAAATTCACAGAATAATTTTCACTTTTTATTACTGAGAATCATTTAAAATATTTTAATTGCAAAAATTTTTTAAGGGGACATTAGCAAACATTCTACTATTTCCACTCATAGCCCAAAAGGGGAATATTTGAATGCTATTTTTCAATCCAAAAACTCTTTGAATATAATTATGCTATTTTTTAAACTTATGGAGTTGTTAGCTGGTTTGAATATTAATCATATAATGCATTATTGTACAGTGCGCCAAAAAAAAAGGATCACCCTGAATAACTTTTTATCTAATGATTGGATCTTCATGTACTTAGGACTCATTCTTAATAATTCGAAGGGGTGATCTGAAATATGCTAATTAGATATTTTAGATTTGTGCAGACGATATTTTAAGTTACGAAATCAGACACAAAAACACACTTTCTTTGAATAAACATACCTTTTTTCCACGGATTCGGATTTCTGACCCTAAAAATATAGGGTTCCCTTTGGTCTGGAGAGTTGTCCAAAGTTTGGACCTCTTAATGTTGATTTTACTTTTTGCCATATCTTAAGAACTTTTTAAGCGAATAGAGAAATTTCTGCTCTCAATTATAAAATTTTTTTTATCCGAAGATAATTCTATGCCAAAAATAAATTTTAGCAGATATTTATTATTTTATTAAATAATAGTAAAAAATTTTTTCTGTAAGATGTATAGAATTTTTGATGTCATTTTAAATTATTTAATTTTGCATGACAAAATACGAAATAGGAGCAAAATCGGTTAAATGGTTTCTGAGAAATTGAATTTTAAGTGAACTTCTTTAACGACATTTTTTGAGAGCAGTGCAAATTTTGAAGCGTTCTCTTGACCAAACTATGAGGACCCCATTTCCCAGGTTGCTGCTACTCCTATATTTTGGGGATCAGAAATCCGAATCTGTTAAAAAAAGGTATGATTATTCCGAGAAAGTACATTTTTGTGTCTGATTAAGTAACTTATAATATCGTCGCTCTTATTAATTGGCATATTTGAGGTCACCCCCCCCTCTGATGCCATTAAGATTAAGTCCTAGAATGTGAATATCCGATCATTAGATCAAAAGTTATTGAGGATGGCCCCTTTTCTTTTTTGGTGTGCTGTTCAACTTTTGTGGTGCTTGTTGTTAATGTTGATAAGTAATTTTCTTTTAACTATTTGTTGAGATATTTTAAATTGTGTAAATAAGAAAATAAATAAAATAAAAATGCAAAGAAATCTTTTTTTTTATTATTTTAGTTAGGCTTATAATTGTACCTTGTTTTAAAATTTATTTATCTTCCTTAAATAACGAGATAAAAAATTATTTTTCATAAAATATGTTCTTTCATGAGGAAATCTTATACTCGTTACAATTTCAGCAACCCTAACATATTTATTTCACGAGCAAGGCATTATTATACCTGTCAATAGCAAAGAGATTGGTTCAATTTGTGAGAGGAAGCTATCTATATTGAAAATGATTGCAATGAATGAACTAGTATTTTTCACCTTGTAAATAACATGTTAAATTTGCAGATGATTTAAATTGTTTATGTTATATTAAAAGAAAATTTTTGTAATTGCTGGTAGTTAGAATTTAAAAATTAAACTGTTAAAGCGTTATGCAAAAATCATTTAACAATATGGTATGTTAATTATATTCCATATTAAATGAAAAGTTAGTTTTTAAAACTTCAATATTAGTTAATTATGTGTGGTAGGTATTTTTACCTCTTTATATATCTAAAGTAAAAAATAATTTTTTTTTTATATTTCTGTATGTATTAACTTATTTTTCTAAATAAAAAAAAAAGAATATGCTATAATACATAATATGCACTAAAAAGTCAATTAAATTCTCATACCTGCCAAAATTGATCTGGCTTCATAAATTCAATTAAATTTTTAATTCCTCGTCCTACAAGCTGTTAAGCATAACACTGCAGAGGGGCATCGCATATACCCTCTTTGAAAAAAAATTTCTTGCCTTAAAATGAAGCTCTGATTTTTCCAAGGGTCTAAAATATGGATGATGCCTATATCCTATTTTATTTTTGCAATAATTTTGTTTAATTCTTTGTGTTATTGTTTTAATACATAACCAAAGATAATTACTGAATATATTTTGTTTTTGTATTGAAATTTTCATTTTGTGCCTGAAATGAAAATTATTTTAACTACTACAAAAGTAGTTAATCATCTAGAAAAGTGTGTTGTGTTTTTCTATCAGTCTCATTTACAGCAATGCACAAATAGTACTATTGCTAATATCAATATTGAAGATACATATTTAGAAATTAAATATTTTTATTTTTTTAAAACTGAGTGGAACCTAAAACGAAAATATTTATATTTTTGCTACCACCGTTTTATTTTTTTCTTAGATGAATTTTGAACATAGAATGTTGGGGTGGGAATTATTAAAGCAAATCTTTTGACTGTCAAGCAAGAGAAAGCCTATTTTATGGATCAAAACAATTGTACTAGTTGTTTTTTTAATTATTATTTCGTACTTAACTAAGTGATTTTTGCATATCGTGACATATTTTATAGTGTATTTTTTTTCATCTCTGTATGTTTTAGAGTTATTTATCTGATAAATGTCTGTAGGTTATTTATTTTTTTCAGCTAGATAGCGGTTGTACAGTTCATTTTCAGTTATACATTAAAGAAACTTCTTTTCATGTTTGTCTTATTTCCCCCTATAACATTTAAATGGGTGGACTTTTTAGATAATCTATCATTCATGTAAATTATTCTTCATTAATTCGAGATTCCAGGGTTTTTTTTTAATACCACACATTTGTGATGCCTGAAAATTTACGTTGATTTTAAGTGTAAAACAAAAATTGAATACCAAATAATTAGCTGTTTGAATGACATAAATTTATAAACTTTCAATGCCTAAGCATTGAAAGTTTCTTTGAGGAAATAAAGATGCAAGGAATAAACAAACAGCATTTAGTTTCCAGAATTAACGTTGTATGTTATAAATGCAAATTAATTTTTTCCAAAGTACAAAAAGACAAATATCGGTAAAAATTGATTGAAATAAAAAGATAAGGCTTCAGTGAAAAATAAATTTATTTTGAAATTTTAGAATATTCTTATTTCCATATGAAAAATAATATGCTCTATTTCACAGAGTATAAAAAAATCACAGCAATTAATCGCATTTAATACAAATATCCACCATAAAGAAAATGTTGCGAAATATATTTGTAAATAACTACGAAATACAACAAACATTCATTTTCTCCCCCATTTAAAGTTACAAAAGTTGCCTAGTACAAAATTTATATCAAGCATTACATATACATTATCTCTTGGATGGAATGATATAAAATATCACAGAAGTATTTAGATAGTATTAACATACCATAAATTTAATACAAGTTTAAAACAAACAGCTATATAACTTTTCAATGTAATCAGCTTATTAAAAATTATGCACTAGCCCTGCCGATTTTAATAACTGTTATAGAAATAAAACCAACACTATCTTTCAAATGTCTTTTGCTATTTTCAGTTAATAAAAATGACTATCCTATTAAAATGTACATTTTAATGTGGGGTTCAGTTTTTTACAAGCTACTTAATGGAAATTAGAACTGACTTGCGAAAAATCCATTTTTATGGGTACAGTAAGATTAGGTTGCACAGCAAGTCATACAATAAGATTCTATTATGTTAGGTACCCAGAGCTGTGTTTTTTCCCCCAGGCTGGGGTTAAAGCTCTAAATTTTTCCAGTCTCCAACAATTGAGCTGATGATTTTTTGTTACTTTATATTATTAAAATCTTAAACTCAAAAGCGAGCATGAATATATTAAACTTTTGCTGGAGCCTCATTGTCAGAGCATAGCTTATTACCTGGGAACAGAGTTGGAGCATTAAAAAAGGTCTCTGCATTATATTAGATTTAATAAATTATTCACTGCATAATATTTGATTTATAACCTAGTAATCCTAAAAGTATCCAATTTATTAAGTTTAATAATAATAAGTAGCAAAAATGTAAGCATAACCTGTTTTTGCCACTTATTATTATTAAACTTAGTTTAATTGCAATTAAACTCCCTACATTTGGCAAAACGTGGATTGTAAAGGCAAAAACCAGTGGAGTTTTATGCATATATAAGGCAGATGAGGAATACTGCTTGCTGCACATTATTTAGAATTACTAAATTGGGCTTGATAGCTTCATTCCCATTTCTTTTCTCACATTTATTTTTAATCCATACATATTTTTTTATTACGGCGACTACTGAAAATGCAGTTCTTCCTAGCTTTTACAATTACAATGGGTACTTCTCACAACTTTGACCCATAAAAAAATTTTACATTTATAGTTATTTGTATTTATATATGGTTTTATGATTTAATTCATTTTGATTTATAATTTGATTTCCGTTTCAACATGGCCTTTGAAAATTTTTTCACAAAAGCATTCCTACAATAACTGAAAATCTTTCTAATGAATAACTATTTTTTAAATCAACATAATACATGATAAGGCTTTAGAACAAATAACTCTTCATGAAAAACAATTTGTATTGATTTGAATTAATTTTATAAAAAATTTAATCAAATCTTTGTACTTAAAATTTTATCGAAATTTAAAGAGTAATTAGATATAATTATATACACTAAGTTATCAGAAATAATATTTATTAAATGCATTTATACCTTAACACAGTAAAATTTTTTTAAATCGTGAATAGCATTAAGTAAAATTCACAAAGAAATTGTGTATAAATTCATTGGTCACAATAGGTTCATAATTAAATAATATTTGTATACTGGATTATAGAAATTTCTTTAAAAAAATACCATTAAAATATTAATTTATAAAAAATTTTCTATTTATATTATGGACGTTGATAGATTTGGCTGTAAAATCTATTTACTAACTACTGAACACAAATTCATATTATCTGTTTCACTTTAAGTGCACTTTTAAATTTAAAAAAACAACAACATTAAAACAGTGTTTTTAAATTCAACCCGATACCTAAAGACAGAATATAAAAAGCTAACAACAAAAATTAATTTTCAAAGCATTTTCATGAAATAATACTGATGAGATAGAAAGGTAATTTTCTTTCAGTACAGATATAATTTTTGATATGTTTTCAATCTTTGATTTTGTTCAGCATACAAAACTTGCAAGAAATAAAATTTTTGATAGTTGAAAGAGGAAAAAAAATTATCAACAATATTTACAGAATAATTCATGGTACAGAGTAATGAACAAGATGATATAAATGAATGATACTTTATAAAATCTAAAAAAATTATAATTGCTGCTTTATCAACTTTAATTTCTTTCATGATCCTAAAAAAAAAAGAATGAAGATTAATGAATTAACATAATTATTAGAGAAAATGGACATAGGCATAATTTTTTAAGTATCAAAATTCAATAAGTTAAGCATTCTTGCAACAGCAACTTGTTGGCCAAGAAGTTCATGGAAGTCAATGTACCACAATTTCTAGATCACAATGGTGACAATTCAGTCAGTATTGCATACCAGTTGTCTTTACTTCCAGGCAAGCTTTAGATTTACTGATCTGGATAGGTTTCCAGCCCAGTCCTACACAGTGGCAGGTCAATGCCTCAAGCATGGATATAGCTCTGATATTCAACAGGTATTAGGTCAATCAAAAAATTATATTAGTTATTGAGTTAGGGTTAAACTATATTTTGATGAAAATACAATATAGTCCTAAGATTCTTATAGTCCTTATCAGGACCAATTAGAAAGGAGGATAACCTGGTTCATGAAAAATTTAGAATATTAGATAGCTTTAAAAAATAGGAGAGAAATATTATTAAAGTGCTTTATCTAAGACCAATAGAATGTTTTTAGAATTTTTTTTATTCAGGATATAAAGTTCTTCAAGGCAGTCTATTCACATTTTTGAATGTTATTTAAGTGTTATGTAGCTTCTGCATTTTTTTTTAATCTTTTAACAATCTCAGTTTTTCGAAGTGAGGATAAAACAACTCTTGTGAAATATTTTCTGCATGTATTTCAAAAGCAACTGAAACTAAAAACTAATTCATTCTTTCTCTAATATTTGGGAAAAAAGTGTGGAAGTGCCTCAATTTTTTGACCCACTTTAATAAATCTGAAGATAAAAAAAGTTTTCTGTAACAAATTTTTTTTCTTATTTTTGGAAAAGGTAGGGAAAATCTATGGTCTTGGATGAACTCTTAACTTATATGGTCCCTTAAAACATTAGTCAATAGAGTTACTTTTTAATCATTTTTGATTATTATTTGTTTTTAGTTGAATTGGAAAATGAAAACAGGCATTAAAGATACAGTAGGGAACCGATTATCCGGAACGATCGGGACCATCGCTATTCCGGATAACTGATTTTTCCGGTTTTCTGAATCGCTACAAAAAGCCGTTCTTTTTATTGTTAAACTCAACTAAAAAAATATATTTGGAAATAATCTTAAAAAGAAGAAAAAACGATTAAGTAATACACTAATGATTATTTCCAAAATGATGGTAAGGAAAAAATCTTTCAAAAAAGAAATAAAAATCCTGAAATCTTACGAGGAAAAAAACATTTTTTAAAAAAAATGGGGGGAAAATTTATCGAATTTCGTTCCGGTTTTTTGGTTTTCCGATTTCCGGATAACGGGTTCTGTACTGTATCATTAATTGATGCTACTAACCTATGAAATCCTATAATTGACAACACCGTCTTTTCTTTCCAGCAACTTTGCCTAATTTAATAGTACCATCTCCACTCTGTTGCTGTTTTTCTTTATGTTCCTTTTTACTTTGTAATACCATTCTAGTAATTTCATTAAACATCTGAAATAAAACAAAAATGTCATTTTTGCTACTTTTGTTTGCACTGTAACACTAGTTAAAAATGCAGAGGTTATGCTAAATAAAAAATTTCAACTTTAACTCTTTTGTCTATATTAGAGGTCTTCAATTTTTTGTGTACCAAAAGGCACATTCTATAAAAACAATCAGACAATAAGTGCCATTGATTATTTCAAAGTGAACTTATAATTTTACTTAGCATTTTATAGAAAATTGAAATATTTTAATGATGGTTACCCCCCTTCCCCTCTCAAAAAATACTACTAATTATTTTGAAAATATATAATGGGAAAATGAAATTTATGAATTTGTTGGTGTATGCATATGTTGAAAATTAATAAAATAAGCTTGACTATGATTTTCAACAAGAAAAACTGAACAATATAAACATTAGAAATGGTTATCAGAAAAATTTAATTCTTGAATTTGGTTATTTTATTTTGAATTAGTAAGCTCAATGATAAATACTTATGGAAATTTTTTTGTAAATGCACATTCTTCTCATCGATTTAATATATTCTTATTGAATAATTGTTTTTTTTAATTTTTTTTAAGAATTTTGCTTCTTTTTCATTAGCATTTTACATAAACAATTTCACATAAACTTGAAATATTAAATAAATTATACATTATTGATGAACTATAAATCTAAATATTAGCGTTTAAAAAAAATTTCTAATCTCAGAACGCTCTAGGGTTCTACGGAATATTTTTTGGGAACCACTGCTTTACAGGATGACAATAAATCTGAGACAAATTCAAAATTACTAATAAAAAAATTATATTGCACTGAAGAAATTAAAAATGGTCTATTATATACTTACTTCTTCAACATTAATATTTTCTTTTGCACTAGTTTCAAAGAGTTTAATGTTCATCTGTTCAGCAAATCTTTGGGCATCTTCAGTTACAACAATTTTTCTTTCAGGATCATCATTTTTATTTCCCACTGCAAAATAAATATAATGAAAAAGAGAAAAGGAGTATGTAAAAATAAATTATTTTTTTTTCTTTCTCTGTGCGAATTCTACTGATATACTTAACCACAATTCTGTCTGCATATACTTAAATTTTTTTTTTGCAGTGAACAATCGAAAATCCTCTTAAGCAATATAATTTTTAAAATTTTTTATTTTGCCTTAAATGCCCTCTAATGAAAGTAATATTCTTAGTTATAAACTTAGTTATTATAAGTCGAAACAGCATTTCAAGAGCAAACAATATTAAATCACTCTAACAATAAGCATTTTTTAAAAATAGTTTATTCTGTTATAGAATAAATGGTTCATATAAACCACAATTTATATATTAGTATGCTTTCAACTCATTCTTAGGTTCTTTTTTTTAAATTTTTTGTAAAGATGGAAATTTATAATTGAAATTTTAAACATTTTCCAAGAAGTTAGAACATTCAAAGCTCTACAAGAGCTTTGCACTTTGTGCTTAATAATAAAGTAAGTTCCAATCGTTTCCTGATAGCTCCACCAGAATCTATTGTGATATAAAAAAAAGAATTAATGTCATTTCTTCAAATTACCACAAAAGCACTTACCAAGGATTCTATTCACCATATCACAATTTTGTTCAATTTCATGTATCCACCTTTTAACATTAGCAAATGATTCTCCATTGGTAACATCATAAACAACTATTACACCATGGGTACCACGATAATATCTGTCAAGAGATTTAAAAAACAATTGAAGAAGATATTAAGCAAAAATTGGGTGCAGAAGAGGGTTTATAACCCATCTTCAATGTTTCTTATTAATAAAAATATTTGTAATAATTTAAATCAAAGTATAGTAGTTATTAATAGTTTTAAATTATAGTACAGGTACGTAGCTAAATTATTCAACAAGAAATAAGCACTTTTCAAGCACTCAAATAATATTTTTAAGCACTTAAAAAAAAATCACAATTAGGCAGGGTTGGAAAGTTTTTAACAATTGACGGTTTTATCTGATTTTAACCGCGATGTCAAAACAAAAAATCTTTCGGCATTGTTTTTGACAATTGTCAAAATTTTTGAATCATGTAAATCGAATGGTGTTTTCATACGCTACGGACTGACAATGCACAAAAATAGATTGGGGTTGAATTAATTGTGAAAAAGTTAAAGAGAACAATGTGAACAGTGTCTTTCTGCATAATTCACAGCTAAAATCAACATGGTAAAGGAAATATTTCATTTTGGAAAAGGGAAAATTAAGCACTTTTTAAAAATGCCCAATGAAAAAAAGCACGTTTAAGGGCTTTTAAACAAAAATCGAAAATAAGCACCTTTAAGCACTTTTTAGAAATGCTATGCACCCTGTAGTATTAAATAATTATATGGAACAAAATGATTAATGCACTGATTTGCTCTTAAAAACTAAATTAACAAATACATAATGTTTTCAGATTTTTCTTTAAAAATAATTTAAATTTTCCTTTTTCAAAAATAATAAGAATAAAAAAAAATTCTCCTCATCCTAAAATTTAATAATTAATTCCCTGACAATTTAGCTACTTAATTTGTAATATGCTGATGCAACAAAGAAATTTCATTAAGAAAAATAAATAATGTCTAAATATATAAAAAAATCAGAAATTTTTTTCTTCGAAATTAATTATATTTTTATATTATAAGAAATTGATTTTGAACAAACTAACTAGAAATAAAATTAAAACAAAGACAACATAAAATCTATAAATTTAGCTGTTAATTTAAGAAGATGAAGAAAGAGGGCACACAATTATGTCTGAGAAACATTTAAAAATGCATGACTGCTCTTCCAGAACATTCTCCTCAAAAAGAAAAACTCACAAATTGCTCATATGTGAAGCATGGCATTTCTCCCCCCCCTCTCTCTCTCACAGGAAAAAAAAACTATTATCACTGTAAATAAGAAATAATAACTGTAAATACAGTTATCGATTATAATGAAACATATTTTACATTCACAACATAAGAAATAATAAAATTCAAATTCATAGTTCACCTAGATTATTTTTTTTTCCTTCAGAAATTTTTTTAAATTTTATACAGTATACACTATGTAACTACAAAACATTTCGAAGAAAGTGAGAATATTAACTTTATAATAGTTAAAAAAAACAGTGAAATATTAATTTAATCAAGTAAAATATTTCAAAATCCAAATCTCAGTCTCTGTAAGTTAAATTTTTTGATCATGGATGAAGATGCAAGAGATTTTATGTGAAGAAAAAGATGCAAAATTTAAATCTGATTGAAACTTTTTTTTATATCAAAGTGTATCTTTCTATGTAAGGAATAAAATGTATAATATTTTGAAATCTAAATCTCATGTATATCAAACTAGATTTTACCTTTAATTTTAAATGCGATCAATTATGAAACACATTTGACATTTCATATAATTTTTAAAAATATTCAAATTTAATTTTACTTTTAAATTATTCTGAAAGAAAATGAACTTTTAATTCTTTGTTCAATATATAATTACATTTTCAACAAACAATTTTAATCGCTAAAAACAATGTATTGGATGTACAATCGAGCAGTGCTTTATTAAATCTAATGGTTCATTTAGGCGTTATTTCAGATAAAGCTTAATATAATAATTTCAGATAAAGGTTAACAGAATTAGATTTTAGTGACGTGAAATTTTATGCATGATAAAACATGACCTGGATTTTTTTTCTTCTTTCCCCATGCATAGCTTTTTTTTTCAGTACTAGCTAATTTTTTTTCTTCCTAATTTCAATAAGGAAATATAAAAGAAAAGGAGGAAAATAGAATTTTGGAAAGGAAATATAAACGAACTTTCTTAAATGATTCATTTAAATTTGTGACTCAAAAACATTATTACAACAAGTGATAACATTAAATTATAGAAATATTCTTAGACTGATGATCAAAATGAACAAATTATGCTAGATTTAAAAAAAAAAATAAATAAAATGTAAACCAATGTTTAGCATGTAACAAAAAAAAGAAGGGGGGGGGGACATTTATAAATCTGTATTCTAATACAAAAATATGTAACGCTAATTGTTAAATGCTCATGTAAACATAAATGTAATATTTTAGTAGCACAACATAGCGTTTTTTAAAAAAATATTTCAAAAACTTTTCGTGACAAAATAAAAAGAAAAAAACTTCATTTAAAATAAATACAAATAAATTTATCAATTATAGAAAGATAAATTCCTTTTATATATTTACTACCAGAATATGAATTTGTACTGCATATTTATGAAATTGTTGAATTAGTAAGCATTATAATGATTGCATCAGTATTTAAACTAGATACTATAGCATGTTTCTAATTAATTGATTGTAAAATCCTCAAACAATTAATTCCTTTGCTAAAAAATTTGGTTGCTCCGTTACATTAACATACAATCAGTTTCTTCCCCAAAATTGTAATGAAATTAGAAAATAGGAACAACTCTATACAAACTTGCTGAAATGTTTGAAATTTATCAAGTGCTTAAAACTTGAAACTAAGTTAGCCCATTAGATAATAATCTGTTTTCAAGGGTCATAACAGACTTATTGCCACAGAACCTCTTATTAGGATACTAGGTACATATTATAACAAATAATTCAGCATCACTGGTGCAGTTAGGTGATTTTATAATAGATTCTGGAAACAAAGTAATAATGTTAACTTGTATTTATATGTAGCTTTCTTAAACTAAATTATTAAGACAATTTGTAGTTCTTAGCACGTAAAAACAGTGGAGAGCATTAGGTAAAAAAAATTCTAAAAACAAACTGTTTCATAACATATACGGGGTTGGTTTATGAATCAGGACCATTTAATTAATAAATAAATAAAGAACATAGTTTTTCCTACAAAAAAGTATCTAATTTACACGTTAATTAAGGAAATAAAACAAGGTGCAACTACAACTGCAATTTGAGGGATGATATTAATTACATATTTATTTTGACAAATATATAACATCTTACAGTTTTATTACTTCCACATATATAATTATAACAGAGTAACAATGACAGCTATTTAAAAAATATCAGGGGTCTGTCTAGGTTTTTCTAAGAGGTACCTATTTTGTGAAAATTTAGACATAATTTGTGAAAAATTAAAAATTATTTTAAAAAATCAACACAAAGATATGGTAAAAAATATGGATTTATCATTTCTTAAGGGATGCAAAATAAAATTTTAAGAAAAAGTATTTTGTGAAACTACCGTTTTTCCTAAAGTTGAATTTGTGAAGGTACCGCTAAACGGTAGTAAATTTAGTCTATACAGACCCCTGAATATATACTTCAAATAACATTTTAAATGGAAGAAAAAAACATGACAATATATAGAAAAAATTAAATATAAAGGTGAAGAAGTAAAACAAATTAAACCAAAAGATGAAAACTGACAGACTGATCATATAGCTTGAGGAAATAACAATAGTTGAATTTAACATCTTAGCGATAGTAAAAAAAACCACAAACAAAATTATCTAGAAAAGCATCAAGTGGAAATGGGAAGGAAAAAGCAACAGATTGAAATTTTTAAAAAAGTTTGGTGAAGACATTAGGAAGATTTTGTAAAGACAACAACCAAACAGCAGCACATGATAAACTTAAAATTTTAGAATGGGGCAAATTCAAATGGTAATACTCATAGGGATATTTCCTTATCTTGATCTGTTGTGCAAACTACAATCACCAAGGTGTCGAACAGATTTTAAATTAGCAAATTTAAAAAAACAAAAAAAAGAACATACAGATGCTTGCACGGGGGTTGGCTATGAGTTATACGTTTCGAGTAGGCCCCTTACTGTGATGTTTTTTTTTTTTTTTTTGTTTCTTNGTCACGGCCAAGACTTGGCGATTATTCCGCCACAGATCACAATACGGAAGTTTTCTCATACTCAGAGCCCTCTCAAGCAGTTTCACTTGGCACAAACAAGTATCAAAATGGATTTATTGATACCTGTTTGCACTAAGTATTGATATATCTCCAAGAACTTCATACAGCAGTAGATTAATAATGGTGAAGATGCATAGATAGTATTATTCAAAGAATTAATTAGTTTAAAAAACGCATACTGGTAGGTCTTCTTAGCAAGGAGCAGTTTGGAAAAGGGACTGAAACAATTAAATAAACTCACTGATTTAAAGACAAATGTATCATCAGTAAAATAAAATTAAATCTAATTAGCAAGAATTGTACAGCAGAAATGAACTAAATACACAATAATAACTAAAATAAAAACTCACGTCGAAGTTATAGTTCTAAATCTTTCTTGACCAGCAGTGTCCCATATTTGGAGTTTAACTCTTTCGCCATCTAAATCTAAGGTACGGATCTTGAAATCAACACCAATTGTGGTAATATAATTACCTGAAATTAAATCTGTTTTAATCATAGGGCTAAATTAAATTTTACAAATTAAACGAAATAAATATAACGCAAAGAAAGTGATATTAAAATAAAATCGAGACATATATGCTGTACCTGAAAATGTATTATCGGCAAATCTAAGTAACAAGCTACTTTTTCCTACACCTAAAAAATTAAGAAAAGTAAATGAGTCTTCAATCGCTTTGTAACATATGATAACAGAGAATGGCACATACCGTTTAATTATCCACAATACTTTAAAGATAGATCAATGACATTATTGAGCAGTGAAAATCAATTTTACAAACTAACTTACCACTGTCTCCGATGATGAGTAGTTTAAATAAATGATCATATTCTCTAGCCATTGTGGGAACTTGGAAACCAAAACATTCATTCAAAAATAACAATAATGACAAGCGTAAACAGGGGGGAGGCGTTTATGATTCATACTTCGCTCGAGTTGTCTACTGATGCAGATAGAATATCGATTAATCGTTTTCGTTATCGAATTTTGATTAATTAAGAAAGTAAATAAATAAAGAGAATAACTCAAATAAAAACTTTATTCAAATCATTCTTTTTACGTTATTTAAACTAACTTCTTTGTACGACTATTTTAATATTTGAAACAGTTTATCTTCAATTTTGAAACATTTAACTTTGACCAGATAAAACTGTTTTCTGCTTAAGAAAAATGTAAATAAATAAAAGAAAGACCGGTGAGCTTATAAATGCGGTCAAAATACATTATCTTGTAGTTGAAAATCTAGGAAAAAATTACAGCGTGATTTATCATCATTTCTCAATGATAAAGTTAATGGTGATAATTCAAGCGACATTTGAATAAATTTTTTAAGGGATATTACTAATCATCAATATCCCTAGTCCGCACAATCGTTGAAAACAATTGTTTGCTGTAATCAATCAATATAAAAATGAACTGCACATTAAACTTAATAAGAATTAAAAAATTTAGAAATTTAATAAGTATATTTTCAAAATCTATATCGGTATCTGCTATAAATTGTAATAGGTAAAGTTAATATATTATCAACTGCTTATAATGCTTTGCTTGGTCATTTTTCCCTTTTGTATTTTTATATTGAAATTAAATTTAAGAAACTTCACCAAATTTTTTAATTACAAAAATGGATGCTTTACACCTTCACAATATTTTTCATTTTGTCTTTTATAAAATTCTCATGAAAAACGATGTCAATGACGTCTTTTATTTGTAATTTTGAATCTAAAACTCGTTGAATAATGTGGTTTGTGTGCTTTTTCGCAAAGACATGATCTCGCTTTTGCATATTCCCCAAAACAGGATCCTTACAGAAACATGTTAGAAAATTGTAGTACATTTTTGACAGTAAATCTGGACAGACAATTTGTTTTTTTGATTGCTCACATAACCAGGATCCTATTTTTTACAAAATGATGATGACATATCACAATTTCGCGGAAACAGGATATTTTACAAAAAGTTTGAAGAATTTTACATCTTGGAGAAATTATCTCTAATTTAATTTGGAAGAATCGGTTTTATGGGAATAGAAAATTTGAAATGGGTTTATTTTTGATTATCTTAATGTTAAAATTTTTTTTCTTCAAGATTTGAGAATCCATTGAAAATTAGACTGATTATATAAATATAATTATCCATCACAAATAATGTTTTTTGCTATAGCTTTTGGAAAGACATTGAAGTTATTATTTTTCTGATTGTTGATTATTTCTATTGATTAATAGCCTCTATTGATTTTATTCGAATGTTTTATCAAGTATTGCTTTCAATCTCAAAATTATATATATTTTTTCATGTTTAGCTTGATACCCGTGGATCTCTCTTATACACTACACAAACCTGATGCTAAACCTGTTTCACCTGTACCTTTGATAATTTTGCATGGATTTCTGGGATCTAAATTAAACTGGAGAAGTCTTGGCAAAGCAATATCAAGAAAAACAGAAAGATTTGTAAGAAATCATTTTAATATTTATAATACAGATTTGAAAATTTGAGTAAATGAATAGCACAAGTGAGACTTTTGAAAAAGATTGAGGTTTTTTGGAGAGATCTCTTATTTTAGCATTGCTTAACTATATACAACATTCATTTATTTAAATTCTGAAGACCTCATTAGGTAAATAATCCAAGTGACAATCTCTGAGTGGCTTTGGGATGAAAAAAATGATCTAAGTTCGTGAATAACTGAGAAGAAAAATTGCCGAATTAAAACACCAAGAATGTGAATGTCTTGGCTTAAATGAGTGTGATGGATTTTCAGATTTTGACAATTGGTGGATTTTGAACTAGATATAAAGACAGGACATAGTCTGGAGATGAGACGGAGATCTGACATTGGCTCAGTCTCATTTACTGAAAAGAGATTTGGGGATGAGGGAGCTTTTTCTAATGCTCACCCAATGATCACAGACTAAGTTGAAATAAAATATTATGGAACAAAAAATTCTAAATACTAATAGTTTTCAAGAAATCTTAAATAGTTAAAAATACTAATTCTCTTAAATGTTACACTTTATTTTCATTAAAGCCATGCTTATTTTTGTTTAATATTTAAGGGTTTTCTACACTGAAAAATATGTTCATATATGCAGTAGATGAAGCAGAGAAAAATAAAATTAATTCCTTAACTTCCCAGTTTACAAAGAGGATTTCTCATTGGCAGATTGAATGTTTGTTGTTGACAATTTCTCTTCAACATTTCTCTTACATATTCTGTTCTAGATTTTTCTCTTAGTTTTTTTTTCTTCTTCTTCACATGTTAGTGGTAAAAAAGATTTGAATGACTAATTTCTTTATTTAGACATCAAAAGCAAGTAGTAAGATGAAAATTTTGCCTTTGTCGATGACTCTAGGAAATTTTATGTATCTCAGGTTCGAAGTTAAATTCTTTGGATTTGGGCATGCTCGAACCTCCGAAACATAGCCCAAATGTATCGCTAGCCTAGTCTTTAGTTCCTTCTGTTTCAGTCTAAACTCTAAAATTCATTTACTCAAATTCGCTAAAATGTTACTTCAGCTCTTCTATTATTACATGCCTGTAATTTTATTTTGCAATCTATCAACTGAAATTAACATTTACCAGAACTCATCTTATTAATTTGTCTCCTGATTGAATATTAGTCAGTAGGTTTTAGAAATTAAGATAATTCGACACACAAGATTTACATTTTTGTTTCGAAGCAATAGTTTTACAATATAAACGTTTGTTTTCAGAAAATTACAACAAAATATGGAAATTCTCTTAATTTTAAATACCAGTGTATTTTAAGTAACAGCTATTTAATATGTTTTTAAATTTTTAGAAAATTAAGTAACATAATTACTTCTTGATTTCGTGTGGCTACTATGAAAGCAATAATTTTGACTTGTTTATTCATGACGATTATAAAAATAAATATTTTACCCTCTTCATTGTATATTTTTTAAAATAGTTTCTGCTCATTTATAGATTTTACAAGCAAAATTTTTACCATTTTTTTAAGGTTTACACTTTAGATGCCAGAAACCATGGTGACAGTCCTCACACTGATGACTTCAGTATAAGTTTGTCATCTGCTGATCTGAAGCACTTTATGAATAAACAAAATATTCCTGAAGCTATTCTGATAGGTCACAGTCTTGGAGGAAGAACAGCCATTCATTTCACCATTGAAAATGTAATTGTTTGATTCTTTAAATTTTTAGTTGATTTTTTTTTATTTTACTTCTTTGAATCATATATACTTCATTATTGTAACTCTTTGGTCCTTATAAGCATTTTAGCTATGTTTTTTTTTTGTAGCTATGTATGTTTTTAGAGCTATGTATTTGTTGGGTGCTGTAGTCGAATGTTTTTTTTATATACTAAGTGGAAATTTGAACCATTTATCAACTCTTTTTATGAGTTTAAGAGAAAGAGACACAGAGCCAAGCATGTTATTAATTTTTAATTCAATAGTGTGAACTATTTTCTTAAGAATACATATTGATTTTACTGTTCCTCGCTGTCCTGGCCAACTCAGATTTATTACGATTTTCTATTCTGTATCACTATGTATTTACCTTTGACGTGAATCTTGAGCAAAATTCTCAGCCAATAGTTGCTTTCATTTCTATTTTTTTTTTTGTTTAAAAAAATATTTATGTTTCACACACAATTTTCCATTCACAAGAGAATCCTAATCTTAAAAATATATTATGTCAGAAATTGTTGAAGTAGTAATAAAAGGTTCAAAATATTTTTGATACTTTGCAATGTGACTGAGCCACTAGGTGATTACCTTTTTCATCCATTGGTTATTTCTAGATCAGGAGTTTCTAAACTGGTCCACCAGCATCTAGTCTATAATAACAGGCCCATCTTAGCCCACCACAGTTTATTTTAATTATATTTTAACATTAATAACATAAGCAAATCTTTTGTACCTGTGCAACTGTCTTGTACAAGCCAAAGGCATCCTGTCCAGTCATCTGCAGTTGATTATTCATGAAGCTAAGTTTCTTAGATTAAAGCCAGATATCCAGTAATTAACCCATGTTTTTTTTTACATAGAGTTTATTTATCTTATATTTGATCTCACACAATAATATTCACATGAAACACAATAACTGATATACGTAATGCAATGGAATAGTTTAATTGTAATAAAGGATGTGCATAGCTTCCAACTCTACTGTTTTAATAAAAGTATTTTTGATATTTGCACATTTTATCTTAGAAAATTTTCTAAAAATAAAAAATACTCAGGAAAAATATCAAAATAGATTTTAGTACATGGTATTTAAGCTAAAGAGATAAACAAGTTTTATTTTTAGTAATTAATTTATAGCTTTCCATTTTTAAATATTTTAAAATTTAAGTTTTTTTTATTAAAAAATCTCCATTTTTTATTCAAAACTCTCTATTTTTTTATCCAAAACTGTCTATTTTTCATTTTATTGAAAAATTTGTTATTCTGAAATATATTTAGTATCTATTAATATTTAAAAAATATGGGAAAAAAATTATGAAAACATTTTATATTAAAGTATATTTAATGTAAATCATAAATTGAAAATGTTACGGTCAATTTAAATTAGTTATATGTGTAACATAGTTTTTGTATCTTACTGTTTGTATGCAATTGTTAGCATGAAATTTATATTATTTCATAAAATCGTCCTGGATATTTTCTCTTTCATATTGGCTACCCATGATATATTTCTCAAAAAAATTGACAATAAATGACCAACAGTCTCAAAAACAGCTACAGATACCTCCCTCACTGGCAAAACACAAATCTGTTAGCATTTTAAAATTGCAGTATGATGCCATGATGATGCAGTATGATGACATTGTGTGTAAATAAGTTAAAATTACTCAAAATGCCTTACTCGAACAATAACAGTTTAGGAGAGCCTTTGCCCGCCAATGAGGTGAACCGGGATCAAATCCTAGCCATTGCTGGTCAATACGAATTCTGCACCCAGCTCGCACCGACTACAGTGCTGACGTAAAATATCCTCAGTGGTAGATGGATCATGGGTTAAAGTTCCCTAGTCGTCCCGCTAACTGTGGGAGGTTTTCGTGGTTTCTCTCTCCGTGTAATGCAAATGGGGATTGGTTTCATCAAAAAGTCCTCCGCGAAGGCAATTTCTCCCAATACTTGATCCAGGAGTTCCCTTGTCTTCTGGATTGGATTCAAAATTACAAGACTACAGAGTTGAAAATTAATAGTTCAATAATTAATAGCCCAAAAATTGGGTCGGCTGTTCGTTGACGGTCAAAAAAAATACGCCTTACTCAAGATGCCTTAACAGAAAAGAGGCTGGGTAATAAAATAATTTTAAAACTGTAAAAAAAAAAAAAGCAAATTTTTTAAGAGCTGGAGAAAAGATATGACCTCCCCATTTGCTGGTTAGATCTTAGCCATTAAGAGGGTGCCACAAGAGAAGCCACAAGAGAAATCCTTATCATTAGCCACAAGAGAAATCCTTCATGGCAAATTTTCTTTCAACTTTATATTTTATTTGAAGTTTAGAAAAATAAGTTTAGGTAAGCCATTAGGTTTTAAATTCTGAAAAAGATTTCAAAATTTAAACAAATTAAGGCAGGATTATGCAGTGCCATAATTTGTTTGCATTCTGATATTGTGAAAACATTTTTTCAGCATTTGAAACTTCATGGTTTACATGAATTCACTTTTCTTTAAATTGCCAATGGAGGTGAAGTAGAATTTGGCATGAAAAAAATATTTTTAGCGGTATAACATACTATTAAGAATTAGTAGAATGAGTGTCCATGTGGCTCTTTGGCATAAAATTTGTGAGACATCTGTTAAAGAAATGCAAATGTGAAGCTATGATTTCAAATTAGGACTTTGTTTTGAAGTGAATCATATAGAATTCAATTTTTTGTATATGTCTTGTAAGTATTTTACATATTTTCATTAGTATGTACATTTTCTCTTTGTATTTCATAAATTAAATCATAACTTAACTAAACTTACATTTTAAATTTTGTTTTTATTTAATTTTTGCTCTGTTTTCTTTTCTTTTTTTATGACCTTATTCTATATTGAAAAAGAAACTCTTTTACAAAATGTTTTTGCATATTTTAACTCCAAAAAAAAAAAAAAAAGACTTAATTTTTGAGCCTACTTTGATTACAAAAAAAATGCACAATAGGGTACCAAGTCTTAGTTGAAGAGTCAGTGCAAAAAAGTTTAGAGATCTTTAGTTTAGCTTAGGGGTGTACAACCTATGTCCTGCGGGCCTCATGCGGCCAGCGGGATCTTCTGAACGCAGTAAAAATTTCTTTTAATTTGGTTTTTGTTTAAACATTATAAGTTTTCTTTTATCAAATTATTTAATTCAAATTTATATTACTCTATAAAATACATATTTTGTTCTTTTTTTGCACTTTCATTCTGTAAGCTTCTTTTTGGATAGAATTTATATCACCTCTCCCAATAAAATTGTGAAAAATTGAAGAAGTTTTTTAAATAAATGCATCAGTGTTTTTAGTTTGAAATAAATTTAAATAATTAAAAGTATTTATTTTTCTGCAAATATGTTATTAAGTTTATTGTAAAAATATCTGGTGCTTAGAACACTAATGTTTAGATAAAAATCATCATATTTGCCGTTAACATGACTAAATATGCATGCGACCCTTCGTTACTCTACTTGCTGTGCAAGTGGCCCTTCACTCAAAAAAGTTGTGTTCCCCTAGTTTAGCTGATGAACATATAAGAATCCAGTCTGTTATTGTTTTTCATACTGAATGTTATTTCTTTCTCTTAACAGCAAGATAAAGTAAGAAAGCTTGTTGTAGTAGATATATCTCCAAACACTTTGCCTGTTACATCAACTTTATCAGTTACATATTTACGTCTTATGAAGGAAGCAATCGCTCAGGTTGAAAACTTAACTCTTAATCAAGCCAGAAATGCCATTGATAAATACATGTCACAAGGGGTGCCAGTAAGTTGCAATTATGTCATTTCATTATGTATTCATATTGCTTGAATGAAAAATGATTTGCAATTATGTCATTTCATTATGCATTCATATTGCTTGAATGAAAAATGTTTTGCAAGTATGTCATTTCATTATGTATTCATATTGCTTGAATGAAAAATGAGTTGCAATGTGTATTCGTGTTCCTTGAAAGGAAAAGGATTTTTGTCCAAAATTATAGAATTAAAATTAATATTGTTCATGAGCATTTAAATATTATTTAACCTAAGAAATTTTTTACTTGAAAGTGGGATTAATAATTGAAAAGTTTCGGTGAACTCGGTTTTAATTGACAGTTTAATTAATAAAGAAATGTCAGTTTTAAAAAGTATAGCAATAGTAAAAATTTACGAAGCACAATTTCCCCTTTGAAAATCATCTAATTTAATGATCTGACTAAAAAAAAGTCCTATTCATACAGTTGACCTTAAGATGTTTCTAAAAAAAATATTTCATGTGTTTTCATATCTTCCAGCATCTTTTATCACTAATATTTTCAAGTGAATTGCTTAATTAAAAAACAAGTTTTGTGCAGTCAGGGATGTGATTCTTCCGTTAATTTCGCGGATTCCCGCTTTTTTTCAGATTTTTTCTATTTTCCCCACTAATTTCCGCAAATTTTTTTTTTGCACAAGTTAAAATATTTTGTGAGGAATTAAATTTTCATCGGATCGAAATTATTGAAGTCCTCATTCCTCCCTCTGAAGATTCTCTAAAAATCATTTCCTTGGGATAAAACTGGTTGACCTCCAGTGAATTTCTCATGTAGTATATAAAGCAGTTAACAGTTCTTTGTCACTTCTCAAAAGTTGCAAAGCATTACATCATCTCTTATTCTTCCATTCAATTCTAATAATGTTTCCAAAATGATATAAATCGATGAGATAAACATCTGAAAATTTCTTTATAAGGAGACAATCATTACATCATATGTAAAATATTTCAAATGTTATTTAACGTTCTGATTAAATAGTTTGTTGCAAGGCCTTCTGCAATTTTTAATGCTTCGCCCAAATGATTAGAAATTTGAGAGTAAAACTGACAATTATAACTTCTTTTTTTAAATTTAAAAAGTACATTCTATGTTTTGAGTTTAAATTTTGCACAGTAGGCAGAAAAAAAGGGGTGTTTTATTCATTTCAGACCATTCCTCAATGATGGCGTGTTAGGTAAATTTTCAAACCTGCTCTCTTCCAATTCTCTAATTTTATCAATTATCATTCCATGTCAATTATCATTTATATATATATATATATATATATATATATATATATATATNCCCCCGCCATTTTAAATACTCACAGTTAATGTATTTTAACCCATTTAGCATTTAATGCTCATTTAGAAAATTACCTATACGCGTTCGTTCTTCCAAAGAAGATACTTATTACTTTTTAGAATTACTTGGTTTTGATCCAGAACCTTTGCAGGCGATGACAGGATCAAGTGCGTTTGCAATGATTTTATTTAAGTTTATAGATTTAAAGATCTCTTTTTTACTGTATCAATAAATGTTTAGAAAAAATAAAATTTTTAAAGAGTAGAAATTTTTTAATGGAACAAAAATTAAGATTTTTTGAACTTAAAAATTTTGAAGAACATTTTTTCCTACCAACATTTCAGTAAAACGTTCTGAAATGGAGCAGTGAAACTTTCTTTGAAAATTGCATTATTCTTGAATATGTAATCACTTTAGCCAATTTGTGATCAATAGGACTCTAGATTACCCTTAAGTCTCTTTCACGCCTTGATACAGCTCTGATTTGTTAGAAGAGAAATTTTCTGTGTAACAAATTCATTGTACAGATACTCTCCTGTATTTTGATAGCAGTAGAGAAAGCTCAAACTTTGTATTAACATGATTTGATCAAACTTATTGCATCTGACGTATTTACAACCTTATAAGTGAAAATACTGCTGTTTTTATTTAAACTTTAATAGTTAGTATTTTAGGAATTTAAAATCATTAAATTTTTATTTATTTATATGGTGCTATTTTTTTGAAAAATAAAAGGCTGATATAGCCTGGTTGGTAGGGCACTAGGCCCATGTCCAAGAGTTTGTGGGTTCGATCCCAGCTGGGGCAAGACTCCCCGTGTTGTAAATAGTGACTAATGCACGTTAAATCTGTCAAGTCGCAAAGTCCTCCTTGTTCCCATAACAAATCAATACCTCTGGGGGTACTGATCCAAAAATGTAAAATCTTAATCTTTTATTTACATTTTATTTTTGTGTGTAGTAAATTAGAAATAGAAATTAAATTACTAAAATGGAAGAATTAAAATTCTTTATCATCGAATAAATACTGATTGATTCAATTTTTCCTATTCACTTAATGAATAATTTATTTTTCTTCCTATTTTGTATTCAATTTATTGTTTTAAAGGTAACATCTAATTGTTAATAAATTTTAATGTACCGATAATTAAGTGTTTTTAATAGTATTAATAAATTCATCTTATATTAATAAATAAAACCAGAAAAATGTTTGTTGTTATTTTCGTATGCCTGTTAAGGCAGAGGGGTGCGATTGCTCTTGTTTTCCAGTAGCGCCATCTATGGCCAAGAATTCGACTTCTGCCGCACCCATACGTCACACCCGTTTATAGAGCGGATTCATACATCCATTCATTCATCCACAGATTGTAGTTTGGACCTGAATCAGAGAACGATCAATCTCCAATTCAGTACCCTCTGTGGTATTGACTTGTTATGGGAACACGGAGGACTTTGCGACTCGACAGATTTAACGTGAATCAGTCGCCATTTACTACACGGGGAGTCTTCGGCCGGCAGGGTTCGAACTCATAAACTCTCGGACATCGGCCCAGCTCCTTACCGACCAGGCTATCCTGGCACAGAAAAATATTTGAAAATATATTACTAAAAAATGTGTCTTAAGGTTTATTTATTAAATAAATCAATTTTTACGCACCAAATATTATCTTTTGCAAAACTTTTCATTACAAAGAATATCTAACATAAGTTTATTGATATATTTTGCTCCATAATTTTTTTCCCTTCCTGTTTTATAGGAAACTCCAATTCGACAATTTCTTTTGACCAATTTAACAGAGAAAAATAATAAAATTGTATGGAAACCAAACATTGATGCTTTAGCAAAAAATTATGAAACTGGAGTTTTGGAAATGCCACTTCTTGAGGGTCATTTTATGGGAGATACTATCTTTATCTGTGGAGAAACATCACCATTTGTCAAGTAATTAACATCTCATTCATAAACTGAATATTTTCATTAGAGTTGACTTGTGTAAATAATTCATTTTATGCTATAAATTAATCTATATTTCTACTGTCTAAGATGATTTGGTTTTTAGAGAAGTACAATTTGTTATAAATTTACAACCAATTAAGTTATTTTTGCTTAAAAATTATAGATTTATGTTTTATTATAAAAGTAGTCGCGAAATCTAATCCTTCCCTACTTGGTGAGACTTTAACTAACAGGGAAATGTCTGAATTTCATAAATATTAGATTATTTCAGTGGTCTTCAGCCTTTTAAGCTGCAAGACCTTAGCAATAAATTTGAAAAATTTTATGGGACCACATATGTGCTAAATAATGTAGTAAACTATATTAATTAGCGAAGAAATTTATAAATGGGAGGGAGACAAGTTTAGTGTGGGTTAATTAATTTTATAATTTCTATCGTGTTTGTAACTTTTTGAGTGCTGTTTTTGTAATATATGAAGGCTTTGTTCAATCAGTCTCGCTGTGAACTGATTGTTAAGACACAGTTTGCCATAGAACACAGATGTCAGTGAGTGGGTGGGTGATCCCTTTGATCAGTCTTCAAAGGGACCGAGTGTGCACGATATCGGTCCTTGTTAAACTGTTGTACCATAAAGTGCTTGACTTCTGGAGCGGCGTGTTGGGTTACCAAAGCGGAGGAGTCAATCCTTTTGCTGAAGATCAAAATTGTAATGGTGTGTCTTCAGATCATCCCCAAGGATATTTTCAATCAATGCCCTATTGGGCAGTTGAAGTGTGATGCAAATAAAGTACTACTTCTTGAACTCCATTTCTTATATTTACTACTAATTCCTATCGTATTTTAAAACTACATAGAATTTTCCGATTCACCCGATATTTTACAGCCACTTTACAACCAATATCGATCCTATATAGTATTTTCAGATTCACCTGATATTTTATATCCATTATTTAGCCAAAGTTGGTTCTATATCGCCCAATGTAGGCCCTATATAGGCCATTCTAGGACCCATATTAAAAAATCTAGGCATCCCAATATGGGTCCATCGGTGCATGTTCTTATAGGACCCTTAATCAAGCCAATTTTGAGGCCAACTGGGGCCAAGGTGAAACTGTTGCTAGGGTAGATATTTTCCAGCTTTTTTCTACTGCCCAACAGAGGGCACGACAAATGGTACAACATAAGAAGAAATAATACACTCTTTAGATTTGAAAATCTTGTTTCTCAAAAATGGAATAAGACCATTCAAACTAGGTTTTCATGCATTCTAGTAATTTAGTGTAAATCACTCATGGTGTTGTATGCATAATTATTTTATTCAGAAAAAAAAGATAGTTTTATTAGATTTGAAAAATGATAAGTTTTCTTCAATTTTTTGTACTGTTACCATCAATGAATGGAATGTCTGGTTTTTATAGAATGCCTAGTCATTGTGTAGAATGCCTAGATATTCTTTTGTATGAAAAATGTTCTGTTGGCAAAGTATGAAATGTGAGTATTATTATATACTTTGTTTAGTCATCGCAAAGAATGCCTGTAAGTTTTCAATTGTCATTCTGTAGATGTTTAGACAATGTGTATAATATTAATTATTTCATACTTGCTGGTTTGTCATTAGTCATACTATAGAATATTTAAGTTATGCGAACATTGTAATTCTTTTAATATTTTGTTGGTTTGTCATTAATCATACTATAGAATATGTAAACAAAGCGCACACTTTTAATATTTTGCTAATTTGTCACTTATCATACTACAGAATGTCTAAGTGAAGTGCACAGTATTAAACCTTTTAATTTTGTTATGTTTCTTTTTAATTTACAATTGTACTTTTCTCACATCTGTATGCCTCATGTTATATTTTGTGGAGTGTGAGGAATTACGTAATAAATTTAAATTTAAAAACAAACAAACTGCAGAATGTCTAAACAAAGTGTACGATATCAATACTTTAATGGACAAATTTAGGCATTCTATAGACTGCCAGATTTTCACACATTAATGGTAACGTATCTAAACATTTCTGGAAAAAAAAAACAAGCATGAAACATATTTTTTTACTGTTTATGCATGTAAACATTTCAGAAAAAAATGTAAGGTTTTATTATTGCAGAGTTGAAGATGAACTTAAAATTAAGGCTCTGTTTCCAAAAGCCGACATTATCCGCATTCAAGGAGCTGGCCATTGGGTTCACAGTGACAAACCTACTGAATTTATACAATGCCTCTGTGACTTTATAGGCTGATTTGTATATTGTTTGATAAGAGTATATACATTACAAGTTCTATTTATATAAGTGTTATTTATCACGAATTAAAACGAGAAAAAAGTATTCATTATTTTATTAGAAATTGTTGAGAATGTAATTTATGATATAAAAATGTTTTTATTAAATTCTTGTTTATTTTTTTTTACTTCTGTTATCATATATTCTTCTCCACATCAGCCATCAGAAACTGTGCCTTTTATACTTGTCTTACAATATTATAGTAAAATTGTGAAAGGTGTCCAATACAAATACCATTCATTTTAGAATATTGCATTAGTTAGTCTATGTCAAACAAACCAGACGGTGATAAAACATTTTTAATTTTTTAAAAATATTGCCATGAATAGTACTTTATATCTCGATTATACTTTTTTGTCATAATTCTCTTTATGGAATAATTGTATTTGTGTTATAAAAATACCTTAATTTTCCTCAGCTTTTCACACTTTTGTACACATTCCCTATAGCTTTCTGGAAATGTTTGAAGCTTTATTTTTGGAGAAAATAGAAGAATTTTATTAACTAAACTGCTAGAAATATTTTCTACTTCATAGATTTATTTTTTAGCTTATGGAATCAGTTATGATGTTTGTTTTTCGTGCCTCCAAAGTCAAATTAGAGTATTCACTTAACAGAGAGAACAGGCTGCGAGTGTTAAGATGTTTTTAACTCTGATTTTTAAAACATTCAACAGATTTAGAAGCTTTTGAAAAATAAAAATGCATTTCAGCTGGAGTTTCACAACAGAACAAAATGTGGAGCATATGGTAAGTTATTTTCCACGTTTTCATTTATAATTTTACAAAACGCTTAACTCAAGTTTTGAATAATATATTTTCACAATTGAACAAACTCAAGTTGATCACTTTTTGATAAAACTTTCTTACATGAAATTTTTGGACTTAAAACTGTTGTTGTTTTTCATAAATTTGCATTTTAAAATCTGTAGCATTCGCCTACTTTGTTTTGTTAAATGGTATGACAGCTATTAGTTCATATATCTACATATATCAAAGGCTCTTAACAATTTTTATCTTAGACCTTAATTTATGTGCTGATAATATTATTCTGACCTTATTTTAATTAGCACTTCCTTTTTTATGTAAAGTACGATATTTTACTATTCCAAGATTATTAAATTTAGTTGCATTTATACCTGGATTAGTAACAAATTTGGCAGCATGTTTGATCGTGAAAACCATTAAAATTTGCTGAAAACTTAGTTTTAAGGGAAGTCTACATATTTTTATCTACATTAGCTGCGTAAGTTAGAATAATAGAAGAAAGTAATTCTCCGATGTTCATGAAGAGTTTGTTGTGTATTTAAACAATGTACAAAGATTAGTTGAACACGTTTCTCTTGTGTTATGATTAAAATAAAAAAGAATAAGAATTCATAGTTTAATTTGCGTTTTAAGATAATTTTGAAGTACCCGCCTTGTAACCCAGTTAAGGTTACACCCCAGTATGTTGAGAAACCAAGTCTTTGGAGGTCCTAATATATGTAGGGAAAATGTGATGTTTAAGAGAAGCGAAATATGATTTATGAAGTATTTTTTTAAATATCAATCATTTATAAAATTAATGTGCACAAACTTTACATGCATTTTATAAAGCAATTAATTACTGCAAGGAGAGATGCCCCTCAACTAAAGAGAAAAAATTTCACCTCTGTACTACTTTTTTTTTGGCATAAATTAAATAAAGTAATGAAAAAATATTCTGTAATTGGGCTTTTAAAATATTAGCACAAAAATATTCCTTTCAATTGATTGTTCAAAATATTACAACAAAAACTGAAAATTTTTTATATTTCATTCTAAACAATTTATTTTATTAATTTAGTTTATAAATTAATCAATAGCCTTTTTTTAACACCTTGAGATCAGGAATTATTTCCAAATTTTAAATTTTTCTGTTCTTTTGTTAATAAATTTTTTTTTTATTTTCTACTCTTCTATAATAAAGGTACAGGAGTGACCTGGAGGAAAAACTTAATTCGGACTGCAATTATATTTCACTCATTTTGCTGCTTTAAGATACATATTAATAATGACACACAAGAATTTTTTTTTAAAAAACAAGTTGCGTTAATTGTTACAAAATAACCTGTTTTGAAATGCTTGGCTGAGACTGGATATGGCAGTGTAACTATTTTGAATAATTTTAAATATCTCCAACTGGAAGATTAAGATCAGGGATAGAGCTGCCTGGAGAAATATTATGCGGCAGGCTAAGACCCACTCTGGGCTGTAGTGCCAATAAAGAAGGAAGATGGGTTATAAATAATAAAATAAAATTTTTATCATAATAGAAAAATAAAATATAGAAAATTGGGACAGTATAGACGCATAGTGAAAATAATATTATTTTTAGGCCGATTTGAATGCAAAACTAATTAATTATAGTCAGAAAGTGGACTATATATATATCTTGTATTTAAAGAATAAAAGGTCATGCTATTAATTAATTTAATTATGTGGCTATTTAGGGATTAAATTTAATAATCTTTTTAATAATAATTTAAAAAAGTGACATATAAATTATGAGTCTGCATTGTCTGATGTAATATTAAAATATATTTCTAATAATTTTGATATATAGCTACAAAAATTAATTACACTTTGTATTTACTGTACTTTGGATTCATATTAAAAGTTTACTTTGAGTACCTGACAAAAGTTGAAGACAATTGTGACATTCTACATTCAAATTAAATTATTAGGAATATTTATGATACTAACAAATTTATTGCCTTTAAAATGTGTTATTGGAATGCTTTGATAATTTGTTTAAAAAAATCTTGAAACAAAATACATTGAATAAAGACTAGGGTCACACTTTCTGGAGAATGACCCATATAAAGCTAAAAAACTAAGTATACAGAGTAAGTCAGGAACATACAGCTATTGATCAGCATTATCATCAATGTCAATACAGTATCAAATGATGGAATTTATCGACAGCATTGAAACAGTGTTAATCCCAAATTTTTATAAATTGGTGCTTCTGATATTTATGAATAAGAAATGTGGTTTGTCATATTTAGTATAATTAAGTACCCTTATTAGATGTGAGAGAGACTAAGTAGCTATGCAACCCTGCTTTTTAGATCTTTGAAGTTATATTTTTGCAAATGAACTTTTTGTATAATTTAGAATACCTATAGAAAAGGAAATTATCTATTGGATACTTTAGGATGTTTTTAAAAAAGGAATTTATCTATTATATGATTTTGTTTTTAGATAATGAATTTATCTATTGGATACTAAGGATGTTTTTAGAACATGAATTTATCTATTGGATACTAAGGATATTTTTAGAACATAAATTTATCTGTTGGATACTAAGGATATTTTTTAGAACATGAATTTATCTATTGGATACAAAGGATATTTTTAGAACATAAATTTATCTATTGTATACTAAGAATATTTTTTAGAACATGAATTTATCTATTGGATACAAAGGATATTTTTAGAACATAAATTTATCTATTGGATACTAAGATATTTTTAGAACATGTATTGGAATAAATTAATCTGTTAAAAATAGTGGAATTTGTAATAAAAAATAACTTTAGGCATCTCATGATAGTCAATCTATTTATTATATACAATTGAAATAGAAACAGAAAATTAATTCTGTAGACATTTGTCTCCATGGCAAGACTAGTAATTTTAATTTCAAGAGCATTTTTCAACAACAGAACATTGAATGAAAGTCACAATGATTTAGGAGATATATTTTAAATGCAGCTGAAAAAATATATAACTAATTCAGCGATATTTTGAATGGGCTGCGAAACTGAATTGTCATTTTCAATTTCATTTCCATTAAAAATTTCTTTATATATTTAGCTGCTTCAACAACATCTTCATCCAGAGGACGCAGACGCAAATCTACATACTGAATCATTTTTAAAATAAAAGCATGGGAAAATGTAATTTGTACACTGAAAATGTTTTAATATAATTGTGCTATATTATTCACATTGCCAGAATTAAGATGCATTTCAAAAAACATCCAACTCGACTGGAGTATAAACAAATGAATGTTTTTTTTAAGTTTCATCACAATATGCATTATTTTCAGCTGATATGTGCAAGCTTAACGTTCACTTTACAAGCAAAGGTTGAACACACATTTTTTTTCATAAATTAAAAATGGGGATGATCTATATTTTGCACAGCTTACAACATGAATTATTTCAAACAAGTAATGGGCAATTAACAACAGCATTAATGAGTAACAACAGCTATGGTGAAGTGCTGTGCTTTAAAAAGTTTTTTTATATGAAGTACCTCAGGTTTAGAATAAATTAATTTCTAGATTTCATATAAAAAGCACTCTTCTGCTTCCCGAATGTAACATAAGTAAGAGAATTTTTTTTCTCGGAAAGATGATTAGATTTAATTGCACCGGCCTTGTTCTTATAACATATATATATATATTTTTACATCAATTACTCTAGTTTTTTTCTGATTTGTTTTAAAAATTATAATATTTTTGAATTATCCTGAGGATTTTCAGACTTCATCTTAGATTTGGCTAATACTGTAAATAAGCAATAGCTGTTATTCTCTAAATTCTACAAAAAATTTGCATCGAAATAATTTGTTATCTAGATTGAGATTCAAGTTCTGTCGCAGAATGACTGCTCATCTCACGCCTATCTTTAGAGGTATAATGTTCCCTACTAGCTTCAACACTTGAATTAGAGGGTGTCCCCAGTTTTAAATGCAAAGGCGAGGGTGTACTAGTTGCGACAGGGCTACTCCCTTGACTGACACAAGGTATTAAAGGTGGAGGTATACCATTGCCAATGCTTGCTGGAGAGCCTGGCTTGGTTCTGGGAGGATAATTTGACACACATAAACTGTTCAAGAAAGGATTTCCGAGTGATGGAAACATTCCACCAGGTGGTAAAGGCCCTGGTGGTGGTCCACCAACATACGGTGGATCATTAGGCCTCAAGGGTGGAGGCGGCAGTTTTGTGCGTTCGTACACTTGCCTGTCTCTGTCAGCTTGTAGCTGCCTTTCCACCTCTCTGGCGGCGGCCTCTGAAGAGGACAAATGTCTAGCAAGTTCTGCTTCCCGATATCGTTCGGGAATCAAAGGCATCACAGATGAAATAGAGGCATATTTTTGCATCAATTGTTCACGGTCCATATCCCGCGCTTGTTGCAGTTCCAGACTGCGGTACCGCTCTGCCGCTGAAGACTGAGGCGGTGGTAATGGATTCCAGAAATGAGGTGGTGGAACTTGGGACATGGCAGCTAGAGATCCAGAGAGTCTGGCCTGTTCGGAAGCGCTGAGACCCATAGGAAGTCCCGGGATCATACCCCGGGACATATAGTCTGAGTTTGACTCTGAATGGGACAGCTCGTTCGATTTGGCTCTCTCTCTGTCTGCCGAGGTTGTACCACTGGGATTGGCGGAATTTGATTCTTTATTGTGGTCATCCTCCTTTTTTTCCTCTTTCACTTTGACGTCGGATTTGCTGCTGTTGTGCCCAGAGCTGCTGCCATCAAATGTGACGTCGGACTTGTGCGTTGAACGTATAGGGGATCTCGACGAATCCCTTCTTTCTCGAGATCTTTCCCATTCTCGATTTCTGTCTGAAGCTATCTCTCCATTCCTGATGACTTCAGGATTGCTGCTAATGTGACTCGCTCTATTCTCCCTGTCTCTGCAAAATATTAAGTTAAACATTTATTATATAATTTGGTGGCAACATAAGTATGAATCTATATGTTACTTTTAAAATATTGATACTGAAAGTAAATAAGTTAAAACAATTTGACATACAAAAGCATTTTAGGAAGAATTTTCTTGCTACCTTTCAGTTTCTTCTTCTGCTGTTTTTTTTTCAGTATAATTCATTGTTTGTATTTCTAATGTTCATATGCAATTACTAACATTATTTTGCCTTTACTTACTACATTTACTTTTCTTTTATGATTGTGTAATTTTTAATTTTATTTCATGATTCATTGTTTCTAATTTAGGAAACACTTTCACTATTCTTAGACTATTATTCTTATTCTATTCTTAGACAATTTCATTATTATTCGAAATATCAAGTAAAAGAATTTCGATTTTTTTCTCACAATAAATTCAAAGAAATTTCAATATTTCATATTTTAAAAAAGTGCATAAATTTTGTTCTCAATTTTAATAATATATTTTTTAATACGTAATATATTTTATTACAATTCTATACCTATTTCTTTTGAATATAATAATAATTTTATAATATTCTAAAGAACTAGGTTTAAAATATATCTTTATGACAGGAACCATTATTTTTTTAACAAATGAGCTAATGAATCAAAATAAATTCTCCATTTGTTTAAATCATTGGTACGTTTTGTAAGTTTTTTAAAAAAATAAAAGAAAAAAATGAATAAAAGTCTACTGCTGTTTTTGAATGTTACCACAAGTGATTTAAATTTAGAAATTTACCTAGTACGAATTTAAAGTTTTAAAACTCACTTTATTGCTTAGAATTCTAAATACAAAGACATCGTCTTAAAAGTTCAATCTGTAGTATACTGCTACCAAGTGCTGGATTACCCATTAGGCCAGGCCAGACTAGGCCATGGCCTGGGGCCCCTGATGATTAGGGGCCCCCTTAAAATGGATTTTTTGAAAATAAATTTAAAAAAATTAAGAAAAACAATGATTTAAAAAAAATCAATTTCAAATATATACTAATAAAATACTATAATTTTTTTACATAATGTTAATCATATTTATTTATTACTTATTTTAGTTATTATTTATAAGTATTATTATAGTTTATGTATTATAAGATTTACTATTATGTATATGTATTATAAGATACTTTTATTATATATGAATAAATAAAAAATATAAGAGAAAAAAAATTTAATCTAAGGGCCCCAAAAATTTGAATAGCCTAGTGCCCCGCTTACGCTTAATCCGGCACTGTGCTACCCTAAGCCCAAGTCTTTTCTCCGCAATGATTATGCTTTGTGTTTAAATAAATAAGGAAAAGTAAGCACATTTACCCATTTAGTTTTTAAATTAAGCTAAGGTAGAAAATAGGGAAGACATATTTCGAACTGTGTCCATTTTCTTAAACACAGATTTCGAGCTGTGTCTAACTTTAAAACCTCACCAATTATTAGTTAATATTAACAGGAATATACTCAAATAGTGAAGTGAATATGTAAAATACATTGATTATAAAAGTGTGAAGAGTTTAGTCAGTATACTAACCTTTCTTTTTGTTTTTCATGTTCTCTTTTACTTTCCCTAAAATATAAAAAGAGAATTATTTTGATTTTGTTTAAATAATGAATTCTATCATCATTAAATTCATTACTATTGGTAATGTTTAAAGAATGAACATATTCGGGGAGTTCCCCTTACTTGGAGCGCACTTTGAAATGCTTCTAAACTGACATTCGTAAACAACCAAAAAAGTTTAAATAGTTTTAATTTTAAGAGAAGAGTGGAGATATTCCAAACTTCTCCCATTTGTTATAAACAAGCGATTTTATGTTGAAATCAAATGTTTTCAAAACAAACTTTTAATTTCGATACAAAATATTTTCCAACTCTGCACCAACTGTATTTTTAATACATTAAAAAAGTTGGTGGAAATTGGAGCGCACTCCAAGAACTTCATGTCGCGGAACTCAACCATTGTTTTAAAATCGAATTTTTATGATTCAACATTTTTAAGCACTGAAGTTTTGGGTACAATAGATTTGTGGTCGATGTGCCTTGCTCCTCGGAGCTACTCAACCTCTAACTCTAATGTGAAATGGATTGTCTCTAAATTTTTAAACACTTATAAAATTGATCTGCATAAACTGTTTTATGAGTTTACAAGAAATTATGAAATTTTGTTTTATAATTTTTGTTCAGTATCACTCAAGAAAAATAAGTCTTCTGGAATAAAAAACAAACAAACAAAAAAAAATATATAAAAAAAACCTAATGTTTACATAGTTTTTTAATGTTTTCTATAGTTAAAGCAAAAGCCCATAGAAAAATATGGTAAATCCATTGTACTGAATGGTATCGTATAATTTTGAAAATCACTCCATTTTTAAGAATCATTCCGCAATTTACTACTTTTATGTTTACCATATAATATTACGTATGTTTTCATAATAAATTTACTGTTGATGAAAGTATGCTTTTATAATATAATTTTGGCAATTTCATAATTAATTTCAATCACAATGAAGTTATGTAAAGATTGTATAGTAAATTAAAGTGTTACCTAGAAATTTCTTTTGATTTTTCACTCTCTCTTTTTTCTGACTCTGCTTTCTTGAGTTTTTCCTTTTCTTTCTCTCTTTGTTCTTGCTCATCTCGTTTCTGGACTCGATCTTTCTCAGCTTCCGCTTTCAAACCACCCCACGCTGATGGCGTGAGTGAGGAGGGTGAGGAGAAGTTGGGAGGTGTTCTGTGCAATCGGCTCCACGGATCCTGCGCCATGCTCAAGTAACCAGGCCCTAGTTCTCGACCGGCTAACATGCTGGCTCCAGCCAAACCTGTGCAAAGACATTTATATTAAAGTAAAAATCTGCAAATTTAATAAAGTAAAAATCTATCAGGGCATTAGACAGAAGTAATTATTCAACACTTGCTTTAATTATTTGGGGTTATATATTGGAATGTTAGGAAAGCAATTTCTTTGTTTTTTTTTTATTTATGAAAATCAAAGAATATTTTCTAATAGTTTGTAACAAGTGAATCATTAATCATATAATATAATATTTATGTCACCGTTACAAATTCATACCTGCCAAGTCTCCTGTTTTTTAACGAAGATTCCTACATTTTCCTACTTTCGAAGATTCCCGTATTTTCTCAAAATTCTCCGTATTTGTTGAAGAAATTAAAAAAAAACATTTTTGGCCATAAAATATCCACTGATGAAATACTTCTCCATGAAATACTTCTCTTATTCCTCAACAGATGGTGCTATTGCCAGTACTGCAGTTTGTTGCTCAGGGGATAGAGCGTTTGCTTTCTAATGAGGTAAATGGGGTTGAAATCCTAGCGATGGCTAGTCGATACAAATTCCGCACCCAGCTCTCACTGGCCACGGTGCTGACGTAAAATATCCTCAGTGATAGACGGATCATGGGTTAGAGCAGGGTTTCTTAACCTGTGGTTCATGAACCCCTAAGGGGTCCATGAGTTATAATTTGGGGGTCCGCTGACTACTAATTTTTAAAACGTTTGAAAGCCTACCCATTGCTTGTAAAGCGAGCTATGGCAGCTATAATTCCGTTTGCTACAGTGTATCTCTGCGAAGCGGGATTTTCCACAATTGTGACAATAAAAACATAACATCGAAATCGATTGAATGTTGAACATGATATGCACGTTGCTTTGTCGAAAACCATCCCCTAAAGCAATTTATTAATTAAGGAAAAGCTATTAAAATAATAAAATTAAATGTTTTCTAATAATTGATGTTTTTTGCAATAATTTTTTTCACAGGGGGGTGGTCGTTGACTTCTTAAAATTTTTTAAAAGGGATCCATTATATCAAAAAGTTTAAGGAACACTGGGTTAGAGTCTCCTTGCCAGAAGTCTTAGTGGTTTTCCTCTCCATGTAAAGCAAATGTATGTTAGTTCCATCAAAAAGTACTTACTTAATCCTCCAAGACCTCCAAAACTATTTCCAGGAACACCTAATGTTGGATATGCTGGACGGGCAAATGGTGTAATACCTGTAACAAAATAAAACACTTAATCACATATTCTACTCAAAAGATGCATAAGCATAATTAGGGATAAGTAATGAGAAAACAAGAAAGGAAAGGAAATACATTTAGATAGTTAAAAAGAAATAGAGAATTGAAAGAATGGAAAGTTAAGTAAGAAAATGTATTATTAACCTAAATTTTCCTTGTTTATCTATTGATTTTTACCTTATTAGTGAAATAATTAAATTTTATTTTGATAGGTTGAAATTTATAGTAGATTTCTGTTGTCTTTTTAATACAGATTATTAATAAGATTTTTTTTTTTAAACAGTGAAACTTTTTTTAATACAAATTTTTTTTCCAGCCTTCATTTATTTAAGTTTCTAGTTATTGCTGCAAGTTATTATAAACATTTATGGACAACAGGTTGTTTTTAATCACAATTACAGAAAATTGATTATTGATTTTAAATACTGGGATTTTTCTTTTAAATGACATAATTTCAAATGTTTTTTCTTTCTATTTTAATTTGTTGGAGGACAGATCTATGTTAGAAAGAAAATTTTTTTTGAGTTTTTGAGTATGAAGAAACAAGATTTGAGTTTATATTTTAAAGTTTTTGTTGGTTTTTCTGCAGAATATGTCAGTATAAAATTATATCCATAAATATTCACCAATCATAACTGTAACTTTGGTGCAATATTAGCAACAAAACAAAATAATCTAATCAAACAAAATGATCGAAGTTAGGAAATTTATTTATTGTTGTTAAAGCTGAAAACATGTTTCACATTTAAAGTACTTTTCTAAAACTCTAGAGCAACTTGAGTTTGACCATTTTAATAATTCCAATCATTATGTTATATATTTGAGTTATATGATGCTTTGCTTAAATCAATAATATTTGAAAAAACAAATTCCAATAAAATTTTTTAAAACTTAAGCTTGTACAAAATATATAATAATAACTTCATATTTTTTTCATTTTCTGTCAGTTGTTTTCTATTGATAAAAAAGTTAAAACTAATTAAGAATAAATTGATTATGAAAGATGCTCTTTAAAGGATTGCTTTCATTATACATATAAAAAAAATCTTTGTAAATTGTAATTAAAAAAATACATTAAAGATCGCGAATTATTATGTAAACGTGAAAAAAAAACATTTTTAAAATCTGATGCATCATTAGTTGGATGTCGATCAGATTAAACGAAGAATTATAATTATCAAAATATATCCTGCTTGTTGGATAAAACTGAAATGCTTGTGCCATTCTGCTTTATCTTGATAATGAAGCGTTTGATTTTGATAATAATATTTTCAACCACTGTAATGCGTTAATACATTGTATTTCAATCTTTTAAAAATATTTATTACCTTAGTGGCTTTCAAACACCCTAAAATTTGAAGAGTTAAATGTAGGTTTTATATTCAATTGGGATAATATTACATTTTATGCTAATTTTAAATGACTAACTAAGCTAATTCAATAATTAAAAAAAATAATGAATCATTACAACAATTAATGGTTTTAAATATAATGTATTAATGTAAGTTTTTTGCTTTTATTAGTACATTTTGAATTTTACTTAATAATTTAAATGTTTGTAAGGCTGATTAATTTAGAAATTTTCAACTGTCAAATTGTTCTTTTTTAAAACTTATTCTCTTTTTTTAAGAAATTATTAACTGAATAGAAATATTATGATTGGTTTTGACACAGAACTTTTGAATAGTGTTAGTAGTTTTCAATAAAAACAACAACTGAAAGTAAACAAAAAAGTTGTTCAGCTTACAAGAAAGTAAATGTTCAGGTAAACAATTTTGATGGAGAGAGTCGACTGAAAGAGACATTAAAAAAAATAATGAACTCAATTAGTTACAAGTCAAGTACAATTTTCTTCACTATTTGTTTCTCTTTTCTTAGAAAGAAAGAAATTATTTTCTTACTAAGAAAAGAACCTTGCATATAATGATCAAAGAATATTTACCTAAATGTGCAGGTGTAGGCCCTAAGAACCCAGGATGCTGAGGAGTAACTTCATATGGTGAACGGCCAGGTATAGATGCTGCAAAGAAAAGTAATCTGATATATTATGGAGTTAATATGATTTTAACAAAATATTAAGTTGCAATTATATAATTATTTGACCTAAAAGCCATGGGGGCTCAGGGGACAGAGTAATCAATGAGGTGAGGTTTGTATCCCTGTGATAGTTGGTTAATATGAATTTTGCACCCGGTTCACTCTGACCACAGTGCTGAAGTATCATGGGTTAAGAGTCTCCTTGTTGTCTGGCTAACCTTGGGAGGTTTTAACGGTTTTCTTAAAAGTCTAATTTTTCCGAATGTGTTATCCTGTAGTTCCCTTGTTTTCTGGGTTGGGTTTAAAATAATATGGGTACAAAGTGAAACATGGATAGTTGGTGAACTCAGAATTGAGTTAGCTGTTCAATGATGGTTATAAAGTATATAAAATTATCATGCTTCATGTTTATAAAACAATTAGTTTGTATAATATCAATTCCTTCCTTCCTCAATGGCACGAGAGCCCCAGGTGGGCCCTGGCCTTCTCAATCAACTTCCTCCAGGCCTGCCTCTGCCTGGCAGTTGTCTTCCAGTTTGAGACTTTTAAGACTGAAATGTCTCTTTCCACGCAGTCGGCCCATCTCAGCTTTGGTCGACCTCTGGGCCTTGATCCGATGGGCTGAGCTGAAAAGATTATGTTTGTCGAACGCTCATAATATCAATTAATTGATTAAAAATAATTCATATCTTGGAATCTAGTTAGCAAGTATAATTTCTATCGTAATTATACTAATTAATCAATTTGCTTTATATTCATAGATTTTTCAGTAATCCCTAATGATTATGTATTATAATTTATATAACTTTTGATTACTTATTGCAGCTTTATCTTACAGAAAAAAAGTTTCAATTTAAGGCAAATTGATGAATAAAATAATACAGTATTAGAAGAGCTTTTTGGAAAAACACGTTGAATAATATTTCAAAAACACTAATTTTCCCTTTTTTAAAAACTGTGATTAACTTTAGTTAACTGTTTAACTAAAACAATAATTTTATTCTATCATACGTTTAGCGACTGACAGTTTCCAATAAAAGAAAATTATATTTTGCTAACGGCTATTTTTGATATTTCTATGGTTTACTTAAACTTTCCGAAGTGTTACAGAAAACGTTTTCTAAAATTGATTTTCTCAAATGTTAGTTATTGTTTTTTCTTTTTAAGTCAAGATTTTCTCTGTTTCACTAAAATGTTTCTTTTCAAGTAATGTTTTCACATTTAAGTATAACTTAGATAGTAATTTCTTATTAAACATTTTTATAAGTTCACTAATATGTTTTTCAACACTCAATGAGACTCATATTCAATAAAGAACTTCTTAACATGTAATGATTTTTTGAAAAATGATAATTTTTTTAAATCAAATTCACTAAACATGTAATGATTTTTTCACATTTATATAGAATTGCTTACTATTTAAGAATTTTTTCTGTTGCAAATTCTCTAAAATGAATTTAAAAGATCATGATCTATAAGATTAAAGCCACATGTTCTTCCACTATGTCTTCAATAAAATTTTTTTTTTAAGAGTTTAAATTAAATATGCATACATGCAGCACCAAGCAGAGATGAAGAGAAACCAAGTTCGTGTGGTCTTGGAATGGAGCTGAAAAGATGATTAGGGGGTCGCAACAGGTCCGACATTCCCTTTGAGGGCCCTGTGCCCCCTTTTTGCGAGTCAGCCTGTTGCTTCTGTTGATGACGATAGATCTCCCAAGATATTCTTACATGCATGGCACACCACCGACCAGGTTTCTATGAGATAAAATTTAAAATTAGTTCAGGTTTTGAGTTTTCGAAACACTAAAAAGGCACAGGAATTGGCAATTCAATTTAATGAAATACTTAAGAAAAATTATTATTTTTAAAAATTTTTTAAGAAAAAATAATTTTCTTGTTAAGACTAGTCATACACTGCTCAATATTAAGTAAGTTACTCTTGTAGGATTGATTTGACAAACTACTTATATAAACTGTTATTAACTGCATGCATATTTTAGTTGTACTTATACATGCATTTATTACATGTTTAGTTAAGATATTTATGTTTTCATAAGATGTAAATAATCTCTTAATTGTATAAAATAATTTTAATAATATTTAACTTCGATTCACTCAGGTTGTCAGGTTTTGTTAATATTCTGTTTGTGCTGTTTGTAAGTTTGACTAACCAACTAATTTTATTTTTAGAAATATTGTATCTATGTATCCTAAATTTATAAATCTTGTTTTAGAATGTATCATATGAGTAACTTTACTGATTTTTGTGAGTATTATATCTTGCTGTAATTATAAATTTTAGTAATATTGAACAACAAACATGGTGGCAGTTAATTACAGTAGTATAAAGAAACATTTGATGTGTTTTATTACACAGAGGAATTACTATTAGCTTTGGTGTAGTGGAACACTAAGTTAAACACCACTTTGTTGTTGTAAAGAAGTTGACACCATTTTTGACGCTCAGATACACTGGATTTTTTTATAGTGTGCTCTAAAGTTAAAGCTTATGTGGACATAAATGTTTTTGAAAGTTGTAAAAATATTTTAGAATTTTCCTTTTATTTTCATAAATCTAACTACATTCTTGTAATAGGCTTTTGAAATTTCCTTGAATATTTATAGCAAAATTAAGATTTTGTCTCTAATTTGGCAACAAAAGGGAAAAAAATAGAACAGTATATGATATCAAAATTAATAATGACAATAACAATAGCGACTTACAACACTTTTTGTCTTTACCAATGGAGATATCTGAAATAGACAATAACAATTAGAAGTTTGAAAAAAGTTCTAAAAAATTTCATTATTTTGTTACGCTTAACAAAACTAGCCTGCTATTATTAATTTCCAGAATTCATGCAACCATAATTAATCATCTAACTTTTAATTAAGTTACAGTTTCAGACACAAAAACGTACTTTCTCTGTATAAACATTCCTTTTTTTTTTGTACGGATTTTGATTTTTGTCTATTAAAATATGGGCTGGTGGGGGTAGCCTGCAATATCGAAAGTATGTTTCCAATAGTTAAGTCTGGCGAGCAGTCGAAAGTTCTCAAATATGAACTTTTTGCATATTTCGCCATATCTAAAATTTTTGTTACAATGAATCCAGAAAAATTTTTGCGCAATTATAAAACTAATTTATTCAAATAAATTCTTTTATGTATGTAAAAAATGAATTCCAGTAATTATTTTTTAATAAGGGCCTAAAATTTTTTGAATTGTAAGATATGTAAATTTTTACTTCATTGTGAAATTCTAAATGACAAATATTGCATTTGAATGAAATTGGTCGTACACAATAGAAGTTTAAAAGTACAGAACAATAGAGGTTTAAAACTACAGATTTTTTAAAATTTTATAATTCCGAAGTCATTCGGTAAAACTATCATTTGGATGACGCAAATTTAAAACATGCTTTAATTCAAGTTGAATCGTATTCAGGTTCATTAAAGATGAATTTTTATGATAATGTGGTTCAACGTGTAACATTCTAATATTTTTGAGTTGCATTAAATTCGAATGATACTATAGATCGAAGCGTTCCAAAATTTTTAGTTGTGGTATAGGGTGCCATTATTTCTTTAAAAAAAAGAACAAAAAAAAAGAGACATTTTTTTAATGAGATTTTATAATATTTTTCACTCTCTCTTTAAAAAAATCGTAATAATATCGATATTAAATAAGGATCCTAATTCATTTGCTGGTTTAATTTCTAAGTAATTACATTAAATGTTAATACTATTGCTAGTTCTACATTATACAAAGAAAGTAGTCTTTCTTTTTTAAAAAAAAAAAAAGTAGTTAATATTCAAAATTGATATATAAATTTTATGTACCTTTGGTTGAAAAGCTGCCAAAGCTCCAGGTGGTGCAAAAGGCGTTGGTGTAGCAGTTGCAGAACCAGGAGCCAAAAGAGGAGATAATGACGGATAAGTAGGCAAGCCCAGCTGTAAAAAAAAAACAGATATGAATGATTAAAATATCTATCATATATTGTTTTTCTTTTTATAAATCGCAATCGTTTGATGTTTCGATTTCTTTTAATTCTAAAATGTTCTTAACTTGTAGAGAAAAATTACCTTTTAAATAAAAAAAAATATAATTTAAAATTTCTGCAACACATTAAGTAAATATATTTTATTGATTTATTTTAAGGCGCAAAAAACAATTCTAGAATATTAGAACGCACTTTTAAAGAGAGGAGATATCTTAATAGGTTCTAGAATAATACAGAACAGATATTTATAAAGCCCCAAATCTCTAGTATTGCTTAGAGTAGCATTTTATATTATACTAATGTATTACTATAATATATTATTATAAATAAGTTAATTTTATTTCAATGCTACAAAAATAATTCAACAAATAAATACTAAACTAAAAAGATTAAAATTACACAGTTTTCAAAATAGGCCCACAACGTTGAAAATTTTGGCACATGTCAAACCATAATACTGTTCAAAATAAGTGCAACCTTAATAAAAATGAGTTCGATTGTTGTTTCTAATAATCACCTTTCAAATCCTCTCTGTTTCTCCTGACAAAGAAATTAGTTTTGATGTTTTTGTTACACCTTTTACACTTGTAATTTGTTAGATTGTGATGACCTTTTTTACTTGCTTAAACAATTTTTTACTTCTCAAAACTTGTTATGTCGAATTTTTTTTTCGAAATAGAAAAGCAATTTTTTCTGAAAAATCACAATGTAAGTTTATTGTAAACCTCTATTATTTTCTATAAAATGCATAATTATTTTTGCCTTTCTTTTAAAAATAAAATTTTTATTATTGTATATAGACTTATAGTCAACTATCATTACATACATATTTAATAATAGTTATTCTTATGTTTCATGACTCCACTTTTTCGAGCAACATTTTAGAATATATTTTGTACTTTTCAGAACATATTTAGTTCTGAACTTGTTACCTCAAAAGTTTTTTTAGCGTCCCTTCAGCTTTGAGATATCGAGAGTATACTATATATACAGTCAAACCCCGCTATAGTGAACCTTCAAGGGACCGAAATTTTGGTTCACTATAACCAGGAGTTCACTATATCCGTTATTCAAGCAATTTAACTAATGGTTCCCAAAATCCTCCCTTTTATTACACATTATTCAATTAAATGACTGAAAAATATTATGTAATAGCAAAAAATGTATTATTTTTCATTACTCTTCGTCTTGCTTGCGACAAAACTTTTTTAATTTTTAGCTGATGAGCAATCCTTAGTATCAGATATGGAAACACTTCTTGACTATCAGATAATTTTTCCTGAATTTCTATTATTCCGCTTTTTAAACCTGTCTAACCTGCTATTCGAGCATATAAAAGTATATAGTCTCATAAAATCGCTTAGCAAATTCATCGACATTTGTCCAGATACTTCGATTGGTGAACCACTTCAGTAATGCTTCTTCAACATCCTTGTGATCTGCTTTTTTAAACTTTTTCCTGCCATTTAAATTTTTTTTCATGAGCAGTAATTATTAACTGCCTATTTTTTCATATGTTACAAATGTATTTGGATAGTTTATATTCCCTGCAAATATCAACTTGATTGTATCCATTTTCAATTTTTCCGATTATGTCCATTTTATCATCAATGAAGAACGTTTTACGTTTACTGGTCGCCACAGTTAAATTTGAGACACTTGTTTGCAGGATTTTTTTTAACTGAACTGAGAACAAAAAGGAGTTGAAATGAGGGCCTTATCAACACATATTAGTGTCCCACCCTTTGACCAATAATGAATAATTACTCATTCCCTCTGACAGAAAATGCATATTGATCCCACTGACACCCTACAGGTGCATCATCTGCCTGAGTACTCATTTTTGTCAAAGATTTAAAAGAAAAAAATATATATTGAGGGTCATTATTAAGGTACTCTCTGTACATATTTTAAAATCAATTATGAAAATAATAATAATAATCTGACACAATTTTTGTTTTTTTCCCTAGTGTATTCTGTTATGGTGTTAGATTAAGTACTATATAGATAATAAATCGGGATAAATAGTGATCATATACTTTTTTACTTATAACAAATTAACTCAAAATAGCAAATGAGCCGCGATGGCTCAGGGGATTAAGTGTTCGGCGGATCAGGCGAACGCTCTATCCCCTGAGCACGTTCCCCTATAATATGTTCCAATACGGCGAACCAGGTTCGAATCCCAGTCGATACGAATTCCGCATCCGGCTTGCACCGACCACAGTGCTGACGTGAAATATCCTCAGTGGACGGGTCATGGGTTAGAGTCCCCTGGCCGTCAAGCTAACCGTGGGAGGTTCTCGTGGTCTTCCTCTACATGTAAGGCAAATGCGGGTTAGCTCCATCAAAAAGACCTCCACAAAGACAAATTTCCCCCAATACTCGATCCAGGAGTTCTTCAGGCTGGTCTTCTGAATTGGGTTCAAAATTACAAGGCTACGGAGCTGAACATTAGTAGTCGTAAACCCATAAAATTGGGTCGGCTGTTCAACGACGGTTATATATGTATATATAAAAATAAAATAAAATAGAGTGATAAAATTTAGTAACGAAACTTACAGCGTTTCTGCCGTAGAAACTTGAGTCAACTTTTGGGAACTTGTCGTACTATAAAATAAAATAAAATTAATGTAACAAGGTCAATGTAAAGGAAGGAAAAAAAAAATTAAATGAAGCGATTATTACCAGATGAGCTGCAGATGGTGGTAGAAGGGGACTTCCCAGAGGGGGTGGAAGAAATGGACTATGTTGATGCATGTGTGTATGTTGATGTTGATGCTGGTGCATCTCAGCACGCAAGTAGGGAGGAGGGGGGACGTTGATGGACCTGTCTTGAGAGGCGAGAAATCGTGTGTCCAATTCTCTTCGAATGTTCAAAAGATCTTGATCTGAAAAGAAACAAAACTTATTATAGGGTCAACTAATTATAAATGTAACGAATCAATAAAATGCACTTTTAGTAAAATATTAGTGTTATATTTAACCGTTTCGATTTAAATATATATGCAGAATATGGGCTTCTTTCCCATATTTGTCTTTAGACTCTTCATCAACTTCAGCGTCATTTTGTCTTACTGCTATGACACGTCTCAAATGCCTCTGAATAGGATCCGTTTAATAAGTAACACCATACCTGCCAACTTTTGTGAACGATGTTTTCTATTGGTTGCTTATTTTATGCTTTAATGTATTACTCTGGGTTAGAAAGATTTTATTTAGAATTTTTTTACCACTACAACTTAAAGAATAAAAAAATATATTTAAGGATCCTAAAAATTATGCTTTGTATGAGTAAAAGCCAGACTAGTCCCGTAGTGGACTGATCGTTAAGACACGGTTTCCAGCAGATGAGCATCACTGGCTACAGACAGTGTGCGGGTGGGAGACCACTTGCATCAGTCTGTCAGCGCAGGGACCGAGGGTATGCGGTATTGGTCCTCGTTAAACTGTTCTACCGTAAAGTGCTCGACTTCGCTTGCAGGTCGCCTGTCTACTGAAGCGGGGGTTCGTGGTACTTATTGTCAAAAAATCTTCGGATCATCCTCAGGGGTGTTTCCCAGACCGTCGCCAATAGCCCATCGTGCAGCCCTAATGCGACATAAAATAACAACAACAAAAGCCAGACTAAATGTTTAAAAAAAAATTGTTACTAACTATAATCAGGGTGCGTAGCCAAATCTTTCAACAAAAAATAAGCGCTTTTTGAGCACTCAAAAAATAATTTTAAACACTACATTAACAAAATGCAAAATAATTTTCAAAGACTTTACATGATCATGATAAAATAACTAGTTTCTGACAAAGAATTCTTTTCTTGATTATATTAGCCATTATAAAATGATTAAGAGATTTTTCGGTTCGATATCAGAGGGTGGAAAATGAAGCCTGAAATTGAGAATATCTTGCAAAATGCAGCAGAGTTGCACATGAGAAAGCAATAATCTCACCGAACCCAGCTCAGTAGACGCACATGCGGACTCTCAAGTATTTCATCAAACATGTAAAATGATTAGCACTTTCATACGCTTATGGGCCGACGGTACGCCAAAACAGAATGTAGTCGAATGAATTGTGAAAACCTTGATAGAACAATGCGAAAAGCAGCCTTTTTCATAATACGTGGCGAAAATCGACACGGTAAAGAAAAAATTCTTATTTTCGAAACGGGATAATTAATCACTTTTTAAAAACACCCAACGAAAAAAGCACCTTTAAAAGTCGAAAATAAGCACCTTTAAGCACTTTTTAAAAACGCTATGCACCATGATAATGTTTTTACTCTGATATTCAACTTCCGCTATGACAAATCTAGCAAAAATCGTTAAAGTTGGCAGCTTTAAATCAATCTGTATGTCTTACGGCAGTAAGTGTTTTTTAATATTGCATAAAAAGGTTTAATAAAAAAGGAGTAGGGTCAGAAACGTAATCGTGATTGTTCAGAGGACGTTTAGAATCTTATAATTTGTATCATTTAACAATGAGCTGACCTGATAATTTTAGCTAGTGATAATTTAATCCAAGAGCGAGTGATGTAGAAAGAACCGATTTTTAACCTTTTTGATAACGATGGTAATTATTGCATTAAAAGTATAAATAAATTATGAAATATAATTCAATAATAATTTATTCAATTGAAAAACAAAAATTTTAAAAAATTCGTAAAAATGAAAGCAGTTAGTTGCATTGCAGTAGCTCGGCAAATGCTGTCCTAAGACCAGGCCACGAGATGTAATCAAGTTCTCCTTCTTGTTGGCATGGTTTAAAAATGATATTTGCATGAATTTTTCAAATTTAAATGCGTGTCGAATTGTAATTCTTTTCTCTAAAACTTCTAGAATAAATTTCTTACCAAAGAAACATTGACAAAACTTACTAGGTGGTGGAGCAAACAGAGATTCTGAAGCTCCAAAGAGGGATGGCCCAGGGGCCGTTGCCAGAGGAAGACTAGGTGACGATAAAGATCCTGCTGGCGGCAAGGGAGGTGCGAACATTACGTGGTGGCCAGCAGCCGGATTAAGAGCAGACGATGACGAGGAATGATTGCTGAATGGAGAACTGTGATGACTATTGGGCAGGGAAGGTGCCAGAGGAAGTATACTGGGCACTGGTGAACTGATTCGCCCAGTCGCAGGTGGAGTAAAGTGAGATTGTGGATTCGTAAGAACAGTAGTAACACTTGGACTGTAATTAAAAGAAGAAGAAAAAATCAGTCATAAACGAATTTAGATGAAGCTACACTGTAAGAAGTGTTAGTGTATCTTAACGCCAAAAATGGTGGCAACTACTTTGCATCATAAGTGTTATTGTGAAACATTAAAGATAATCAAGAACAGGTCTTGATGTTGCAATCAAACATGAAGAACAGGTCTTGGTATTACAATCAAACATCAAGAACAGGTCTTGGTGTTGCTATACACCAGGAACGCTCCTTTACTTTGCTTTTTACACCACCATTTTTGATGTTCTGTAAAACTAAATTTTAAAGTGTCTAATAAAACACAAAAGCGCCAGTAAAGTTAAACAGCACGGTTAAAAGTAAGAATAGTTATTTTAAGATGCAAAACAACATTAGCTCTTAATATAAAATTAGTTTGTAAATCTTTACAGAGCAAACATATCAAAGAAAATATTAAAGCGATTTCGAATTAGGATTAACACAAAAGAAGCAGAAAAAAATTTAAAATTATTTAATACAACTGACAGATATTCAAAAATTTAAATGTAATTATCCGGACAACTAAAATCATACGATGTTTTGCTGCGGCGAACTTTTATTTTGTAGACACAGCGTGCAAAACAATAAAAAATTCACTTCATTTTATATTCTATTGTGAACAATCTACTAACAATACCCAAAGTTCGCCGAAATTGGGCGTTTTTGGAAGAGAAAATAATTCACGAATAGCGTAAAATGCTTATTGGTGTTAGATTTAACTACACTTTTTAAAGTACTCTCGATATTTCAAAGTTGAAGGGTGGCTAAAAAATTTCGAGATAGCGAGTTTTCAAGATAACAAGTTCAGAACGACATATGTTCTAAAAAGTAAAAGAAAAAACAATTCTAAAATATTACTTTTAAAAGTAGAGTAGTGAAACATAAGAATAACTACTATTAAATATGTATGTAATAATAGTTGACTATTAAGTCTATATACAACAATGATAATTTTATTTTTAAAATTAAAGACGAAAATTATTATGCATCAAATAGAAAAGAATTGGTTAACAATAATTTTACATTGCGATTTTTCCGAAAAAATTCTATTTCGAAACAGTTTCGACATTACAAGGTTTTGAGATGATACCCTTCGACATAGGAATTCAAATTAACTTTAGGTGGATATGTAATGCCAAGGGAAACATTTTTTGTTGTTGATGAAACAAGGTTTTCGAGATATCGAGATCATACTGTTTACATGAAAGCTCGATTTGATAGTTTAAAATAAAGTAATTCTTCGCACAATTTTTTGGATTGTTCAACTTTAAACTTGGAGAGGTATTGATTTTGACAGTGTTGAGTAATAATTTAGATATATAGTATTTACAAAAAAATATTCACCTAGTCCAGGATGGTTTGGAAAATATAAGACTTGTCAAACTTCCAGATACTCCATAGGAAGAAGAAGATGATGATGTATGTGAACTTGTTACTGGTGCTGCTCCAAGGGCCGCACTGGACACTGGCGTCTCGTTTCTGGAACTACTACGACTGTGTCCGTTACTGCTACTCCGTCCTTCACGACTGAATTCTTTTGAAGATTGTCCGGACGTTCCTGTAAATAGATTTAAACACCCGTTTAAATAGATAATTGTGAAAAAAAATATCGCTTAGTGTGTACCAATGGAAAAAAAAGCAGTAAAAATGTTGTTTAAATTAAGCAACTTTTAATTGAAGAGATTTTAAAGTATCATGATAACTTAGCGTAAAAAACAACAAATAAAAATCGCATAACTTAGGCATACGGTTGCTTCAGTATTATTAAGAAGTACTCTTTTCCGTGTCAAAGCTTCATTTTATTACCGAGACAAGTTCTTTCTGATAGTACTGAAACAGTCTGTTTTATGTGAATTAGTCTGTATGATTGTTTTTTCACGCTTAACTTTATTAATTAACAGAATTCTTTATTTATTCGGACATAATAACAACAGTTTGTAGTTAGGTATGAATCTACAAAAATATTACTGGTTTATAATTTCGCAATGCGTTATGAGTTAAACCAGAACTAAAACCATATTAAAACCGTTGCAATTTTTTTTCGAGGACAGAGTTTAGAGTAAAAAGACTGGCAATGAAAAATTCCTACTAGATCATTAAAATACTATAGTAATTCCTCTAGTCGTTGGAAACTACTTCCATGTTCCTAGGTCCCTTTCTACTAAAAGCGGATCTCAATTTAAAATATGAATTCTCTATCTCTTTTTGCATCCATTAATTATCAATTATTCTGTAATGATAGAAAAGACAAAGAATTTTAAAACGAGAAGAGTTATATTTAAACACTCAATGCTTTCAATTTGCCGACCGGACTATGTAGGGGCCAGGGAACTGGCCTAGCATCAGAAAGGTTCTGGATTCGAATCCCGGACAAGGCATGGATGTTTTTTTCACTCTCTGTACTATCTGTCCTTACCGTGGGAGCAACGCTGGCTCAACTAATATAGTTCCCCTGAAAAAGTGGCCGACAGTAGTGCCCTAATACGCCTGAATTGACGAAAAACTGCTTTCAATTAGGAGTGATCAAATATCTGCAATAAGGAAAAGCAACGATGTAATTGGATGCTCAGAAACATGCTAATTTTTCCCCAGCTAAGCGGGATCAGTGATATTATAACTCATTTAAATTGAACATGTAACACGATAATGCTTTTGCACACACATGGTTTCAATAAGAATAGTTTCATGGAGTAAGAAATATAGTGAATATAATTATTTACCTTGAGGAGCTGGTCCCAGCGACTGACTGAGTTGACTTAGACTGGAGATACTGCTATTGCTGTGCGAACTTTGACTATCACGACCAGAAGGAGGTACAACTTCTCTGCTGCTACTTGTGCCGGAAGCTGATATCGCAGTAGGACTCCACAATGTCTTTCCAGAACTTCGCGAATTGTCTTGAATAGTGATGGGTGAATTTACAGTTGGTCTTTGAGATGGATAATTGGGCCCTGTTGAATTCGTTGCAGATACTCGAGATGTATCAGTACTTTCTTTTGGTGCATCAAATGAAGTCTGAAGCTTCGAAGATGGCGGAGGAGTTCGTTTGTGATGATAATGAGTGGATTCACTGTAAGGATAAAATGGAGTGGTCTTATCTTTGCTAGAAGATGTAGGGTAAATATTATCTGGAACTGGTGGTTGGACCGTCTGTACTGTTTCAGGCTGATTTGGGGTGAGATCATGTGATGCAACTTTCACGGATGGTTCCGAATTGGGTAAAGTGTTCTCTCTTGTTTTCAAAGAGTTGGAATTCCCATAATTTTGATAGTTATTCAATTCGTTTTGTATTTTATACGGATGTGTCTCTTCGGTATTTCGTTTTGGCACAATATCTTGTTTGTAATGATTTTCTGGATATGCTTTATAGTGATTATCTTGAGTTGGATAGTAATTTCTATTCTTCTCACTTGATGTCCTTGAGTGGTGGTAACCGGGGTGATTTTTATGAGAGTAGGAAGAATGTTCTGAAACGTGGCTAGAATTTTTATAATTGTCACTTACAGTGTTTTGATTAGTGCCAGATCTCGAATAATTTACGCTTCCTTTTTGGTAATACTCAGCATTTCCATATGCAATGTTTTCAGAATTCAGTTTTGACGGTGGTTCTGAGTAGTTTTTGTTGCTGTGGTGGTAATTGTAAGTCTTAGAACTAGTATGGATTGCACTATTCGTCGATTGCTTATCCCTGTAGCCGCTTATGTACTGTTCAGAATTAACTTTTAAGTTCCTCGAATTACTTACCGAGTGGGAATCGGAATAATTATTGTGATAAACATTATTACTTAAATGACTTTGTGGCACGTCTGTTTTATAAGTATTACAGTTGTAAGAATTTGTGGTACCAGCAGTTGACGAACTTACCGATTGATAATAATCATTTTTCTTATTTTCTGTAGGATAGTGGTACGAACTGTATTGCACTGGCTTCGTAGAATGACCTTGAGGTATTTCTGACTTAGGGTTTTGATAGTTATTTATCACTTGCTTAGAGTTCTCGTATGCGCTAGCTGGCAACACTCGTCTGCTCGATTTGTGCCGCGAATGCGATTTGTTTACAATAGATTGGTAATAAGTAGTTCGATTAGGAACCTTATTTTTGTTTACACTTGGATAAGGTTCACCGACTAACTTGCCTGTCGTTTTGTCAGTAGTGTTCCTGACAGGGTTTTCACTAGAATTTTGTGTTAAAAGCTCATTGGATTTGAAATTATAAACATTGTTAGCACTGGGCTTTTTGCACAACGTTTGTGGATCACAGGTTTTCTCATTTGTAAACGCTTGGCCAACGCAGTAGTTTACATCCGCAGTTCCGGTTTTATTTTCATACCGGTTTTCTACATAGTTTTCGTTTTTATAACCATCACAGGCAATGACATCTTTGGAATTTGATATCACTTCTTTTGATGAGGTGTTGGAGTATTTATTGATGATAGGCTGCTGCTGATGATGATGCTGATAGTAACTGTTCGACGATAATTTTTGATGGTGATACCTCTGGCTTTCCCGAGGTTCTTGATTAGGGTAAGAGTGCTTATTGTTCGAATACTGATTGGCAGAATAGCTGACAGTATAGTCAGAATACGAGGAACATATGGGGTAAGGAAGGGAATGGACAACGTCACTGTTTGAACCACGGGGGGACTTGACGACACTGTCGTAATTTTTGGAACTTAAAACAGGGCTGACTGTGTTCGATACAGCATTGGGTGATACGGGGAAGTCTTCTTGTCCTAGTAAAGAAGAGGGGAAAGGTACACCGCCGGCGGGTGAAGTGGATGAAGGCAAAGGTGTTGGGTTCGATGCCCCTATTTGGCTAGAAGCAGGGACTGTTGCTGGATTGGCTGCACTGGTTGGCGCCGTTACAGCAGCCACCGCCGCTGATGGTTCTGGTTGCTGAAGAGGTCCATTCTGGAGGGGTAAAAAGTGAGGAGAATTTTTCACAGGAAATGTTGGGCTGCCTTTGCTTCCAGAAGTTTGCGTAACATCTTCTGAAAAAAAAGAAAATACAAATAGAATGTTAATAAAAATTATTCACAAACAATATAATTAATATATTACAATAAGAATTCATTAAAGCAATTAAGTAAAGCATTTTTGTGGGATAATAGAACGAAGAGTTCGAAAAAATTAAATAATTAAAAATTATTTTTGTTCTCGAATATTTTAAAATATTCAATATTCTCAATATTCAATTCTCTCTAATAATTATTAAAGGAAAAAAAAATTGCGTGGTAATTTTTATACAGTTTAGGATATAGTTTCTCTAATTGTATGCCGCCATTTGCTAGTGAATTATAAATTAATTTTCAATTAATCAATGAGTCAACTTTTGGTTGGTTACGTCTCAATTTTTGGTGGGTAGTAACAAGATTTTGAATCTTTCTACATTATATAACTTGTGTACATAGTACATGCATTTTGCAATTTATATGGCATATTATCTCTCTGTGAAACATGATTTAGGTCTAAAAATTTTCAGCAAGCTATATGGTAGCCGTAATTACTATTTCAGATACAAAATAACATAAAGTAAAATAGATAAATAAATCATGGGAAAAGAACTATGAATTAAGAAGCAATTCGTGTCGAGAAAAAAGTCGTATCAGGAAAAAAAAAATAGGAAACATAAATGCTATTTAAATTGTTTGTTAGTAGTTACAAAATAGTATTTTATAAATTAGTTCATACAAATAAATATATATTTAATAAGAAATTAAAAAGGTCATATTAATAAAAAAAAAACGTAATTATAACTCACTTTTCACTTGCATTTTTCAATTTCCCGAATGATATTTAAATAAAATTTGATTATTATTTCATTAATAATTAATTTAAATAACTTCTTTCGAATAAAAAATGTAAGTACATCCCTCCAAAAAAAAAAAATTTAATGCGCCCCTGAAAAAACGTGTCTAAAGATTTGGTTTTTAAAAAGGGGATCGCAATATTTGCAGCTTTAGAAGACCCTGATTATGAATTTTATAAATTAATTTTCAGTCATATAAACATGATTATAAAATCATTGATCTCAATAGTTCATTAAAATAGTACGAGATGGCAGCACTAGGAGATTCAATTGCGTTCTGTAAATATGTTTTTCCACAATAACTTCATTTTACGGTTTCAGAAGTGAATAAATGTGACAATAATTATTTCAATTTGTATTGTATTTATTCCCCAAATATTAATTAACATAGTTGGCTCCTCTGTTTTATACATTAGACAATACATTTTAAGTTAATTTCTTATTTTTGATTTTTCTCAAATTAATGAACTTTCCCAATTAACGATTTTAACCAAAATTATGTGCATGGATATCGTTTAAGTTGTTTGTATTTAATTTTTAAAAAAAATTTATAATGAACAATTTTTTTTTTTTAAATCTTGGAAAAATGACTAATAATATAGATAATTTTACGAATAATATATGTTAAGTTACCAATTTTCCTCGCTCTTTGTACACAAAAACGTGAATTTCTGGGATTTTTAGCAGCGAATTGATCTGGATCCGTTATTTATAAAATTAATGAAAGAAACATAATTTAATTACTTCAATAGATACATTTAACATACCTCAAATGAACATTGAGTTCGAATTTGTCGTTGTAAATTTTATTAAAAAAAAGATACATTTCAAGATTGTAGTCAGTTTCCACACAAGAAAAATTTTACGCTCGATTAAATTTTCACAAATATAAAAACAGTCATTCTCTACAGAATTAACAGAATAGGCTAAAAATTTATTTATTTAAGTTTAGTTTCTTATACGCTGATGAAAGGGCATTCATAAGAAAACCTTTTAATTGCTACAAGGTTTTTGAAAAATCTGTAAAGTGGCTTCACTGTCTCATAGGTATTAAAAGGGAAGAAAACTTTTACAGGGGAAAGTTGTTGTGCAGGAGGGCGAACTTGAAGTGATGCGATGCTATTGAAGTGTATATGTTACCGTAAACGACCGAAATCAAGAGAATGTCAACGTTCACCGGCGAATGTCAACAATCACATAGTCGCTTTGGTGTGAAAGTCCGAAATATTTGTCATATCCGATTTGATATTATTATATTTATTCCATATTTTAATATCTGCTGAGGATAGATTAGGAGAAACATCAGTATTCGAAGTACCGGACAAATGTATACCGGGCATTGGCACTTAACTAGACCTAGTATCAATTTCGGACATTTACTAAAGCGATTATGTGATTGTCAACATTCACCGGAAGTCAAAAACCAGCAATTTCGGTCATTCACAGTAACATATATAAAACTCTTGAATATTAGTAAACGCTTGAATGTAATATTAAAACTTCTGAATGTAAATATTTAATTGAAACATGCAGTATACATTTTAATACATTTAATTATATAAAGATTAGAGTTGGTAAAAATATCTCAGAAAGAGTGCTTCGAGCTTAACTACTTTTACAATTATCTAAAATATAATTAAAGATTTAATCAAAAGATCATTAAAAAAAGTAATTTTTCCCCGAAATGCTCTGTAATTCCTTAGGTAAAATTAAAATGCGGAAAAACCGTACTAGTTCACAACTTAAAAAATGTAGGAAAATAATGAGCCAGTAATGCTTATTAACAAATAATTTACTAAAAACAGAAATAGTTTACTAAGTAAAAAATATAGTGAAATAATTTGAGAACTTTTTGATTATTAACTTTATAACTATTTATTATTATTAATAACTTATTATAATTACTGATTATGATTATTAACTTAAAACTTATAATATGATTATTAACTTAAAACTTATAATATGATTATTAACTTAAAACTTATAATACGATTATTAACTTAAAACTTATAATATGATTATTAACTTTATATTATTAACTTTATAACTTTTGGTTTTGCCATTAATGCATTAATTTACTAAAAACAGAAATAGTTCACAAATTAAAAAATATAGGGCAATAAAGTGCCAGTAATGCCTCTATGCAAATAATTTACTAAAGACAAAAATAGTTTACAAATGAAAAAATATAGGAAAATAAAGTACCATTAACGCTTTACATGCAAATAATTTATTAAAAACAGAGATAGTTCACAAGTTAAAAAAATTTATGGAAATTTAGTGCCAGTAATGCGTATATAACAAATAATTTATTAAAAACAGAAACAGTTCGCAAATTAGAAAAATATAGGGAAATAAAAGTGCCAGTACATACAAAATAATTTACAAAAAATAAGAATAATGCTTGTCATTATTTCTTATTCAGAATTAATGTCAGCAGAATATTCGTTGGTCCCTAACAGGGTATTGTAAAATATTTTTATACAGAAAAAGACATCAGTAATCGATAACACGAGACACTTCAAGTTCTTAGATTCTTTTTCCCAGAAAAGAATTGTTTTGTTTCCTTATAAATTTCTAACTCCTCTCCAGACACAAGAAACCTCCCTCCCCCCTCCCGCATTTTATATGGGTGGCGGGAATGCAGTGCAAATCAGTAAGCTCTACAACACAAATCATTTGCATTTTATTGAAATATTGAAAACGGAATAAATCCGAACGATACGGCAGACAGAATAGATTGTTAGAACAAAAGAAAATAGATGTGTAAGAGAAAAAGAATAAAAATAAAAAATACGCCTTAGATCTGGAAAATACGGCCATACTATATTTCTAATATCAAAGATACACATGGACACGGTGAAAAAGTCGCTTGGAAAGAAAAGGAAATAGAATATTTTTTTTTTTCGTTCTCCCTCAACCCCGTCTCGGTATTTATCAAAAAGTACAGAAATACCGACACAAATAAAACAAGACCTGGAAAAAGAAAAAGAACATATATAGATATAGCGTGAAGAAGCAAGTAGCGTAAAAAGCGAGCGGAGCTAAGAATTTAAAACAACCGTTTTGTCAACATTTTATTGGTTGCTCCGCCTGTCGTTCAAATGGTTGCTTGTTGCCATAGTAACCATTACATTCTACATCTTTTTAAATGCATCTAGTGTTTCTCTTGAAGAGTGAAATATGTATATAAATATATTGGTATGTATATAAAAAGGAAACCCCACGGCGGCAGAGGTCGTTTTAATATATGGAAGGCCATTTGTTAAATCCGTCACAACAGTTTCAGAATTTTTATTTCCTTGCCTTCTTCGGCTTTTTAGGGTTACTAGTGCTTTTTTATTACTTTTTCAGTTTCTTTTTTCTTTAATGCTTCTTATTATCGCCAAGAACGCCAAAGTGTTTGATAACAGGTATGTTTATTAAATTATGAAAAATAAAAAAAAGGTGCAGGTGGCCTGGATTCATCGCAAAATCTAAGAATTTTTTCTTCAATAGCGAACATGTAAATTATTATTAGTTTCTAATAATTATTATTGAGTAGTTATTAATTAGTAATTTTTATTGGTGATCTATTTATTACAGTAACGAAAAGATTTAATATTGCGCTTATAAACAAATCTGAGAAAATGCAGATTAAGTACAGAAAAATCGCAATACCTGCTGTTTCCAAAGCTAAACGAAACTATGTAAATAGAACGCCTTATAAATTAAACTGACTAACTTTTTATTTTTTGGAATTGAATATAATCAATTAAAAATATCAGTAATTGAAAATATAAATAAAGTTTTGCTTACATAAAAAATAATAAAAAAAAATACAATAGGTAATACATTTATCTTAGTTTTTCTCATAAAAAATCTGTACGAACTTTTGAATCTGAGATATTCAGCTTCAGTGGAGTTTTTGACATTATTCATTATTTCTAAATGGCGGAATTTGGTACAAGAATTTGGTACTCGAGGAATTTGGTACAAGAAAATAACTCATTTTTTAATTATTATTTTTAGTGTACTTCTGACTGCGAAGAAGTGTAAGAATTTAGTGCAAGAATTTGACACAAATCGTCTGTGGGTAAATAGTGTAAAGAAAAGCTGCCAAAACAAATTGTCTTGATTTTCTTAATTACGATGGTGGCAGTGTTTAAGACACTGAGCTATCATTTATTAGTTTCGGGGTTC